ACAATTCAATATCTCCATAATGTATTGGGCTTGCCCAATCTCTTTGTAAACATCTCTTTCAACTTTCACATCAATGTTATTGTGCGCCATGTTTGAAGTTGTCAAAATTTAAATCTCTATTCTTCTAATGAAATTTCCACTAAATTTCGAAGTTCTGTTTGTTCTTTTTGAAATATTTTCCTTCATTAATCGCGTTCAAAGATCTCAAATACTTGATAGCAAATGAAAATTAAAAGTATTAGAAAATATATGGGGAGTTCAAATTTATTTAGTTTTAAGAATTCGAACAATTAATTAACTCGAATTTCTCTTATAATTTTGGGTACTCGATATATATGTATATATGTTTCTAAATTATTTGAAATGTAACATCAAATTAATTCTGTAAAGATATTTAAAAATCGAAAATCAACATCCAAAAACACATCCAAAAATATTGTTGTTTAGAGATCCTGTTCACTCCCAAAAGCACACGGTAACATCAAAACCACTCACTCCCAGAATAAGGAAATGAAAAATTGATGAATCGGAAACTCTATGAAATCTAAAAACACATGTTGGGTTTGGTCACTCCTATCAACAACAACCATAATGTATCAGTGTTTAATACTGGATTAAATTGTTTGGTTTCCTTTTTCAATAAGAAGTAGAGAGTTTGTAGGCAACAAATGTTAAGTAATTTTTTAAACACCTGTTCCTATTCTGAATGAACTTTACATTTTTGAAAATAAAAATTCAACATTATTCAAAAAATAAAGTAAAAACAAAAGAACTAAAAGGCGTGTTTAGTCGGACACAAAAATTATGACCCAATTTTTTTTTCTCTAACTTTTCATTAAATTAATATAGACACACACATCACATCATTATTTTTAAAAAATTTCCTTCACCAAATTTGTAGAATTAATCTCATAAATAATAAATTAAAAAAATTTACTTAAATATTTTTCTTTCTTTCCTTATTTTATTTATTAATTTTTCTATCATCATTTACTTCTTGTTATTATTTTATCTGGATTTGTATGGTGTTTATTTTTCTTTTTTTTATATTTTTTGTCCTTCTCTTTTTTATCTTTCAATTAAAAATAATAAATTAAAGTTTGATAAAGTGAGTCTTTCATTATTTATTGAAAAATAAAAATATTTAAATAGTCTACAAATACTATAATTAATATATTATATTTAAAAAATATTATAAGATAAATTTGAAATATTACAAATTGTTATACTATAATTATTAAGAAAAACTTAAATATTCATTTAAAAGTAATTTTTAATAAATATTTTTTTAGAATTACCTAATCTAACTAATTATTATAACTCAACTTAATTATAAATATATTAAATTACTAAATAAAAATTACATTTAAATCATAAATATTTTATATATTTTTAATTAGATAAGTAATTATTTATTATAATAAAATAATTTTAAATTAATTATTTAGATAATTCTAAATAAAATTATTTATTATCTTAATAAATAAAATTATTTATCATCATCATAATTTTAATTAATTAATTTATATATTTGGTTAGTTTAATGGTTGATTTTAAAGTATTTGTTAAAACATATTTTTATTAAATTTTAAAGAAGAAAGAAAAGAAAGATAGAAAAATTATAAAGAGAAAGAAATATTTTTTTCTTTTAAATAATACAATTGATTCCATTTTTTTTTCTATTGTGACTTCAGACATAATTTATTTATTTCAAGATTAGTTCTTTAACAGATTCAATCTATCAGCTAAACAAATATAATAATATTTTTAACCATTTAGAGGTTCAATCTGTGATGAATCAGAACACGATGAAACGGGTACTTTTGTGGCCACTGAACTAAGAAGAGTACAATTTTGAAAATACAATACCAATAATCATTGATCGAGTAAATAATAGTTGGATTTACTAACTTCAAAAATTGTACACACAATAATTATTTTTTTCTTACACGGTTTCTTTCAATCACAAGTTTTGCAATCAATATCTATGAACGCACTTTATTTTTAAAATGTGTTTCCAATAATCCTATATTTAAATAATGTACCTATAAATGTGTTCCATGATGAAAACGTTAATCAATTCGTGTTTTATAATTTTCATTTATATTCAATTTTGTTTCAAATTAAAATATTAATTTAGTTTTGTAAATAAAACATTTTTTTTTGTTTTATGAAAAATACAAAGTCTATTCCAAAAATAATTTTCATGATATACAGACTTGTTACAGCAGAGCTTTTTTTTTAAATAGTGTGTCTTACAAAAATATTTACTAAAATATACCTTCATTGTTCTAACTTATTATTACTCTCTTTTATGTTTACGCTTTAATACTTGGATAAAATTCCTCGTTTATTACATCATCTAATATTATACTATTTATGTTAATACAGTGTGTGTGGCCATTTATCGTTTCTACCTTTGTCTTCTTTCTCTCTAAGACAACTGGATCCTAATTTTGTGGGGGAAGAAATAATTGTGAATTTGTGAGAATCTTTTGCCATGAATAGGTGAGTGTTAGTTTACAATTAGAGCATTTCCTATGTATAATCTGACCCAGCTAAAGCACACCCAAACTTCAAGGGAAATAATGAACATATATAAATTAGACAGATAAATAGAGAAACATTAATTTTGTTCTTGTAAATTCAGTTACACTAGTATTTAGCATTGAACTAAATAAATGATAAGTTTGTGAATCAAAGGAGTAGGTGGAAGCTTTGATCCAACTTCAATTGACAACAGTGACACCTCATATAAGGCTTAATGATCTGATATTTGACTCACCCGTTTTAGTTCAAATTTCAAGGTTCAAATACTTAGTCCCTTTCTTGATGTTGAACTACTACATCCCACAATTATGAGATACCCTTTTCGGGTTCTGATCATGTGTGTGCTGAAAAGCTCAATTCACTCTCTTGCTTTGTGGTAATTTTGCCATGAAAATGGTCCATTGCTTTATGCTTAAGTAGTCTTCTCAGGTTCATTTAGAAAGCAAAAGTTTCCGTGTGTCAAGGGCTCCAAGGCTTTCCATATGTGCATGCAAATGCAATGACAGCTTTAAGTGAACTTATTTATTTGGTTTACATGTTAAAAAAAATATCATTTTTCTCATTCAAAGTGAGAGCAGAAGTTGGCATCATCTTCAGATAGATGATGTTATGGACAAAGAAGCTTCTTGTTCTTGTTATAGTTTATATATATAATGCAAAAAATAAAGATATTGAGAATCACTTGCTTATGCTATTGCTTTTGCTAGTGAAATGAATCACAAGTAAAAGGCATACTTGATAGGAAAATAATATTGCTGGTTTTTTAAGGGAACCCCAAGCTTTTCATGAGATTTATAATTAAATCATTGTATTCTTTGGATTCTTTCCTTTTACATGAAAGAGGTTTGCCAAACTCATTTTGATGAGTTACTAATAATGAGCTTTGAAGAAGAGTAACATGAAACAAACAGGACCCTCTTTCAGGTTTGAGACAATCTTCAAAGCAGAAAAGGGCAAAATATAAACTATAGAGGCTGCATAAAAAATGAGTATAATTGCAAGGAGACAAAAACATCTTCATAGGTTATAGAATGACTTAAAAAATAATGCAGATATTGGAGAAGTATATCTTCATTCTTCGGTACTTGATTCCTACCTACCACACAGCTTCCGTTCATTTTGTATGTAGGCCATGGCTATTGATATCAACATGTAAAAAATTTTCAAACAATTGGTTCTTCGTGGAAAGAAATAGTCATTATCACCCCATATTCTAATACTAGGCCTATAGGAATAGGATTACCAAAAGTTGTCTGCAATAAGGGAAATTTTCATATTAAAATTTAAAACTCCCACACGTTATTGCATTGAAGTTCATGAAACAAAATCTAATCCACTGTGAGACATGTTGAACCAGTTCTTTGTCAATCTCATATTTACCAAAATCTCTTTGTCAATATCTTGATAACTGGTTTTCCAACTTGTACTTCCAAAGGGTATTGAATTTTGTAAGGGCCAAAGTATATTTGTAAAGGTTTTAGAAAATAGTTGGGATGGAGACTTCTACCACAAATCATGGTTTTTTTTTATCACAATTGTAGCCACATCATCTACGTTGGTCTGTAATTTCTTAGTATATAAAAACACAATGAAATTGCATCCGTCATCACAAACTGAAATCTTGTTAGTACTAGTTTTTCATTTTGTTGAATGAATATAGACCTTGATTCTGGGAAACTCCAAGACTAACTCATGTGCAGTCACATGGAAGGGAGTTAAAGAAGCAGCAGGAAAAGTTTGAATGAAATCAATACGTGGTTAATGAAGAATCTTGGCTCAAAGTGAAACAAAAATGGATGGGAAAGACACATGTCAAGAGAGCACAGAAAGAGGGGAGGATCCTTTTTCATTGGTCAATTTCTTTTGCTGTCATTCAGGAAAGACAAATCCTAAGATGACTTATTACCTTCTCTCTGAGTCTTTGTGAAAACTTCCCCTCCCTTCCACAATGGAAATTTTTTCTGCACTTTCATTTTCATCTAGGACAGAGAGAGGGGTTGGAGAGGCAGGAGTGTCAATAAAAGAGAAAACAACACATGAAACAAACAAGTTACATTAGTCATTCTGCAAAGTTCCATGGAACTTTGGGCCACTGCAACCCTATGGAGAAGTTTGTCAGTGATAAATAATGTTCATGCAAATAGGCAAAATTATCATAAACCCTCTTCTGAAGGGTGTGGCTGTAATTTGACACCCCACACAAGACTTGAAAATATTAAACTCTCCACATCCTTAACGTCAATGTTGGAGTGCCTTCCGGCAATGAAAACCACCTTAAGAACCCCATTCCACAAATCATTAAAGTAAGATGATGATTGATTAATTGGTTATGAGTGTCCATTTTCAACTATAAATGCTTCCTTGTGCCAAGAGAGCTACACCTTCATCTCTCTACATCTTCTTTCTCTTCCTCTCTCTCACACACTCCAAATTCAGACAGCTAGACACCAATGTCAACACTGAACCATCTTTTTGATCTTCCTGAACAGATATGTTACGTACAATGTGGATTCTGTACCACTATTTTAATGGTAATGGACTCTTTTTGGTCACTTCCACTGCACTTCTACAGTTCATGTGGTTATGCTTTCTAACTACACTTGTTAAGTTCATGTGGCTTTATGCCACTTTCCGTATTTCATTTTTTTTTTGTTTTCTAACTGAGATGCAGGTAAGTGTTCCATGCAGCAGTTTGTCAATGGTGGTAACAGTAAGATGCGGGCACTGCACAAGCCTCCTTTCTGTAAACATGATGAAAGCTTCTTTTGTCCCGTTCCACCTTTTGGCATCTCTTAGTCATCTGGAGGTGATAGGTTACCTTTCCATTTCTATGTTACTTCCTTAGTGTTGTTCTAGTGAATCCAATGATCCACGTACTTATCTTCAATTATTTGTTTCATTTATTGGATTTTTAACTGAAAAAGCATCTGTGACTGTCTCCAATCTTCTCCAGCCAAAAGAGAGTAGTCCAGAACAAGATGCTAACAAGACTTTGAACAGCCACAGTGCATCCCTGATGACCTATTCTGATTGTGAGGAAGAGGATGTCATTCCAATGAGTAATATTGTGAATAAACGTACGTAAAGCAATAGTTACTTCAATAATGAGATGAGTTATTGTGTTTGAAGCAAGGTTTGTGCACTCATATAGTTCACTATAAATTTTTTTATTTATTCATGGATTCTATGCAGCCCCAGAAAAGAGACAGCGAACACCATCAGCTTATAACTGCTTTATCAAGTAATGATTCAGTAGACAAAGTTGTATAGCATTCATACCTCAAACTTTGAATTCTAATGAGAGTACTAGTTTAATGCAGAGAAGAGATTAAAAGGCTAAAGGCTGAAAACCCTGACATGGCTCACAAGGAAGCTTTTAGTACAGCTGCAAAAAATGTAAGGTCTAATTTCTTAAAGCTGCTTTTTAGTTCAACACATTTGCAAATTTGGCAGTCTTATAAAATTGGTGAACCATGGATATGGGTTAAAGAAGGGTACTTTTCTTAAGCTCTATCTTGAAAATATTTGTCATTTTCAGTGGGCTAATTTTCCCCCAACTCAGTGCAAAGGAGATGAAGAGAGCTGTAGCCAGACAGATCAACTTGTGGATCTTGACTCCCACCTGGACCCTCCTGATGCTGAGGTAAAAGCATAATCATTTTGAAAAAAGTGATCAATTTCTTCATTTAAAACAAATGGTTCTGTCGTAAGCGATACATGATTAAAATTAGTTATTAGTAGGAGATTCTTTGGTAGGACACTTTGCATCTATCTTTAGAATTGCATGTCCCTTTCCTTCATATCACAGGAACAGTAGAAGTAGGCTCCATTCATTCAATAGCAAAGACTTATCCTCATTGTGGTCGCCAATTTGTGTGACATTGAAACAATGAACCGTTTATGAGAAATTTTTGTAGATTCTCAATAAATTATGATCAGTATATGATGTTGATTAACATGGTATTCTCAAAATATATAGAATGCATTAAAACTTTAACACTAAGTAAAGGAGCTAAAGTAGTGATAACACTAAGTAAATAAGACAACACGGTAGCTTTAACACAACTACAATGGAGTTATTCTTGTAATGTAATGTCTGTAGCTCGCAATTGCTGACACTGTCCTTGATATGTGTTAACTTTCTAGGGTAATGTAAATGTACTTGACTTCACATGCAACTTTAAAGCCTCTCTTTCTAACATAATACTTCATCATTGTCTGAAACTTTCAGGTCAATGAAGAAGATGGTCAAGGTTTCCGTGGAAGAAAGATCCCCAGGAACTCCATCTTGGAAAGGACGCCGTTTGAGTGAAGAAAGTTCAGTTTTTATGACATAACAAGGAGAGTTACTTTGTGTCTTAACATTAAGGTTGTCTCTAAATCATTTTCCAAATGAAGAAAAGATGCCTTTTTTTTTTCTCTTGGTAATGAAAATGAATTAAGTAGGGTTTAGAGCTTACAATTTGAGACTTTAGAAAGTGCTTAAATTGATAGTTTTATCTGACAGCATACAAGTTCGATTAATTAGTCTTCTTGACCACAAATGTGACCTTTATTTGTGTTGAAGTGTTTTTTGGTATTAATTCTCCGATAATGGCTACAGGTTTTTTCTGATAGATAAATATGCATCACATTTATTGGTACGAATTTGACATAACAAATCATATTAGTCAATTTGTTGATTTTGTCAGATTACTATAAATCCGAGTTTGTTATGTTATGATTTTCACGTAATACACATACCAATATCCCTTGGAGGCAAATTTACATAAGTAGGATAATTATTTTAGATTTGGGAAATTTTGAAAAAGTTTATAGAAATAGGTAAACTATGTTTGGAAAAGCAAACTTTTTATTTATTTTTTATTAAAAAGGCCTTGTTTAAATAGATAATATATATATATATATATATATATATATATTTATTTATAAAGATAATGTATTTTTTAATACCATGTAGGGTTAAATATACCATTCTAATTGATTTAGTCACTTTGACCAAATGTTATGTTTGTGGTTTATTTTTTCATTAAAAAAATACAATTTTTAATAAAAATTAAGTTGGAAGCCACTATCTATATTTAGAAAATAAATTACGAACTTAAGAATCAAAATAATAAAATAAAATTACAAAATTATATTTCGAAACTTAATATTTTTATAAATTTGTATTGAACATGATTTGCCCATTTTGCTACATTTTTTAATATATATACCCATTTTAATAAATATTTTAATTTATACCCATTTTAATAAATAATTTTAGAAAAATCACACCATTCAGGTAAAAATATAGGCCTCCCTTTTGCTACAAAACATTATAAGTCGATCCTTAAAAAACAAGCACTTGGACTTGAAATAAATGCTTAACCAAATAATAAAACTTGATCTATTTCAAAATTAGATAAAAGTCCACACATTCTGCCGGTTACAAATTTATATTTAAATTAGGCTTAAATATAATTTAGGTTTCTAATAAATTATAAAATTTTGAGTTTCTCCCTAATAATTTCTCTAATATCTTTTTTATTTCAATTTTTTAAGTCTACAAAAATCATCAAAAGTGTTTACATGACATTGACAAATTTTAAAATATTAGACAAAAAAAAATTAACAAAAACATAAAACAAACAAATTTCAATAATTCATCACAAACCAAAATCATATTTAAACCACTTAATTATTACGAAATAATATCAATTAAAGAACACAAAATAATAAGGAAAACATGAAATACTATGATTAACATACTTGCAATTTAGAAAGAAAAAAAAAACAATTTAAAGATAATTGGTGTTACTGATCGTGTTGTTAAGAGTCAGCCTGAAACAATGTTGACATTTAGGATGAAATTTTCAAGGTTACTTTTCACATAAACTCATTCCCAAATTACTACCATATTTATACAGGTTAAATTGCAACATGCAGAGTAAGTCACGTAGCAATATTCCTAAACATAAAATTCAGGACATGCATTGGAATCATGTTCGACAGTCTTCTAAAGTTTATTGAGTCGAGTCACTGTATGAGCTATTAACATCAAAATACGGCTTTGCATTACATTACACTGACTAAAAACAAGTACTTAACAGAAGCGACACCCTAACCCCTATAAGGAAGAGGATAACCATGAACCAGCACGCAACCATGACCGGCTTGTAACAAAACAATTCAAAAAAGGAAAAAGAATAAATAACACATGGCCAGAGAGAATGGAATACAACTGAAACATCTTGGTCATCCGTTATTCCTCATGTCTTCTTAACTGGGATCAGACTTGTCCAGAGCTGCAACCAAATGTATGGTCAGTACAAACTGAATGTTATAAGAAAAATAAAACACCAAAAAGATTAATGCAGAGAAAAGGAATTACAGTTGTAATTCAATAACTTCTCAATGAGATCAACATGGGTCATTAGCATGCGCCTACAACAATATCGAACCAGTCCCAAAGCATCTAGTGCATCTCTGCAAACCATCACTATGTTAATATTAAAACATTAAAACTAATCTTTTCCAGGACGGAGACACTACACTTCTATTAGGGAATCAAATCACATACCTCAATGGATGTAGTTAGGGAAGAGAAAATATTATACAATACATTCAAGTAATACATTCTTAACGGGTATGATATTTTCTTATCTTGAAAATAGTGCAATGAGAGCTGTGTCTACATCTGTGCTTATCACTTAAATTTCTCAATAGTTTTTTATTATTGAGATGTGACACACAACAATTTATAAAACATTATTTTTTGTGTCTATCTCTCTCCATCATTGTGAAATCTATTAAATGAAGTACAGGAGAGAGAGAGATGCACAAAAAAATTGTTCTACAAATAACATTTCTCTAAATTTTTTTGGGAAAAAGGGCTACCAGAGGATGGAACATGAGCTATCAGATCATTAAGAAGTTTCAACAAGTTTATTTACAGCTAAGGCAGACATGTTACATGTATATAAATGCATGTTGAACTACAAAAAGATAGAAAAGGAAGCAAAACGAGTATGAATTCCGTCATTCAAATAATATACATCCACCTACCCAGCAATTAAAGTTATGGCAATGGAATAACAACCTAAAAATACAAATGTAAAACAGAAACACAAATCTATTAACCGTCAAAGCCTACAATCTTTTTACACAAACATAAGTGAAAATTCATTTTTTTTTAGCACCAAGCTCATCCACAATAGTTAGTACACAATGTGCAAATTTAAGGTAGAGTACCAACCATACAGATTATATATATGTTCTTACTTCATACCTACAGGCTCGACCCAGAGACAATGTAATTCAAAATACAAGATAGTCATTCCAGCGACAATGTAATTCAAAATACAAGACAGTGACATACACGTACATGAATACAGATTGTTAAAATAAAACGTTGAACAACAACTTCACAAGTAAGCAGAAGGACTTAAGCACGCCTCTATCCCTCCAACAGGGACCGGATACAGAACCAATTTAAATTTCCAAGAAGTATGAAAAACAAGTAAAAAAACAAAAAAAATAAAAAGAGAGAGGAATTAGGGCACAGACCCTTCGCTGTAATCTGCCTGCAGAAGGTCCAAATAGCTATCCCATTTGTTTCCAATGACCTAATAGCAGAAAACGAAATTAATTAAAAAAACCCTAAACCCTAAAATCGTAAGAGGAAGGTTGAAGCATTTAGATTAATAAAAAAATAGAGCATCTGGGATGAGAAGGGACCTTTCCGCAGGTGAAACATCGCACGGGGATAATCATCTTCCTTCCTTTGTGCTTGCTGTTCTCTGTATGTGCTCAAACTAAAACCACTCCTAAACCCTTCTTCATCATATTTATATTTGCTTTTTAAGGTGTGCTACCTATATAAATAAAATAACAAAGAAAATAAAAATATTTTAGGTGGATATTTCGTTTTAAATAAAATTCAATTTATTTTTGACGGGATTTTTTTTTCGATGTAGTCAAAGTAACAGTTTTGACTGCATTGTCAAATTGTACATATTATAAATACTAAAATGTATTTTATAACTAAAACTCATTTCATACCATTTTATCTTAATTTTATAAACTGTGATGTTTCAACTTCATAACGAAACTTATTAAGGTAAATTAAAAGAAAAGTAAATAGAAGTTATAAGTTATTGTTTTTGTTTTTAAATATATAGAAATTATAAGTTATTTATACAAGTTTAACCAAATATCCAATTAAAATAAATAACAATAAAAAAGTGATTTAAAAGGAATGTTTAATGGGACATATATATTATATATTATCTCCCATATAAAAGAGGAATACAAAAAAAAGGTTAACTTGAAAATATATAATATTTATACTACCCTTTTAAATAATCACGTATATAATGTACAGTGCTACATTTATAATTTTCTTTCACAATCCATGATTAAATTTTGTTCGCTTTCAGTTTTTCATTATTTTTCATATTCTTTTTATTTTTAATATTATATTTCTATGATTTATTGCTTATATATTTTTAACTTTATTTTATAATTTTTCTCACTTATTTAATATTGTTTTGTATTTTGTTTTAAATGAAAATATATATTTATGTACATAAAAAAATAAATTTGACAAATTTAGAAAAATACATAAATAATAATAATTCAAATTAAACTTTATCATATCTAATTTAAAAAATAACTTTCATTTTTTTAATAATTATATCTTTAATATGAACATTATAATTTATTTTAATTTTATTTAAATATTTTATATTCTTTAAAATAAATTTGTATGATGTTAAAAGTATTTATAAATAATTATTATTATTAAGTAATAATTTTTTTTAATATTTTTATAAAATATCACAAAATTAATTTTATAATTTATATATAAATTAATTTCAATATATGTAAATTTTTATCTAAAATTATTTAATATTAAATTATATCACCATTCTAATTTATACTTATTTTACTTATTATATATATTTTAATTAATACATATTTTATTTTATTAATTAAATTTTTTATTCAAATATATTAATCTTATCTTTTATCATCTTTTTATTTTAAATTTTTATTTTATTTTTCATTATCTATTCTCAATTCAAACAATCATACTTTTTTTAGGATGATAAAATAGGTCACTTCGTTCGCTTTTGACTCGTCAAAAATAGGATAAGCGGATTGATATGTTATAGTCAAGACTGATCTGTAAGTCTTAGCTTATGCCGTCAAAGGATGAGTTGACAGATTAACCCGTCATAATTTAAAAATATATATATATATTTTTAAATCAAAATTTTCAATAAGTTTAATAATAAGATTATCATTTGTTTGTCAATAATTCAACATGTATATTTCAAGTTAATAATATAAATTAACATATTATTTTAAGAAATTATAATTTAAAACAATAATAAAATTTATATAATAATAAATAATAACAAATATATATAAATAATATCAAAACTTGTAAAATTTATATTTTTTATATTGAAAAATTCAAATAGCTATATCTTTTTTATTTGATAAAATTTCATATTGTTCCCTTTGAATAATTCTTACACTTTTAATTAAAGTTGGATAAGAACAATTAATGTTAAGGATAAACAATTAGATCATGACCGAGTGTGAGAAAGAAGTTTATGTTTGCATAAGGATAATGTTTTTTATGACGAGTAAGAGTGTGACTTTTTTTATTCTATTATTACAAATCTTCATTTTATATATTATCTTTATGACTAAGCTGTATTATAATAAAATAATAATTTTTTTATTAATTAGGCGGGTCACTGAATTGGTTCCACTGGATTGATAGACTTGATGGGTCGAACAAGAGTTGGTTGATGGATTAAAAACACTAATTCATCCCACCATATTTATAATGGACTGACAATCAGACCTAATTCATTTTGTCATCTTACTCGACTTTCTCCTTTTTAATTCTTTTTCACATTCACTCCTGGATCAAAACATAATATTGTTTTTTTTTATTGTATACAAATAGTTGAAATTGTACCAAAAAAATATATAACGTTTATACCATGATAGCATTGAAGGAAAAATTTAATTAAAAATATAATTTAATTTTTTATATAATTTAAAGAAATAACTATTAAATGAAAATTTAATATATTAATCAATAATTATTATAAAAATAATTTGTTAAATGCTGTCTAATTTTTTTTACTAAAACTATAATAATAGTAAAGGTAATAAATAAGATAAATATAATCAACTATTTTATAAATATCATAATATCAACTAAACAAAGCCTTATTAAATTGGCGTTTTTATTATTATTAAAATGGATAGTTAAAAACAAATTGTAAATTTTGGTCTATAAATATGATTTCGTTATCTTTAATCATGAATTCAGACTTTATGTTCTTTATTATTATTATTATTTTTAATAAGATTTGAAATCATATTGCATATCAAAAGTAACTATATGGATTCGAAGTATTTGAAAGTGATGAAGATCTTATTGAATCAATTGATTCAATGAAGATCTTGTTGATTTGATGAAGTCAAAGACTATTCTCGTTGAAGTAAAATGTTACTTGGTTAAAAGGCGAGAGTGATTAGTGAGTCTGTATTTATACATACGTATAATAATTCATATCTCTCTGCTGCATGAGGTTTCATCATTTAAAAGATTTTGCAAATGCCTCTAAACATGTTTAATCTGTTAAAAACCAAAGTAATCGGTTAAATAATTTTTAAGTAATTGTTTTAACTGATATTATATGAGCTTTATCAGTTAAAATGTTCTTAACACTTACATAACAAGTTTTTAACTGATAGGTTTTCGAAATAATCAATTAAAACCTTTTAAAACATACACTGGAATTGTTTTAATCGATATATCTTTGAAATAATCGATTGTTTTCATTAAAAGAGTTTTTGAAAAGCTTCTGCGAGTATTTTAACTGATGTAGAATCGAAATAATCGATTAAGATGACTTAAGATGTTTTGAAAAAGTGTTCTGCTAGTATTTTAATCGATACAAACTCGAAATAATCAATTAAAATAACTTGAAGTATTTTGAAATATGTTCTGTCAGTAATTTAATCGATGTAAATGCGAATTAATCGATTAAAACCACTTGAAAGTTTTTGAAAGAAGTTCTGTCAGGATTTTAATCGATGTGTTATCAGTTAAAATGACTTAGAAAGTTTTATGAAACTATTTGACGAGATTTTAATCGATTAAAATGCGTAATAATCGATTAAAACAACTAAGAGATATTTTTCAAAGTGTTTTAATCGAAATCACTTAAAAAGTTTTATGAAAATATTTAGCAGTATTTTAATCGATTAAAACAACTTAAGGGATTTTTTACAAAGTGTTTTAATCGTTTGAAACGATGTCGCATCAGTTAAAACAAATCGAAAAATGATCAAGAACATTTTAACAAATTAAAAGAAGTTTTAATAGATTAATTCAAGACTTTTAACATATTAAAAGATTGTTTTAACAAATTAATTAAACCAATAGTTTGAACAATCTTCTATATAAACAAGATTACTTGAGTCTTTTAATATATACATTTGAGCAATCAATCAAGCAATCATAAGAGCTACTTTCAAGAAAGAATCACACAAGTTTTGTGAAGTTTTTCAAAGTTCTTTCTTGAGGCAATTTCTGCATTTTTTGTGTGAAGAAACTCATTCTGCAGAGTAGCATAATCCGGGTTTGAGTGTTATAGTTTCTTTTCTTTTGTTTCTTTTCATTACTGTATTGTGGGTGTCTGGAAGTGTGGACACTGGTTTCTGTGGCTGGAATTTGGCTGCAAGGTGGTTCAAGAACTGGAAGATGGTTCTTGGTGAACATTTAGGTGCAAGGACTGAAATTTTGGTTATTGTGGTAGATTAAGTGTGTGATTAGAATTGTAATTTGTAAAACATTCAATCTAGTGGAACTCAGCTGGAATTTGACTGAGAACTGGACGTAGCCCTGGGATTTGGTGAACCTAGTGGCGGATCTTCTTGGGAGCTGAGGGGGGCCGTGACCCCCCCAAAGTTTTGTAACTCCCATGTAATTTATGATCTTGGCCCCCAAACTTAATGAACATTTAATATATTTACTTGTATATTTACAAATTTATCCTTTCATCCTTTCATCTTCTTATTTCATTTTATATTTATTTATTATTTATTAATAATATATTATTTGGCCCCTCCAAGATCAATGGTCAAGATCCGCTATTGGGTGAACTGGTATAAATCTTGGTTGTATCTCTTTAAACCTTTCTCTTTTTAATTCTGCTGTTGTCTTTATTTTGATTGGTTGTTTTGTTTGATTTAAGAATTGGTCAGAACTCTTAATTTTTGAAATAGATAATTTGTAATTTGCAAAAAATTTTCAAAGATCAATTCATTCCCCCTCTTCCTCTTGATCTCATCCTCCTTTTCTAACAATTCAGATAAACTATAACAAATAATGACTACTAACATCATTTGAGGGATTATTTATTGCGTGTTGTGTCAAAAATTTAGGCACTCGAAGTAAGTTTTCTGTACAGTACATGGGCATTCTGAATTAAAGAAAAATATATAAGCAAAGAGAATGGTAGATATTTTATTATTAATAATAAATACTTTATTGAGTAAGAATATCTTAAATAGCTATTTTTGTTGTTGGAAATGACTGAAATTATTATGCTTTATCATTTTATAGCAGGCCATATATTTTAATATTTGGCCTATAAAAATAATGATTGATTTTATTTAAAAAACATGTTATATAAAACGACTTTTAATTATATACAAAAATTATAAAAGTTGGGTTACATAAAATCCTGTTAAAAGTATCATATATTTTTTTTGACGAATTCATATTTTTCAATACAAGAATCAAGATTTATATATTTTTAAAAATATTTCTATTTTAGTAATTTGAAAAACAAAAATACACCAGTTCAATGTTTTTCCCTTAGAAATGGAGTTTTTTTTCCTTTTCAGATATAAATTTACAGCTCTAATAACGCATATAAAATAATGAGAACAGCTCATTTTGCGGTCAATATCATAAAATAGTTTCAAAATCCAAATCAAGGTTCAATTTAGATCAATCAATTAAAAGCAACTATAAATAATATTATTTTAATAATATATATATATATATATATATATATATATATATATATATATATATATATATAAAATTTCATTTAAAAAAAGTACGCATAGTTGTATCATTAAAAGAGTTCAACAACATTTCATATTGTAATTAACTTGCATAATCTAAATCCTATAAAAATTTATATAATTATATCATAAAACTTCATATATAATTATTAATGATAAAAAATGTGAAAAACTCAAACCAATCATGGTGGACTGTTCAAATTAAATCCGACTAAACTAAAAATCTAAACCAATTTAATTGGTATAATTTGGATTCTCGGGTTGGTCTAATTGATCCATCCCGATGACCACACTCGATTGGCAAAACATCACAGCTAAAGTTATTTACATCGGACTGTAGAATATGACTAGGTTGGAGGGTTTCTTTACAAATGACAATTAATTTTACCTAATGGAACATTAGTTCGGTATGATAAGCATTTCATAGCTTATGCTGCCGCCTTGATGCAACCCTAACAAGAAGAATGGAAGAGAACTAATTTATGTACATAGTTGCCAACAATGTCGCTGCCTTCAGGACAATTAATCTCGAAATTAGAAGTGCATATACGCAGCTGCAGCCAGGCCTTTCTCTTAGAAGCCTAAAGACAGCATCAGATTCTGGAAACAAGACATGAGAAAATTTCAATTTGTCTAGCATGCACAGGTTTTCAGTAGATGAGATCGGTCTGTTTGACAGAAACAACTACTAAGAATTGAAAATGCTTCAGATTAACCAGATGCTGATGATTGCAGGTACTGTGACGTTCCAATAAGTTAGCGATAATCATGTCAGTGTAGCATTTTTAAGAGCTAAGGGAAGGTGCTTTGGAGTGATTGTGATATAAATTGAGAAAATAATAATGTTACCTGATTAATTACTCTGAGTAATAACACCCAATAAATATTGGGGTTACCGCCAATATTGAGCCCAACGATGGATGGTCTCAACCATCTGAGGGAATAATGCACTCACGCTCTCATTGATAAGATCCTGGAAGAAATGTATACTAGCTTCATCGTCCAAGTCCAACCGAAACTTCTCCTGAAGCTGTACAGCCACGATGTCATGGTATAAGAACAAGTAAACAATTTTTTTACTTATTTGTAAAAACATGAGGGATCTCACCTTAAGAATCCCCTTTTCAGGGTCAGAAGCTATGTCAGGAATATTGGAACCCGCCATTAAGTAAAATAGATTTAAAATTAGGTTACTAGATTTGCGAAGAATGTTGTATGCTTCACAACAATAGGACTTGAACCTTGTATAATATTGGCTGTGCATGGGAGACAAAGAAATCAATCATATCTCACAATTTAAGCTACAAATCACAACCACCTTGAATCTAAAGTGAATCATCCAATGGGAACTGTACCTTTCAGCTCCACCCATAGCCTCAACCATTTCCTTGCAAAGCTTCATTGGTGGTGGAAATGGCTTAGGATCTCGCCCAAGAATAAAACCAAAATCGACATGGAAAAGACCTCCATCATTTCTAAGAAGAAGATTGTCTAAGTGCCTGCCCAAAAAAATAAAGTTCAGTCTAAATAGGGACAAAATATAAATTTAGTGAACAATGAAACAAACTACATAAAATTTAGAATAATGTGATGTAATCTATCTGATCTTTCTTCGATTCAAAATAGGGAAACAATCTTGGACACAATTTATGTGAGTTATATGTATAAGATAGACAAATGGCAGTAGTACTTGATAACCGGATTAACTTTAGTTTGGATTTTGATTGAGATATTAATTTATTTTCAACCTCTTTTCCCCCTTTTAGCCTCTATCTTCTTTTTATTGATGGAATGAGTAGGGGTGTTGTTCAGTGGAAACCTAGGCTGCCAATATAGCACGCCATAGCAGCAGAATGGCCAGTGGCTGCTATTTGAACGCTGTAGAATCATGGTTTGGTGTCACAGCTGTTGCAGCCAATATATTGCCACATATCACAGCCTGTGCGTGCAATTTGTCCGTGACAGGGCAGTCTCCCAAAACCCTGAAATGCTCTTAATTTTTTAAGTTTTAACATGAAAGGGGTATTTTAGGGATTTTCTTGAAGACTGAGTTGATTATGGATTCAAATTCTGCTCACTGAACTTGCTGATCTATTCCTGACTCAACAAGTACTGTGTCACAATTAGAGTACAGTTTCCCTCACTCATAATCATATTCACCACGCCAGGACCAAACATGGAGTTTGACCTGTTTTTTGTGTGTGAACAGGTGTTTTCAGCAAGCTGTTACTTGTTCAACATGTTCCAGCTTAAGATCAATGGGAAGATTCGCTCACTAAACCTCTCTCCTACTCAGTTTCTTCAGCTCATTGGATATTTCCTTTTTTTTATGAGGAAAATATAAATGCAAAGACAGACAACACATAAACTCATATACTGCATGGGCAATACCACCCTATCAGCTCACAGAAAAGCTTGTAACTGTTCTGGGCATGCAGTCCACGTTTTCAAGCTTTCATCATGGGATGAACCATAAAGAAATCAGCAGGGTAATTCTTCCCTTAATGTATGTTTGAACAAGACTGTCCAATCCCTATTCTTCAATTCTCTAATGACATTCCTAAAACCTTTCTGTGATGATGTATTTTGAATCAATTGCAGAGCTATTGTGAATCAGATTCACAACTGACATTCCAAAATACTTGCAGTCATCCTTATAGTATTGAGTCTTTCGATAGGAATTCACCAAAGAGAAATAACACTAATGAGACATGAACTCAACTCATATAAGGGATTGACACTACCTTTAAACCAAAACCTTAAGACATTGCGTTATGAGTCTTTCTTCCTTATATGTTATTTAACTTCTTCATTTTTACTCAATGTGAGACTTGGACTCACACTTCAAGCTCACTAGTGACTTTTACTTGTACTGTCATTCATCATAACAGGACACTCTTACCTAACCCATTGGTAGGAAGACTTTTGATATAAAAACCACTTTTAAACGACTGGTCACCACACAAACCATCAGCTCTAATACCACTGATAGGTCTTTCGAGGAGGGATTCACTAGGAAGAAAGAACACCAATATGACATGAGCCCAACTCACATAAGGGATTGACACTACCTTCAACCAAAAACTTTAAGATATTGGGTTATGGGTCCTTCTTCTTTATATGTTGCTGAGCTTCCTCATTTTTACTCAATGTAACACTTAAACTCGCACTTGGATTTCCCAACATATAATTCTAGACACAACTTGCTATAACATTAAGCTGATACAGCTGTAACTGACTTGGGGTTGGCTGACAGAAGTAATCTTTCTGTCGATACCAACCAAGGTTAACACAAATAGTTGAGCTAATAGTAGCCTCTGTAACAAAATATTATGTTACAAAGATTCAGAAATGAAACTTAGCCACAACTCTTCAGACATTACCAAGCTAAGTGAAATAACTAAATGATTACAATAAATACAGATAAAGTAATTATAGAAGATTTTATTCTTATATACATGACATGATATGCCTTTATATCATATTTCAATAAATCTGATTCTGATCAGATATCCCTATAAATTATAAAGATCCTAATTAACTAAGGAAACAAATCAAAATATAAAATAAGAAATCCTAAAAGATCATCTAAGTTACTCTAAAATATTCTAAGGATAATAGCTTTAGATATTTATTATATTTCTAACAAGGCCAAAGCAACCTATCCAGTGTAAGGGCAAAAGACAAGGACCTCATAAACATGTTAAAATCATAGATCCAAGAAAAAGAATTAGAAGTATTGAAACAGAATATCAATGCTTAAATAGTTAGATTGAAAATAGAGTGTGACGAATAAAATTAACAATCACCTGTCTCCGATACCAAGTATATATGTGATAACAGAGTAGCCAGCACAGCTTTTTATAAAAGTTTCAAGGCAGGTGGCTGTGATTCCAAATGGTCCGTGGTCATCAGGATGAAACTTCTGCAAATAGCTTATGATGCTACGATGCTCCGATAAAATCTAGTCATGTAAAGATTATATATTAGTATAGCCATTGCAAGATTGTGCACCTACAACCGTCATGGTGATTTATTGAACGTCAAAAACTAAAGAGCTAAGCATATATGTAATTAATAAATTTCAATACCCAACAACATCAATCAGTAACTAGCAACCTGACAGGTTACAAATTCCAATTTCAAATGTGTATTTTTTTAAAAACTAGAATAAAATCTTTCCCAGAAATATTAGCAACTTAACGTATTAACAATCCTTTTTCTTCTAACTTGGTTTTGAGTCTAACTCAACACGATAAACCATTGTAAGATGAGATTTACATTCTGGTTATATATTTTATTTAGTCATATCACAGTCAACATGAGATCTCAAACATCTTCGTCAGTTAAAAAAAGTTAAATATGTCACAACTTACAACCAAATATGTCACAACTCACAACCAAATGTCAATATTAAACCCTTACTACATCTCAATGTAGACGAAATCTTCAATCATGATGAAGCAGTGACTACATGCTAATAGAAGATACAACTTTTAAAAGTATATATCACCATACCAGGGCCAATGACCGAGATGGAATAAATTCCAACATGCCTTCATCTTGTCCAGTTGCTAGCACCTTGTATGGTGTCAGGTGCAAATCAAGATTTTCTAGCTTGAGTAATCGGTCCATTAGTGATACCATTTGAACAACCTGCATAAAACCCAACATTTATATATTTGAAATCGTGTTTTCTGAATATCCATCATGTGTGTTGATGAGCACATGGAAAAGCAAGTATTTTTGATTCATCAATGCACACATGTATTCATTTGCATGCATAACAGGGATGACCCAAAAAGGATAGGTAGGATTACCAACTGGTCCTGTCGAATATCATCTCCCTTTTTAAATATAATTTTACAAGTTCCACCATTTGTTGTTCTAAAAGTAAGGCGCAGAGGATGCAGTGCACTTTTAAATATTGATGACTCTGAAGGTACAATACCACTTATGAGGACACCAGGTGCCAAAGGTGATCGTATGGGCTACAAGTGAAAGATTGCAACAATAAGCATACATTTTGAGAACTTTAACAAATTCACAAGAAATAATTATTGGAAATAAATTAAATTGTGGAAATTAATAAATTGTTCAACATTCATCATTAATTAACATAAAAAGGTAAACAAAAACACGAAAAAAATAAATGAGCATACATCTTCATGTTAGATTATTGATACCTACCTCATCAAAATAGGTAAGTTCACTGAGAAGACCAGAAAGTAGTTGTCTAAGCTTTTCAATCTTCTTTTGTGTATTACCACGAACATTCCTTACATCTCTAGTGATCGAACACAACTGAGCCGTCAATTCAGTCTGGCGCACCAAACTCTGCCACTGTTTAAACCCATCTTCCTCTCCATTCACACCAGTTGTCATCTGAGACAAAGGAGCATAATTGTCATGTTCTATAATGAATTACTCCAAAAATTATGCCACACAAATGAAATCATGATGATATATTAAAGAAATATGCTCTTTTTTTAATAAAAAAAGAATGTTATTGCATCACTATACAAGTTGAAAAACCTAACTAGGTTAACTCTGCAACTTGTATCAATCACGGAAATATTATTAAAGAGCAAAGAAATACAAAAGTAAGGGATTAAAGAAATCTACTTATTCATAGAGCAAGACAAATTTCAAATATGGTGAAATATGAAAATATTTTCTAATGTAGTAGTACAAATGAAGCATACATGGATTAGCTATTCCAAATTTGCAGCAATAAAGAAATGCAAAGCAATTAATCTTCACAAACAAAACAATATTTTCCAAAATGAAGGCAAGTAGCAAAATCATTCATCTCAACAATAAGTTTCACAGAAGCACAACTTTGTGAAGGTAAATGGGTACATATAAGAAATTTGAGTTCAAACCTTCATCATATTCTCCTCAAGAATCTCATAAGTGCAGTAAAATCGTTTGGCATATGCAGGATCATAAAGTTCAACAGCCACATACCAGCGAAGAAAGCTTGCCAATTCAATATTGCATAATGCTGTCAAAATTCAGGTTTCTTTGAGAAAATAGTCAAATATATCTAGAATCAGCACCTGAAATAGCTCTGAAGCACTTACCACGCTGGACAAGGAAATGAGAAAGACGAGATTTATCAGAACGCTCAAACCGAAGAGCCTGAACCAATTGAAGCAAGTAACATTGAAGCTCTTCATCATCAGCTCTTTCAAGAACACTAACTGCATAAGCACGAACCTGAAATGAAGCAATTGATAAATGGCTCATTTGGTTCTGCAAAGATGCATAAATTTCTCTTTTTGAATGAAAAATTAGTTGCAATATTTAGTCATACATCTATAACAACAGTAAGTCCCGGAGTGCAATGTCATTTTTGCTCCTACTCTATTATTAGACATAATGCTATGTTTATGGCCTTTCTTTGGTGTTCAACTCATGGCTGTATTAAGGGAATTAAACATTCTGAGGTCCAGAGAGATTGGGCTTATTTGCCATATTCATTTACTCTTTGTTGAATCCAGTTCTGTCAGTTATGGAAGATACATAATTCTATCCCCTAATCCCTAGTTGTAATACTCCTCTCCACTATCTGGTAAAATTTCTTTTTCAAACTAGTATGTAATATGTGGGAAAACTAAAGGAAACTTTCTTGGTTCTTACCACTATCTTTGTCGATACCGATATTTAAGTGTCTGTTGAAAGTTACGTATAATATAGTTCTTGCCAGTAAATATGTTGATACGGGTATAACACTATTAATGTGTTGAGGGCACTACGTTCATGATTAAAGCTTAGAGTTTACTCTTTACTTTATTGTACAGAATTGCCCTGCAAACCTAATTAACATAAACACAAGACATACACTGATATTGGTTACAATTTTCCCAAAGATCTCTCTTCAAAATTACCTCTTCACTTTCAAAAACAGGTGACAGAAGTTCCAGAGCATCAGAAACATCAATCATTTCCCACTTGCCCATTAATTCTAATGCTTGTTTTGCTTCCTGGACAAAAAACAGTATCATAAAATGAGAAACTCTACCACTGATTTCTAGCAATAAGAATTCAAGGGAAAAAGAGAAAAAAGAAATAGAGATAAGAAAATAATTATTCAAGAAACAAAAAGCAATGACATCATTGTGTTACATTAAAGGCAGTACAGCGAGGCCATTTAGATCTAGATCCTCGCTACAGTTTCACTTAGAGTCTTTCTTGATTTGTGTGGTATTATACCTCACATTTGATAACTAGGGCTAAATTAAATTATCTGTGAATAGAAACAAAAATGCAAGATTACTTATTTGAATAGAAACAATGACAGGGAGACCATAAAAGACTTACACACAATGTCTTGAATTTGTGTATATACATAAGCAAATGGCCACACTAGATATCCTATTGGAAATAGATTTTTCTAGAGGAAAGGTGCGCTAAAATTCTAATTAATTAATAAAACATCAGCCAATGCCCAATTTTACTGAATACAATTTTCCCCAAAAAACATTTTCACCCTAGTGACGAATTGATGCAGTATGTGTATGCAGAAAACTACAATTTAAGGCTTTGGTAAATTATCATGAGACATAATAAGACCATAGTTATACACTACATATAATGGCATGGAGCAGCTGACCCATAAACTTCTACAACAGGACAGCATATTGTGAGATGAATGCTATTTGAAATTTCTAGATATTAAGTAAACAGTTTATATATATAATGCTAAAAAATTTATCCAAAATCAGAGGCATATTCATAATAGTTAAAAAGGCATAATTTTAAGCCAAGCACAAAAGTTAATATAACAAATTAAAAATATTATTTAAAAGAAAAGGAATAATAGAGTTAAAAATTCATCAAAAGAATTAAAAGTTAAATAAAATATGCATGAGAGTATCCTTTAAACAGAGGCCAAAGGATGCAAACAGAGTAGAGCAGCACACAGAAATCAAAACAGAGCAGGAGCAAAGCAAGGTTATGACTTGGGCATGTGTGTGCGATATGATCAGATCTGCTACATGTGCAGAATGTGCTATTAAATACTCTGACAAAACCTCACATTACCATTAAGTAACAGTCCTACAACATACCAAAAATAATTTATCATAATATCTGTTACTAATTTGTGAGATATTAAATGCTGACCTTTACATCGCTCCATTCAACACAACGCAAAAACTTTGTAAGAGCCCTCTTTTCAGACATCAAAGAGAAGCGGAATTTCCACAAGAGCTGTCTCTCATCTCCACTCAAAGTCCTTGTTGGTGGATACTTTAGTATTCTCTGAATTGACCTTGACATAAAGGATCAAATAAAAAATTAAAAATTCAATTATGTGCTTCCAGGATGGGAAGGCATGGCCTTTGACTCCAGAATTATAAGAATGCATTAAGGTGAGAATATGGGATTAAAATTCCTCAAGGTAATCAAAACTCATAATACATTAGAATTATTCAGTTTTTTTTCAAACTATCACATTAAATATTTACCTAATTATAGGGATATATTAACTTGTCAACACTAGCTTCATGCAGACAAGTGGACTGATTTCACCTCAAAGAGGAGTTCGCTATCATTTTACAGAATTTTCAGCAAGATATCCACCCCAAAATATAGAAAATAATTTCATCTTCCACATGCATCATTATGCAATGCAATTGAAAGGGCGATTATTTGAGAATTTATCTAATTCAACAAAGCCTACTTATGGAGTCAAAACTCACAAACTAATCATTATTGCATGTTGCATTCTTCATAATTACCTAATTAGTGTAGAGATAGACGAAGACCTTATAGCTGCAGTAGATGCTGATATTGTATCTCCTAAAAATTATCAAGCTCCAAGAGGCAATAGTGAGGTGGTTGCTCAGGGTGATGTATAAGGAGATAATTTAGCAAATCAAACATGGACAGATCATTTAGGATGAATAGTTTGCACTGGTATTTGTTGTCATTGTGTTTATTTTAACTTGGTGCTTGTTGCCTTTCCTTTATGTTTGAAATTCTAAGTGTATGATTTAGTACATGTTTGTAAAATATTGAATCTGATGAAATGAAACATGTCTTAATAATTACAATATTACTTGTTCACTGTCTCATCTATTGATTCTATTATGCTACAATGGATAAATATCACTATACAGCATGACACCCAAAATGTTATTACCAACTAACAGTGGTAGGGAAAACTTGAACTGGACAAGATGGATGATGCTTTTTTGATGCCTCCATACATGATACCAAAAAGACAACAAAGTTATTGGTATTTTTGCTAGCAGTGTACGAAAACATCATAAATGAGCTGAGTGCAATTTTGGGGAAGAAATTTGTCAAGGAAAAGGTAAAAATCATTGAAAAACATCGACAAAAATACTAAGGTGTTCATGAAATTTTTATAAATGGTATGAGTGGGTTTGCTTGGAATTCATCTAGTCATTTAAGGGCTGCTCTAATTCAGGTAACATTCTTAAATCTAGTATTTTGTAATATGTCAATAATGAATAATTGGTCAATTTCTGTGAAACTTTCCTTTCAGTCAAAACCCAAAGCAGCCTTTTGGAAAATTACATTAATTCCAAATTATGAGAAGATGATGAAATTATATGGGAATATGATCAAGCTACTAGAGAGGAAGCCAAGACTGCAACTACGGTGAGAAAACAAGGATAATCTGTCACTGAAAAATATTTAATCAAATCTATCAATGACCTTAGATAATCATATTAAATTAGGTGACATTGGAGAATTTTGATGCTTATGTCAATGGTAATGAAAATCATATTTCTCAGCTCATGACATGCATTTCACAAAATCCTTAGCAACATCAAGCAGTGGCAGCAAGAAGAGGAAATTCAGAGTGGATGGCTACAAATACAAAGATGTGGAGTTAAATGGACTTAAAGAGGCAATAAAAGAGGTTGCAGAGGCCTTAAGGGAAGGCAATGCCATAATGAGAGAATTGTTGATCAAGAAGCTTGAAGCAAGTTTGGCCTTGAAGTGTGAAGTTTGAAGATTTTATGTTCTCAACCACTTTGTTGATGATTGATGATGTTTATTTTGGTGCTTAATATGGGGTTTTGGTTGCAATGTGTGTGATAAATGTATTGTAAGTGGTTTCTTCATCCTTGATCTTGCATAGATTAAGTTGTTAAATCTTTCAGAAATGTTTTGGCCATGGTTGAAAAGGTTTGTGCTATTTCAGCGGATAAAAAATCTTTTAAATCTATTAAAATGTTCTTCAAGTTGTTGGGTTTGCAAGGAAGAACATTTTCTTCAATTAAAATTGAGTTTTAATCGATTAATTTCATTAAAATTTTTCAATCCTAGAAGTTGGTCCTGTTTTAATTAATTGAAATGTGTTCTAATCAAGTAAAACATGGTTTAATCAATTAAAATCAGTTAAAGTCTAGACTTTAGTGATTTTATTGAAATCAAAAGTGTCTAAATGGGATTGGGCACTATTTTAATAAAACAAATTTTAATCCATTAAAACTATCAGCTATATATACAAGCTATCTCATTGGATCCTTAAGCAATCCTTTCTCAAAAGTTCTGAAACAAACCTTGTGTTAGTCGTGCAAGAGAGAAGAACACTTCCTGAGATTCTACTACCTGATTAATGGCTCCAAGATCATTGACTTCACATAGGAGATCACATTTGTCTTTCTTGTTTATATCTTGTCATGAAACTTTCTAGGTGATCTTGTTCCTTTTTGTCTATTCTTTAGTGTTTGTTCTTGACTAAGGTTGTCAAGGGTGTTGCGTGTGATAGGGTGTCACAAGTGGTGGTAAGAGATCTTATTGCTTGAGTTATATTTTTTTGTTTTCTTGAGAGGTTCATGTAAAACCTGAAAATTAGTGTATTGGCTTAATTAGGGTGATTAGGCAACTGGATGTAGTTCTGTTGTGAAGGTGAACCAATATAATTTTTAGTGTTTTCCTCTCTCCCTCTCCTGCATATTAATTTTGTCTTGTATCATCCTTGTATACTCGTGGAAGGCTAAAGATTATTAGCATTAGCATATCTTGATATAAAACTCTGATTTTTCTTGTATCATTGTATGCTATCATGATTCAAAGAAAATATCTCATCCCCATTAACAAAAATCTTATATAGTATTCACCCCCTCTTGAACTCAGTCCTTTAATGTAACAAGAACACAACCACCAGCTCCTTTCAATTTCAGGACATGAAGTTTCGACTTTAACCAAGAATTGAAGATGTTATGCAAACTTGCAACCTAAGATTTTTTGTGTTTTAATGAATGATAAACTAAGTAAAGTCCTTCAATGTCCATTTCAAGCAAGCAAGTAATGAAGCCTACATGGCAGATGGTTTTATGTTTTCTTAGTCTAAATTGACAAGAAACTCATTATGTCATTGCTTTCCATTTTTCATATATGTTTATTAGTTACAAGGTTTTCTCTTTCAAGTTGTTTATCTTTTTGCAGTCGAAAATCAGAGATATGGATTTAGTTCAATCAATGTTGGTAGGAAAGTTTTATTTTATTTGTTTTTAGATTGCTTTCATTCTGAACCAGTGTGATTATTATTAGAATAGACAAAGCAATGCATTGAAATACACACACACACACACACACACACACATATATATATATATAGCAATGCATTTAAATTATATATGAGTGTGTGTGATGATGATTGATTATAGCACAAAATACATATTCCTGCATCAACCTACCGTGCTAACTAATCTAATATATACCATTGGGGGTGGAATAAAGTTGCAATTCCTGGTATTATGTGGGAAAACTTAGGCAGATTATGATTTCAATATGAAATCGCTAGCATTCTTCAATTAGTATATAGTTACTTATTGCACCAAATCACTCATTCACATTTTCTGTAATTAGCTTAATTCTTCCACACGCGTTTTTCCTCTTTATTTATGTTTGCTTATAATCCAGGAAAAAAGTCTTCACACACCATATAAACTTGTTTATAAGGATCATCTATATAAGGGTAAGTAAATTTGTAAACTAAAAAATTCAACTTCTTTACATGTCAACTAACTTTCTTTGACAGAATGTTAAAATTGCTCCCCACCCCTTGTGAACCAAACAAGAATAGAGTTATTTCTCCTCCCCTCCTCTTCCCTAGCCAAACAAAATATATAATTAGCATCCCTCTCTTTCTCATCCCTCCCCTCCATTGAATCAACTGAGCAGAAGTGTCCACCCTTCACAGGTGGAAAATTTCATGTTAATTGTGTTTGCCTCTCTGTCAACAATATATGTCTCTGAATAAATTAACCACTTCAAACACTGAAGAGGTAAATCATTCCCAACATTAATCTGATTGATATAACAGAAATCATATTGCAATACAAAAGTTTAAGCTTACTTTCTCTCATTTGAGCTTGGCTTCAGATCCCTGTCTATGACGGCACGAGTCAAACTCCTGGCCAGCTTCAACTGTTTGTGCTCAGAGGGATTTATCTTTCCCACTTCTGGATCCCAGACAATAACAATATCATTGGTTGAAGCTATAGGAGACGGCAACAAAAAATTTGCACCTGATTCCTACATTTTGTAACAAATAAGAGCTAATGCACGTGAAAGATATGTATCTTATCAGCATTTATTATATTATTAAAGAAGAAAAACATAACTTCAGGGGTTACCAGGTAAACTGATAAGTTTACAACAGTGTGCAGGGTAGTATACCTCAATAACTTAGATGGAATATTAACAATCTTTAAAATGCAAGATGCTAGCAAACCCATGACTACATTCAAGGGATTACACGTACAATTGCTAAACTAAACATGACGTATAACACAGGCATTGTTGTGAGACTAACATTTGTGCAATGGCACAACTAGGAGGCAAGAATACCTGAAAAACAACTCGATGCTCAAAGCTACAGAAGTCTACAACCAGGTAATGAGAACTTCCGTTTTTCAAGCTTTCACGTTCCTTGATTCTGTCCATACTTTTAAATGTGAGGCGATCCAGCCAGTCCACTCGTTGAATTTGACCTCGTTCATACTTATTCACAAGCTTTTCCAACCGCTCCAATTCTCCACGCTCATGCCTAGGGACCTAATGAGGACAAACCAAAGCATGTTTTATAAGATCGAATGATTTCATAAAATTAAACAAAAATGAAAAAATGGCACTTATGCTCACTTAAACATTAACTACCTTTCCAGGTGTACTGGTAGGAAATGTTCCATCTGCCTCTTTTCCTGCCCAAAGCCTAAGCTTTTGCTTCCCAGTTTTGAGCTGTTTTTTGTTATTGAAGAGAAGAATTGTGGCTCCTCCAATCAATCCTTCACCATGTGAAAGATCCCAAACCTATTGTTCATACAACAATATTAGCAAAATACTGAAGGCCCTTCACAAATTTTAAAGCAAAATTTTGGTAAAACAGAAGCTAATAAAATTCAAACATTATTTTAGGTAAGGAGAAACATAACCAGAATTTAATTCTTGCAACAATTCATAGATGAGCAGCACAAAACAAGTTTTGTTCTATCACTACTTGAAGGAAGCATAAATAAGCTTGTATAGCTAAATTTGCAACTTACAGTGAATGTGAGTTGTGACTGAGCAGTTAAGTCCCGATATTTTGTTGTTAAAGTGATGAGCTCATTCCAACAATATGGTGGTCCAGTGGACTCCAATCTTCACCAGATGATTTAAAAATATAAAAAATCTCAAATATATTAAAATGTCAGTGTAATATTATCACTATGAACACATTGCTGATTGGGTAATAAATATGAGCTATGAAGAGCGAAAATTCCAAAAATTGGTTAAAAAATCCCACCCAATTGAATTTAAATCTCTACTTTTAACACACACCTCACCTACGAAGGTGGAGGCACATGGAGATGAAAAACAAAATAGAGTCATAGAAGAGGTAAATCAGCAAAACAACTCTTATCCCTTCAAATTTATTCGTTCAGCACATACTAGCAAGATTACGTGGACCAACACTTTTAGAGGAGTGCTAGGAACACATTCTCTCCCTTTGGTTAAAGTTTATTGAAAACTACAAGTTCACAAGGAGATTCGTTAAATAAAATGTGGAACCCAAAAAATGGTATGATTTTCAATGAATTTAAACCAGAAAGTATTATCCTAACATTCCTTCAAGTGTGAAATATAGACTGGAATAAAGACAGCTCAATTAAAAATATCAAACCTTGTTCCGGTGGGAAGGCCAAACGGTGCACCATCGATGTACAACGCACACTCCACGTACAACTCCGATGTTCTATTCTCGGTGGGGGCATTATTTTCTGCAATAAGTGCACAATCATCAAGTTCAATTGATGGAAACTTCAGATTCCACAAGAGCTCAAAGTGAGACGAGTTAATTGGTGAATTGAATCATGAAAAGAGGCGAAAACAAACCTGAATTGGGGAATTTGGGAAGAGGGAAATTGCCTTCTAATCGCTCGACGCGGAAAGTGACTGGAAGATTGATGTCGCAGGACAAGAAAAAGCGAAACTCGTTACCGGTCATGGGAACTACTTGTTTGTGTTGAACCAGTGTTGGATCAATCACTTGCACAATATCACAAACAGAGTCCAAAGGGAATTGTATTCTTCACCTTTACACAAGAAATAGAAGAAGAGATTCGCCTTCTGTTCTTTGTTTCAATGTACGGCCCATAAAGCCTTTGCCTTCATGCACTTATTTACTCTAACCATAAAAATAACTTTTTAAAATTTGTATATTCTCTAAAAAAAATATTATCTCAAATGTATTGAACAAAATTGAATTCAAGCATTCCTAAAAGCATTTAAAGGAATATTATCGTTATTTAATTAGGTCTTATTTTTTAAATATTAAAAAATATTTTTAAAATGAACCGATATGATGAAAAGTATATATCAATAAAAAATATTAAAAATATAAAATAACTTTTATCAAAAAAATTATTTTTAAAAATTGAAATATAAAATATTTTTTATCAATTTTATTTTAGTTTTAAAAATAAAAACACATGAACAATTTTCAAAAGTTATTTTCACAAAGTAATTATCAAATAATATTTTCAGATTTTAGAAACTATAAATTAAAAATTAGTTTTAGAAATAATAAATAAGTTTTAGATCATCTCTTAACCATTTTAAATAATTTATATATATATTTAACAAGATGTCGACCTAATAAAAATTCAAGAGTTAAAAACATTTGGTTATCCATAATTTTTTCATAATTAATTGTTTTAAATATTTTTTTAAATGTTATTTTATTTTCTCTCTTTATTTTTAAATATACCAATATTTTTCCTTAATTATTATTATATTTTTCTTTCATATACTTTACTATCTTTGGAAATATATAAATTAAATACTTTTTTTAAACTATAATATTTTTATTTTTGTTCTCTAATAAAAAAACAGAATATTTATTATATATAATTATAGATATTTTTTAAACTACAACTAATAATAACTTATCATGTTTATAAGAAAAATAAAATAATAAAAAATTACAACGACTTATTTATTTATTGTTTAAACAAATGAATTTTCGTTTTTAAAATTTTAAAATTTATTTAGTAATCAATAAAATAGTTTTTATAAAATTGTATATGATTTTGTCTATTTTAAAAATTTTTAAAAAATTAAAATCTAATAAAAATATTTTATTTAATTTATCCTCAACGCTAACTCAATTACTAATAATTATGTTATATGGTTTCCTTTTCTTACTACAAAATTATTAAAATCAATTTCTTGTAACTTTTCCATTGTTATATATATATATATATATTTTTTGTCTAATTTATTTTCAAAAAATGCTTTTATTAATATCTAAAACTGTTTTTAACACTAAGGAAAAAAAAAACAACTAAATCAGATGATGAAAAAGAAAAGAAAAGAACTTAGATGATGAAAAGTTAAAAAAAAATGAAAATCAAATAAATGGAGTAAAAAGTAAATATTTTTAGATAAATAAAATGGGAATATTATACAAATAAAATATCATTAATAAAAAGTTTATTATTTCTATTATTTAATATTATTTATAATTATTATAATAAAGAAAAAGAAATAATTAAAAATTTATAATAAATAAATATCTATTATTATTTTTTTAGTTTTAATGAATTTTTTGTATTTTGTAAAAAAAAAACAAATATGAAAAAAAAACTTTCTTTAAGTTTCTTCGTCTTTCCACGCTTTGATACAACGAGGGCTAAAAATGTTTAATGTTTGTACACGATTCTAATGTTTTTTCCTTCTACACAATGGGAAAGGATTAAAACAAATTAGTTAAAATAAACAAAAAATTGGTCAAGACAACAACAATAATTATACATGCCTTCTTCAGCTTTGATTTTTTTAATAACAACACTTCACTTAATCCATATGTTTAACATTTTTTACCAAATTAATAATAAATTAAACATTTGTTATTAAAATTATAGTTTTGTACAAATAAGACATTGGTTAAGATCTTTTTTTTTTTTTTTCTCTAGGAAACATGAAACATGGTGTCTTTGCAAAAGATAATCCAAAATATCTCTCTAAAAATTATGCATTTGCCAAATTATAATTTGAGTTTGAATTTGTTAACTAAATTGAAACAACTTGATATAGGTGATGTTACAATTCATGACTTTTCTCAATTCATTATAAATATCAATTTAATAAATCAAATTATTGTTCTATTAATAATTTGTTTTTGCATTAATACACTAATTTATAATTTATAATAAAGTGTGTATATTTTATGTAATATAATAATTTGTATTTTTCACCATGACAAGAGATAAATTTTTTAAAATATAATTATATTAATATGATAATAAGTATATTATTATTATTATTATTAATATAACTTAACAATAATAATTTACTAAATATAATAAATATACTTAATCACGGTGTATTTATGATATTAGTTAACTGTTGGTTTGGTCAAATACTATTAGAATGTTGAGTTATGAGCTCAAATCCAATTAAACTAGGTTTTCTTCAGAAAAGTTTCACATTAAAATATTTTGGAGGCAAAAAAATGAGGTTGAATTTTTTTATCAATAAAATTAATACATGGTTTATATTAATAAAATTATTTTAACAATAATATAATTAAAAAATAAATAACTAGAATCTTTTGTAGAAATTTTCACCTATAGTAGTAGAAGATTTGATTTAGAAAACATTACTTCTGAATAAAATAGAAAAATATAAGAGGTAATAAATTAAATATTTTTAATTATAGGTTGATGAATACATCATGAAAATATTAGATACACTTTATTGAAAATAAATATTATAAATTAGTTCAAAGCACCATACTTATTGCTTTTTATATCTTTCTGCCAATAAATACATGATGTTACATCCAAATAAATAATAAAAAACATTATAAGCAAGAAATAAAGATTTTTTAATGTAAGTTCATAAACACAGCATACAAATATATACTTTATAGAATATAAATGTTTTAAATAAATAAGTCAAAACAAATGTTTCTACACACCACAGAAAACCCCCTACAAATTAATAATAGTTTTCTCCATTTCTTATGCAACACCCACTCCTTCCTATATTCTATTCATAACTCTCATCATTCATCCATCCACTTTCCTTAATCTTTCATTCCAGATCTCTTACCATCTTCCTCCCCTCTGTCACCCTTTTTGTTCCATTGTTATTTTTGTGTCTGAATCAGCCTGATCTTTTGTTTTTTCCTTGTTGTAAAACTTTTCTTCTCAAGGTATGTACCGGGTTTTTCTTTGAATTGATCTTCCACCTTTTGAAATCTTTTGATGTCTCAAAGTTGTTTACTTTTTAGATCGTAGTGCTTGATTTGCCTTGTTGACGGTGGATTGCTTTGCCTTTTTCCATTTCCCCTCTTGTGACCAACAAACAGATGTTCTGAACATGAGGATAGATTTTTGTTGTGGTGTTCGTTATGTATGCCAGCATTTAATAAAAAAAATTTCATCAAAGATGTTTTTTTAGTTTTTAATTATTATTGATCTGAGTGAAATGTTGTTGTGCTTTCATGTTTATAAATCACTTAATAATTAAGATATTCATCTTGATTTTTCTTTTTGCTTATCTGTTGACGGATATTCAGCTTTGGTTACTCATCTGATGCAATCATATTTTAGTGAACATTCATCAGATGTATTTGATCAGTCTATGGCTTCCTTTGTTGAAAGGAAGCAAGTTCAGTTTTTCAATTTTCCGTTGTACAAAAAAAAAATAAAAAAATTGGGAAGAAGAACATGTATGGCCATATGGGGATAATATATATTTTCTTTGCCAGTTTTCAAACTACCCAATTGGTGTAGGCAAAGCCATTCGTTTTTTCTTTCTTTCTAGGGAATTCATTATACCATTGTAATACTTCTATCCTTTTTATTATTATCATAATTTGGTTATATAACTATTGCTGGTCATTTATTTATATCATAAAACTTGTCCACATATGATTCTGTATAAGAATGGCTTCCCTAGATGCTTTATGTGGTTGTTTAAGTAAATATTGGGCCACAGTTAAGAGAGATTGATGTTGGAGGTCAGACACCTACTGTTGAACCTTTTATTTATTTATTTATTTATGATTGATAGTCAATATATCTGCCGTGAATGATCCATGTTTGGGGTTTCAACAAATTTTACGCTGCCCGTTTAGGGCTTTACATAATTGTTCTCATATATTCGAGCTTGGGACTAGCTTATGAGACCATGATGGATATGTGGCCACTGAAGGAAGGACAAGATAAGCACTGATTGTATACAAAGAGTTATTAGCATAACTTACTGAGGAAAAGAAGGTAGAAATCCGGTATGCAAAGAAGACCATTGGAGGCATTGGTGAGGAAAGTAGATGACATGGTTTTTAGCCTCATGAGAAGCGGTAAAGAGAGATCTAAAAGGACTTTGGACAAATTAAAAGGGATTTCATGGTGAATAACATTCTTGATAGTTTGGTTTTTGATTAAGCCCAATTATGTTTTGTGATCCATGTAGCCAGCCTCGCTTAGTGGGATAAGGCTATTGCTGTTGAAAATCAACATAAAATTTTGTTTAACTCTAAGCTTATTGTTATTTGAAACTTAGCATTTGCTTCAAAGGAACGTAGGCATTCTTTATGAGAGCATTTATACTAAATATATGAAAGTGAAGATATATAACCAGCATTTAACCTTGATATTGTTTCTCAAGATTTCACTAGGGAGTGTTTAGCCTTAATTTTTTTTGTAACTTATTAAGAGCAGAAGTCTTTTATTTCGTCTTTACAACATTAAACAAGCTAAATTTATTGAGCTACTTTAACATCGTGTTTGGCTAAATCTCTGCTTCTAAACAGAAAAAAACCCAAGAAAAACTTGAGAAGTGTATGGGTAACTCATCTTTAATAAAAATCATGTTTCTTGGTATTACTGAACTTGCAAATAGCTGCTTTGGAACTTTAGTTTTAATCTTAAGAAGTATATGATTAATTTTGATACATTACTTCCTTCCATGTGTTCTACCTGAATTTTCCTTTGTATTTGTGAACATATTTCATCTAGATTTACTGAATGTAAATATTCATTTTGTCATCTTCAAATATTTTGTTTTGCCACATTTTCACTAAATACTGCACAATTAACCTTTGTTTCTACCCAAACATTTATTTAAACATATTAGCAACTCAACCTTTAGATGGAATTTGTATAATTTCATCTATTTGTTTGAACATGTAGATACATTAGTATATTGATTTTTATTTTCTTTTTCACAAAGTTACTTGACAAGTAGGAAACAGAAAATGTTTACCGAGTATCATCACAGCAAAACCAACTTATAAGTATACGTTATTAGACCATCAACTCTCCTACCCTTACAAGCCATATAGTACAAAGTATTGCACTGATGTGTTTTTGGGTGCTGTAATATTTGATGTTAGCTTTTACTCAAAGTTGATGCTGAGCTTTTCCTTTACCGTTTTCTTGTAGATAATCATTAGTAGCTTCATTAATATTATTTGAAGGCTACATACGGGAGCTAGGCAATCACATTTACTGGGAAAATGTTTGGAGGCAACAATGGAAATCGCTTGCTTCCTGTTTTCTTGGATGAGACTCAATTTCGGCATCAAACTAGTGTGTCAAATCAGTTACAGTTGTTTGGAAATTGTAAGTTTTTTCCTTTCTTTCTCACGCAACATAATATTTTTCACTGAATTTGAATGTGGTTATTAAACAGGGTATTTCTGTTTTCATGAACTTACACTTTTGATGGGTATATTTTTCTGGTTTATGATTTTTTCTTGGAGCGCTACTTTCCTTCATCTTGTACTTTCAACAATTCTATCCTCTTGTCCCTGGTGCTGATAGGCGTGTTTATGTCATCTTCTTTCCTTTTTTGTATTGGGATGGTTACGAACTTGTCTTGGTTATTTACCTGTCTGGATGTTTTGTTTGTGTGCATTGCTTGTATGCGATGCCTAATTTTGTAGGATCTAACCGAAGCTGACAATATGTGTACCTACATATCTTGCATTGTATCTCTTTAGTTTTGGTTTTGAAACACAAGAATGGTAATGTTCTTTGACATGAAATATATTTTGCTTGTAACTAGGCAGGAGGAATTTTAGATGAGGGGACAACATATAAACATTAATTATCATATAAAAATAAATATATTCAATATTCAATATTACTAATTGAATTTAAATTTTGAAAAATAAAGTTTATTTCATCTATCCTCTTTTTGCTTTTAAAAAATGAGTCAATAATTTTATTTTTAGATATCATCAAAACTCAAACTGGATTTTTTTGTTCACATTTTAACATCAAGATGGTGGTGTATCATATAACATTAAAATAACTAACTAATTTATAACAAATAAAAGAAATTATATCAATATTTTATATTTTTATATCATACTATGTATCCTAATTTGTTATAATAATAAACAAAAATAATAAAGAAAATAATGTTTTTTACTGTTTTTTATTTCAAAATGTTTTTGTGAGGTATCTCTTTTATTTTCTTTAACTTTGTTTCTTATGCCTTGTTGAAGAGAAGACAAAAAAAATTTAAAGAATAAAAAATTACAATTTTTATGTTATAGAGATGAAATTATAAAAAAGAAAAATTTGAAAATCAAAGAGAAAAATTTACTGAAAGGTGAAATTGTGAAAGAGAAGAATATGAAAGTGAATGAGTAATAAAAATAAAAGATAGAAATGTGAAAAACAAAATAAGTGTCTGGCAGAAAAAGTTGAAGTAGGAGAATGAAAATGTGGGAGAAGAAAGATAAAAATCTGAAAATAGAAAGAAGAAAGAGAAAAAAGCGAGTAAAAAATTATGTAAAAGAATAAATATGATATTTATTATAAATAAAAATTAAGAGAAGAAAAGATAAAAAATATAAATTTTATTTAATTTAAAAAAAAATTATTATATATATATAATTGATTTAGGGGGAGGGGGCTGTGGCCCCTGCCGGCCGCTACCTATTCTTTACTTGTATCTTGTGTGTGTCTGACCAACAAACTACTGATTGTGTATACTTGCCATTGCTAGCACTGAAATTCCTACTTTGTGTTGTAAATTTAGAAATTATTACTCATTTGTTTCACCTTATCATTTTATGCAGTTGCTTAAATAACCATTTAAATTAATCTGTATATCCTTTAATATTTTTAGTATTTTGTCCATAATTTTTACCTTATCACTGAATGATAGTCATGCAATATCGCTTGCAGTACAAGCAGGATGTGGTGTTGACCCAGTTAATTACTTTGGGAATGAGCATATCAGCTCCATGATTCAGCCTAATAAACGCAGCAAGGAAATGGAAGATATATCAAAACAAAAACTTCAGATTTCCTTAAATTACAATGTCCATCAAAATGATGCTGATCGATTAGCAAGTATTCAAAATCCCAATCCCGTGTCAACAGGATTGAGGCTTTCATATGATGATGATGAGCATAACTCATCTGTTACTTCCGCGAGCGGCAGCATGACTGCCACACCATCTATCATATTGTCTCTTGGTGACAATATAAGAACTGAGCTTGATGGGCACCAAGAAGAGCTGGACCAGTTTATTAAACTTCAGGTAATTTATGAAGATAGATATTTGTTTTTTCATTTTGTGGTGATGTTTGCTGGTGGTACAAATGATTTACATTCAAAATATTTCTGTTGTGACTTAATCTAATAGGAAAAGAGGGGAAACAAGAACATTATTTCCTCTTATGGTTAGATGCTTTTAGGTTTTCCTTTATTGATTTGCTCCTAGTTTCTTGCTTTTTATTTTATTTTTTTCATATACCACTTCAGTCATTTTGGGTAGAATTATCTGGCATGTTTGTCCAGTCATTGCCTTGTTCATTAGGAGTTGCTCATTTAAAGAATTAGTTTTTGCAAACTACGTAGGAAATGTTCAAATCTGTGAGTAAGGGTGATGGAAAAGTTTTTAAATGATTGTTTTTCTATCGCACAAAGATATATGAACTAGTCGTTACACTTATCAATTTTGTAATTCTTGGTTCACACTCTTCTGAATTATTCCAATTACTTTTGCACAGAAGGAACAATTATCAAAGGGAGTGAGAGACTTGAAGCAAAAACACATGGCTGCTCTCATCACCTCCATTGAGAAAGGTATTAGCGCAAAGCTAAAGGAAAAGGATGTGGAGATAGAAAACATGAACCGGAAAAACAGGGAGCTGGCAGAAAGAATAAAGCAGGTGGCTATTGAAGCACAAAGCTGGCATTACAGAGCAAAGTATAATGAGTCAGTTGTCAATGCATTAAGGAACAACCTACAGCAGGCAATTTCACAAGGTGCTGAACAAGGGAAGGAAGGGTTTGGAGACAGTGAAGTTGATGATGATGCCTCATATATAGATCCTAATAACTTCCTAAACATACCGGGTGCGCCTATAAACTCTACTCACAAGAGCTACCAAGATGTTGAGAATCTGACTTGCAGAGCTTGCAAGGCAAAGGCGGTTTCCATGTTGTTGATGCCTTGTAGGCATCTGTGCTTGTGTAAGGGTTGTGAGGGATTTATCAATGTTTGTCCTGTATGCCAATTGATAAAAACTGCAAGTGTTGAGGTGTATCTGTCTTAACTTACGAAGTGTAAGCATTAAAACAAGAACGGGATTTAAGTCACTGTTTTCTTGGTGTGATTTATCTACCTAAAGTTCTTAAGGTTCAAATCAAAGTAATTTGTCTCTATAATAAAGAATTTACTATACCTAAGAATATTTGTCCTCTTTCTCAGAGTATTTGACCTGATTAATGATTACTGATGTGACAGGCATATATACTATGGTTAAGAATAGATCATTTGGGGAGTTTAATGATGCCTAGAAAATTATGATATGGAATTTGTATCTGAAGTACCTCTTTTTATTTCATATTGACAAACTAGGGTTAGCTTTGTATCTAAATTATTTGAATGAACTATCTCCTACCTAATTGTGTGACTATGAAACGGATTACCACCAAATTATATTGCTTCAATTACACCATGAATTTCCTTGCGGTTGAAACAGTAGGAACATATTTCATGCTTCCAACTACATTGTTTCAATAACATAAAATGCTATAAAGGGTATTAGGAATATAATTTTGGTAAGAGTCCAATCACAGAATTATGACCAGGTTGCCTCTGTGCCGTGACATTTATTTGTAAGCAAACTTTCCACTGAACTTTGCATATTAGTTACGAATCGCTGCTTGTGTGCACATCATCAGTTAGCAACACTCGGTTTAAGCCTTTGCCTTTCCTTTTTCTTTCTTTAAAGAAAACCCAATAATGACATGGTTGTAAGTAAAATCTGCCGAGACCAAAAGAATATAAGATGCGAAGAGAACAAAATTACAATTTTTTTTGGGATCTATTGGATTCTCCTATTATGTGTAGTTCAATTTCAATTGTACCTTTAATATTCGATTTACATACAATAGTGGGATATAACAAAATCCACTATTGTAATTAGTTTTTCACTGAAGCTCATTTTTTCTGTATTTCCATTACTGCCTCAAGAATCCTAAAATATTCGTAAAAGAGTGAGGATTTCTCTCCCTCTAGCCCATGTCTAGTAACTCTGTTACTGCCAGAAAAGTTGTTGCAGGGGCTCCCACCAATGATGAGGTCAAATCCACCAAACTTGGTTATCCACTGCCTCAGCTGATCTGAAGAGACTTTCTGTACATCTTCAACCTCAATTAGGTTTCCCGTCTGGTTGGTCTGTTCCCACCAGCACTGAATGATGTTTCTGTTCACCTCAGCAATTTCCACAGATATCACATTTTTAAGCATTATTCCTAGTCGATGCAGAGCAACCTCAGCACCTCCAATACCAGAAAAGAGAGACAGCACATTAATGCCATTTGGAAAATGATCCTTCAACACTGAAAGATGGTAGGCCACTGTATCAACCTGAAATCAATTCCATTTACTTGATGTTAGAGCTTTTTTAAAGAAACTAAGAAGGTCTTAGAAAAGCTTAAGAAAAGCTTGTTTGAGCTTATGTATAATCTATAACTCTTGTAAGTTCTTTTTAACTTGTTTCAATTACCCTCTTGGCATAATTTGTCAAAATATGCTCTTTTTAGCACATTCTAATTAGTTTGATGGGCAAATTTATGAGCTTAATTAAGTGTCTAATTAAGCTATTACACCCAAACAGAAAATATAAAATGCAGATTAATTTGATCGGAACTTTTTAAAATCATCATTTAACTATTTGGTTTTCCTGTAATAGAAAGATGCTTGATTTTTTTTTCATTTAGTTCTAATATCATCACTGTAAACTCTTCTAATGATGCAGCAAACACTTAAGTACATGCAGTGTAAAACTCAATAACATAACCTGAAATGCATTGCCAAGTGACTTGAATCTGTCTGTACGGGTGACTCCACCACCTCTGGTGTGATCCTTTGGGAATCCCAGCAACATCTCATATTCATCAGGTTCAAGATGTGCCAATTTGTTTTTCCCAACCCACACCAAGTTCCACTTTCTAATCTCTTGAAGTACATTTCCTTGTACATTTTGTGGAGGTTCATCATCAAATTTTTGGAGGGTTTTCCTTAATCTATCTGTAACTGTGCTAGGAGCTGTGCTAGTTATAAGGCAATTGAGCTTTGTTCTTTTGTCCCAGGAAGGCCACCACTTTTCAGTTGTAGGCAAAGCCTCTTGTATAGTTAGTGGTGGAATAGGAAGCAGGGGGGAGCGGTTGTGGATGGGAAGATTATGGATATATCCTCTTTTCCTCATTGCAGCACAAAAGTATTTGGAATCAACAAATTCTGGCTCAATCTCATACAGAAAACGTGATATACTATTCCAAACTCCTTTAGGAGCAAGAGCCACGTTTTCAAAATAGAAGTATGGTTTATTTGCTACTGCTCTAGGAAGCTCTCTTGAAATTACTTGACCGACTTCATTGGGTACACCAAATCCTGTCATTGGACCAGGGGGATGTATTATCTCCATATCAACAGCTGATGTCTTCTCTCTTACCCAGTAGATTCCGTCTTTCCGTTTATTATTGAGGAGTTTTACTTTCTTACTTGTATGAAGATGCGGCTGATCACTTGGCTAAAAGAGCGAAAGAGATAACATAATTTGATAAACTTACTTGCTTTACTGACATTTTCATTACAAGCCTTAGTACTAATTTGATATGATTGTAAGCCACACCTTTGTTTGTGTATCAACAGATGCAACATTTTCAGTGTTTGGTAGATCTTGAAGAGAGTCAATTTCCTTTTCTAACTGAAAAGCACTAATGAAATCTGCCAGGTCACTGATCTCAGCTTGAGGACCTGCCAAATTGTTAGTGGGAAAAAAATATTTAAGAACCACCTCTACACAAATTTCTACATACTAAATGGAGAATAGAAGCCCAGTATCCTTGTATTACATGTATTAAATATAGTTGATATGTTGATCATCGAAGCCATTTCCTCAGGTTTTTTCATAGCTTTTCTTAACCCGGTAGACTATATGTTCATTACTAGATAGAAGTCAAGATATTCTACATGCATCAATCACCTCCATTCAGTCAAAATCTCCCCGTACTATTTTTCTAATACTGAAATCGTGACCTTATTTAGGAAATGCGTAATAATGCAGAGAGAACAATCTTAGCTGAATATATTAAGAACAGAAATTTTGTTAGCTCACTTTTTACTATTTAATTAACAATCCGAGACCATTTATTGCTGCTGATAGTGTAAAAACGAAAGAATAAAAAAAGAAACTTAAAAAAGCATTAATAACGTATATAAGAGTAAGAATTAGATAGTAAAACGCACCACATTTATCTATAGCTATCAAAGCATCCTCAAAAGGGTATCCCATATCGATAAGTATGGACAATGTCTCATCATTCTCTTCTGTTGAGGGGTTTTCCTGCGTAAAAGGAACCACTTAAATGGAATCTATATACACAATGTGAGTAAAATGAACCAGTCCATCGAGATCAATTAAATATGTGTCTGCAAAGAACATCACTTTCTACTTTCTACTCATGTGGCTATTTGTATAAGAGCCTACTGTTATAAATACTCCTTATATACCTACCTAATCAACCTTGTATATCCACTAACTGCAAACTTTTGCACTCTCACAATATAGATATACGTTAAGAATTGATTTATCAACCTTGTATAAAAAAAATTAAAAGATTATATACAGGTAATGGAGAACCTTATTATATATGGACCTCTCATTTGGCAATAGTGGTAAGCTGGTAAAATCCAATAACATGATTGGTCTTAGTAAAAGTTTTTTTTTCCCTTATACTCTACTGAGCCTTGCATCTCAAAAGGATTCAAACAATTTCTGGTTTTAATTTATTACTAAAACTATATCAAGTTCTAGCCGAATAACAGCGTGCTCATTAAGTTTAGTATACAAAAGCATCCTTAACTAAATAATTCCCAGATTTCAGATAACTAACACGAATGCATGAATAATGAATGGCTTTTAACAGATTAAGATATGGTTTCACTACCCCATTCGTCCTGATAGCATCTTTTCTTTGATCATTTTAATTTCTAATATGCTTCTTAAAACAATATAAAACAGTTTGATGGTCAGAAGAGTATCATCACACCTAATACTAGGAATACTGATCTACTTCAACAGGATCAACAAGTATATTGCATTGAATTCTTGAAGTGAAAACTAACAACTTAAAAAATTTATATTATTGAAAACCCTCTGGTAGACTTAAAGTATACTCACAGAAGTAAGTTTAAGCAGAGTTTCCATAATGTCTTCCTCGTTATCTTCTCCTGCCATAGACAAAGCAAAATCTAATCATCCAAAATCAGTAATACTGTACTCTTAGTTGTAAACTATAAATATTTATTGAATACATTAAACGAAAAAAAGAACCATTTTCATCAATAGCTTTGATCACTGTCTCTCTGGAAAATCCCATTCCCACAAAATGATGAAGCAGCTTCGCATGTTTAGCACTCGAGCCACTTGCACTACTCTCCTAAACAGAACACAGAATACTTCAACGTTAGAGAAAGGGATACAAAATTCAAACTTTCTGAAACATAAACAACAATGCATTTTCTTTTATTTGATTAAGATGAAAATAGAAATTAAAAGGAGAAAAAAGATGAGTTTTTAAAAGAAAAATCAAAATTTTCGGCTTTTCTTCAATTCAAATATTTTCCGTTCTGGCTTTCTTTCCTCCCAACTAAATGTTGGTGGAAAACTGTTGAACTCCAAACACTTAGGATTTTGTGAATGGGTAAGAAGTGCATGGTAAGTTGCATTCTAAGATTGTAAAGAAATATGATGATTAATAAATTATGTTATATTATTTTTTTAAAATTTATTTTTATTTGAACAGACAAATAATAATAATAATAATAATAATAATAATAACAAATAATTAAAAAATAACTAAAATAACTTAAAATAAATAAATGTTTTTTTTTTCTTTTTTCTTTTTTTTGTTCTCTCGACAATCTCAATTTTTATTATTTATTATTTTTACTTTTTTCCTTTTCCAAAACACTTATGTTACTATGTGTCAAATAATTCTTATTGCACATAAAACCATTTTTTAAAACAAACTATCAAAGGGTTATATACACATCCCTGTGGAGTTAACCATGAGAAATAAGATTAGACCAGAAAAACCCATAAAACTTCAGAACGATGAAAGCCTGAAACTTAGAAAAATCATTACAAGATAATTGGATGCAGGATTTACCGCCACACTTTGTTCACAGCTCTCTTTACTTGGTTGACTAGGATTGGTCGGATTAGAGGAAAAAGGTACACCAAACACCTCAATCTCGTCATCAGTGTTCCAATCAATATCCTTATTATGGGGAGAGCTAGTACCTTTTGAATCCTGCATTATTTTTCAACCAAGATACCTTAATGAAGGAATGCGTATCAAAAATCCAAGCTTATAACGGAAGAAAACCAAATTAGTAATCGGAAATCTAAGAAAAGTTTGCATGGGTATGATATAGAGTGAGTAATGGTAAACTTCAGAAGGGAACATGAACATACCATGACTTGGAAGCCAAGTAACAAGTGAGAACTTTGACTCCACCAAGTTTCTCAAGTTCTGTAGCAATATCACTGCATCACAGAGAAAGACAGAAGTAAATAAAATAATTCATTAAACTATGAAATGTTAACAAAAAAATCTCATTTTTGTGTTTCTTCACCATTCCCATTAGTAGTAAAAGTGTAGAACTTTGAGGCAGACAAACTATTAAGGTTACGAAAACTACACTGTTCCATTGACATAAAACTAAAGAACCCAGATAGAAGAAAGATGCACTATTCCATGGTATTATAAAACTGAAGGAAGTCAAGAAAACAAAGAAGAAGGAATTAAAGAACGAAATGTTGCTAACCACGTAAGCGTGGAACAAGAAAGCACTAGAATGACAAGATCAAATCAGAAACATGTTTGTTGATTGACAGTTGAAACAAAAGAAAGTGAGGTGGGTTTGCTTTTAAGGAACAGAAAACGAGAAACGAAAAGTCGTTCAAAAATTACCCATCTTAACTGCAAGATTTCCAAGTTCTTTTATTACGCATATTAGGAAATACTAAATTTGATTGTAAAACAACATTAGATATACAATGATATTCATCTAAATTTTTGTCCTAATACGATATTATTTTATTTTTAATAAATTAAAGAATGTAATTGACAAATATATTTAAAACATCTTTTAATTTTTATAATAATGATAAAAAAGTGTGAATTCAACATTAATGTTTTTTATTATTAATTAAGATTTATTTAAAAAATACAAAATTATGATTCAATGTTCATTATATTAAGATTGCATATTTTCATGATTCTTAAATAATACATTCGCTTAGTTTATTAAAATTTATTCAAAATTAAAATATCATAATTAATATTCCTCACACAAAGGAAGAGACTTGTACCATTTTATAATTTTAAACCATTTTTAACCAATAGCATAGAATATATTAGAAAAGGTGCATTAATATGATGTTAGCATTTTTTTTAAGAATTGTTTAATAATATTAATAATAATGATAATCTAACAAATACAAAAATACAGAATTGTTTAATCATATTAATAATAATGATAATCTAATAAATTTATTTAAAACTATTCTAAATGAATTAGATCAGTGGGAGATCATTCTAATGATGAGTCACGAAAAATAAAAAATATTCTAAATAACTTTATAATAATAAAAATGGATGATTTAATATAATTATCAATAAAAGTGTAATTATTATTAATAAAAACATATTTTATTAATTCTTTTAGTTTTTAAAAATTTAAAAATAAAAATATAAAACAAATTATTAAGTGTTTAAATTATTTCAAAAATTGAAAATTAATTTAAAAAAATATAAAAAAAAAGTCCTTAAATTCCTAAAATCTATCATCACATGTACTGAACAAAATAAATGTCAAATATACCACCAAATTATTGGTTGGAATGATAATCCACTTAGTTCTCTTTAACAAAATCTTAAGTTATTGTCAACGGAAAAACATGATTGAAATTAAATAAAATTTCGTTAAAAATAATAATTTTAATTCTTCAACAGATATTAATAATAATCTGAATCAGTAACATGATTAAAAAAATAAATTACATATACAAAGCAACATGTAGTTTATATGCCAAAAATGTTCTTGCACAATTATGGTATGTTTAATATAGAAAAATAAACTAAAAAAAAAAAAACATGGAAGGGGAAGAGTGGAGAAGAAACAAAAAGAAGACGACTTATTTGATAGGGTAAAATTAAAGGGGAGGATAAATTTATGGAATAATCATGTAAAAATAATATGTTATTATTGATGAGAGAAAAGGAATATTAATAGAATACTCTAAAATAATTATATATATATATATATATATATATATATATATATATATATATATATAAAACGTTATATAATTTTGAAATAATTTATAGGTTTTTTTTATTTCTTTTTATCTTTTGAAGAGGTTTATTTATAAAATTACATATAATAAAATGCAATATATAAATATTATTTTAACTGATTCTAGTGAAATTACTTAATTAAAAAAATATTTTTCTGTATATGTTTATTTTTATAATTATTACGTTAATTTAAAACTATTTTTTAATTATGATTAATATAAAAGATAATGTCTAAATTTACGTAGGATGTATCTGGATCTATCAACTCATATAGATAGGTAGAGTTTATAATTTTAATCTATCAAATTATTTTAACTCATTTAACCTAATTTATCAATTTCAAAAATTAAAAATAGAATAATAAATTAACTTTTTTTTAATATTTATATTTTTAAATTAAAATAAAATTAATTTTTAAATATTATTTTTTATGTTAAAATATATAAATATATTATAATATTATAATTTAATTTATAATTATTTTTAAATGATTAATTATGATTCAATATAATATTTTTTAATTTTTATTTAATAAATAATATTGATTAATAAATAGTCTTTCATCAAGCTAAATGTCTTTGCGCGTATAATTTCTTTTAATTATAATGGATTAATTTATTCTTTTATCAAATAAGATGAAGAACAAAATAAGAGTAACTGTCTTGTTTTATCAATCTTAAATTCGTATATAATTTTTTTTATAAATACAAACATTTTTTATCAATTGAAAAATTAAACAAAATGCTATTTAAAATCTTTATATATTTATTAACTAGTAAAAACTAATATGAACTTACGAATGTAGATTGGAGCTTCTCAACATGAGAAAGATGTGTTTACAATAATAGCAATTTGTAGGTATGTATAACTGAAAAAAATTAATAAAATGATCGTTTTATTGTAAGTTTAACAAATCATAGTCCCAAAGTTTTCAAAACTTAATGTCTTAAATCCTATACTAAAATATATATTTAAATATAATTTCAATCCTTCTTTTCTTTAAATTTAAAAGATGAAATATATATATATATATATATATATATATATATATATATATATTAGTTTATATAGTAAAATGTATTTGTTGTATAATTATAAGAATGAAATAATAAATTAATGGTAAAAAAAAAAAAGGGACAACAAGCAGATTTGCACATAGTTTTTGTGATTGAACGAGGAAACTCTACTCGAGGCTGGCTGGATACCCTTTACCTACTGAGTGTGCTTGCGTTCTGCGATTGCGAGTGAGCCGGGCGTTTCCTTCGTTTGCTTGTTCGCTTCTCAAATCTCAAAAATCTTCCCCAAACACCTCCTCTTTTAGGTTTCGTGTTCCAGAGGCTTTACCTTACGCCACCATTCTCAAATTCGCGGCACCGAAGAACCCTAACTGAAGATGAGGCCGATTTTGATGAAGGGCCACGAGAGGCCACTCACGTTCCTCAAATACAACAGGGACGGCGATCTCCTCTTCTCCTGCGCCAAGGACCACAACCCTACTGTCTGGTTCGCCGACAACGGCGAACGCCTCGGCACTTACCACGGTCACAATGGCGCCGTTTGGTGCTGCGACGTCTCAAGCAAGTTCCCTACTAGTTTTACTCTCAAATCAGCTTTTCAAAATTGATTCTCACACTGATTGTTAACGGTGCAGGAGATTCTGGTCGACTCATAACTGGGAGTGCGGATCAGACCGCGAAGCTATGGAACGTGCAAACCGGTCAGCAGTTGTTCACCTTTAATTTTGATTCTCCGGCGCGTTCTGTCGATTTCTCCGTCGGAGATAAGCTAGCTGTCATCACCACTGATCCTTTTATGGAATTGCCCTCTGCAATACATGTCAAGCGCATTGCTAAAGATCCCACCGAACGTAAAACCTTTTTCTCTTTGCTGATTTCTTTCTGTTTGGATAAATTTGTTGATAAACTCGCGTAGAAGAAGAAAATAATGAAAAAAATTATCACATTAGACAATTTTTAATAAGAACTTTTATGAAAGAAAAAATTAAAATAAATTTCTTCATAAGCTACATATCCTAATAAGATTTTAGTTCGTAGAGAAATTTATTTGATTTCTTAGTTTTTTTTCTTAGAAATGGTTATGCAAAAGTTTGTCTGTAAAAGTTTCTACTGCTTGTTTTTCTCTAGAAGGACTCCTAGAAGTAAAAGTTAAGAAGAGAACAAAAGAGATGAACTTCTTCGTATTAACTCATGTACAAGTTAAATGATAAAAATTTCTGGAAACTACATGAAACAACTTTACAAATTAGTTTATGCATAAACTAATTTTAACGTATAGAGAAACTTTTTTTTGTTTTTTCTTTTATAATTCTTTATAAAATAGTTTGTCTAAATAGATCCTAAATAGCATGCATGAATTAAAATCAGCTTATTGTGTGAGAAAGTTTTCATGAATTAGTTTGTGCATATATTAATTTTTACTTATTTTATTTTAGTTAAAATCAGCTTATGTGTGAGAAAGTTTTCATGAATTAGTTTGTGCATATATTAATTTTTATGTATGGTACTTTTGTTTGGCTTCTTATTCCCATGTAAGTGTGTGATGAGAAGTTTATGCAATCAAGTCTTCAGTATCTTTGGTCATTGTTAATTCTAATGCTTTCTTATCTCAGAGACGGGGGAATCTGTGCTTCTTATTAAGGGTCCTCAGGGCAGAATAAATAGAGCTATTTGGGGACCTCTAAACAGAACCATTATTAGTGCGGGTGAAGATGCTGTCATTCGTATTTGGGATTCTGAGGTGACTCAACCTCCATTTTACCTGACCGTCTTTTTCCCTTTACAATTTGCTTACACTTTTACTTCATTTTCTCTCATTGGTTTGCAGACAGGAAAATTGCTTAAGGAGTCAGATAAGGAATCTGGCCATAAAAAGACTGTGACATCACTTGCCAAGTCTTCTGATGGTTCACACTTCCTTACAGGCTCCCTTGACAAGTCTGCTAGGGTATCAACTCTTAGTTAATTAATTCTCATGTTTTTGTTTTCTTTGTGACTTGATTTTATTTCGCCTAACCGTTTTTGTATTTAAATTTTTAACTAGCTTTGGGATACTAGAACATTGACTCTTATCAAGACCTATGTCACAGAACGGCCAGTCAATGCAGTTGCAATGTCGCCACTTCTAGATCATGTATGTATCTGGGAATTCTACATTAGTTAACCTTGCGTTGTGATATTCTTATCTGCATTATTAGATTAAGGTTTTTATCCTGGAAATCAGTGTCCTATCATTGTCATTGTGGGGACATGGTTAAATTTATTTTCAACACTTTTCTTTTCTTTCTCCAGTCGGGATTTATTTTGGTCGGGATTTATTCTTCAGTTAAATCCCTTCAGTTACATAAGCCCGTTACTTGCAAGTTTCCATTGCTAGCTAATTTATGAACTAAATGTAATTCCAATATATTTCATCATTTGCTATCACCCTATTTATATCTTTAGCGCTTTAGCTTCATTCTATTTTTTGCATGAATGTCCGCATTAGCTTTATTCTATTATTGCTTTATTCATTGCATTAATGCCCTGTTCATTGCATTAATGCCCTGTGTAGGTGGTACTTGGAGGTGGTCAAGACGCATCAGCTGTTACAACTACTGATCATCGTGCAGGCAAATTTGAAGCCAAATTCTATGATAAGGCAAGTTTTTTTCTTATATATTATGTTTAGTTCAGTTCTCTACTAATATTGGATGTCTGTCTATCCATTTTTTATTTTCTAATTTAATATTTGTATCTTTATTTGATCAGATTCTTCAGGAAGAAATTGGGGGTGTGAAAGGGCATTTTGGACCAATTAATGCATTAGCTTTTAACCCTGATGGAAAAAGGTATATCCAGTTTGGTCATCTGTTGCATCATGATGTCCTTTATCCTTTAAATTTATCGTAGTTTTGTTGGAGAATTTGACAACCATGGTTATTATGTTACATTACTTCGTAAAATGGATATGCACTATTTCTTTTTTCGCATGAATGTTTGGTGTTTATCATGTGCATAATTGTCGAATATGTATGGTAAACCAGTACAACATGATATCATTAAATGTACGAAGAATGCACAATATATGATATCAATATCATGAGATGTACGAAGAATGCACAATATATGATATCAATATCATGAGATGTACGAACAATGCACAATATATGATATCAATATCATGAGATGTAATGCACAATATATGATATCAATATCATGAGAGATGTACGAACAATGCACAATATATGATATCAATATCATGAGAGATGTACGAATGCACAATATATGATATCAATATCATGAGAGATGTACGAAGAATGCACAATATGGTGATAACATGAAATGACTCTGATTTTGTGATTGATCACGAAATTGATGAATTTTTTATATTTGTCTATTAATGTTATCATAGACCCTTTTGTTCTCAATATTATATTACTTTAATTGCTATAGAATGAGTTTGAAGAGACAACATTTTAAATATTCCATCGTTAACTTGAGTGGGTTTCTCTGTTGGATTTGTGGTACTGAATTTCTGAGTTGGTTTCTCTGCTGGATTTTTGTTATTGAATGTCTGCTGGTTATTCTAATCACGGTAGTTAAAAAAACAAATGATTATGATTACATCAAATTAAAAGATTGAAATTTATTTAATCTAGCAGAGACTAAATACCAAAACTCCAACAAAATCTACAGGAGAAGCCAATTTCCGTTAGCTTTCTATATTTCAAATAACGTTGATGCATTTATTGTGACTGTAATGTAACATTACAAATCATATATTGTAAATGCAGCTCTCCATTTAATTTTCATGACATTTGATTGGAATGTTATTTCATAAATACAAACTTTTTCTTTTGTAGTTTTTCAAGTGGAGGTGAAGATGGTTATGTACGGTTGCATCACTTCGATCCAGATTATTTCAACATCAAAATATAGAACCGGATTATTGGTGGTTAATATTAGGCGTGGTTACTAGAAGTTTGATTTTAATTTCTTTCGCCTTTTTTAAATGCCTATGTAATATGGATGAAACGAATTAAAGTATACATTTTTGTTTTATGATGTATTAACTTAACACTATCAATTTTGGTTTGAGGATCTTTAACACTCAAATTTTGGTTTGAGGGTAATTCTAAGGAGTTTTCTTGGCACGATGAGATTTTAAAGTTTGGCATTCAGTAATGCTCTCCGGTTTTAACCCGCCTTTAATGAGATGGGTTGATACATCAATGGAATGGAAATGAGTTGAGGAACATATCATAGGATGGAGGTAGATTGACCCAGTTCAAAAAATTCATGTAATTGTTTCAAGCATGCATGATATGTTGTGTGAGATTTTGCTGATTTTCACTGTGCATAACTCATCAAATAATGAACTGATTTGTAGGTCAACTAACAAGATTTAAAATAAAAATAAAAATGCCTCGACTTCTTCAAGAACGGCGAAATTTAATACGACTCTGGTTTTACAATAACTTTGTGTTTGAACGAAGAGTTTTAAATTGGACGAAGGAATTGAAAAAGGAAAAATGATTCTATAGAAAATTCTCTAATTAAATAATTAAATTTACTGTCGATATTGTTACCGAATTTTAAAATGGATGAAAGGATTGAAAAAAATTTACAGTAGATATTGTTACTGAATTTTAAAATGGATGAAAGGATTGAAAAAGGATTTAGAGGAATTCTCTTTAATTAAATTTACTGTCACCCACTCTACTAAGAAGACGCTTTATAAATTAACAGGCGAAATTATCCGTTTTTTTTATAAATTAATAGGCGAATTTAGGCATGGCAACGGGGTTGGCGTGGGTTTTGCCTTCCCTATTCCCGCCTTCGACTTTTTTAATCATCCTCGTCCCCGATCTCCGTCGGGATTAGAAATTAAGTTTTTATTCTCGTACTTGCTTGGATTTCGGGTTTCCGTCCCATCCCGATCTATATTATTTTTAAAAAGATAAATATATTTATAATAAATTAATTTTACTATCTATTTTTTATATATAAATAAATATTTTTTAATTTATAATTATTATTAATTAAATATACATTTTAATTTATTATATTTATATTAAAATATGTATATAAAAGAAATATTTAATCATTTTTTATTTATAACATTATTATTTGGTAAGGATAAAATGCAAATGAATTTCATGATTTCTTAGAACATAAGAATTCTAAGAGAGTTTATAAATCCCATAAATAATAGTTTATAGTTTAGGAAAACAAATTTTCTATCTCGTACCTTAAAGCTCTAAAAATATACACAGTAGGCATAAAAAAATAGTCATTATCTCGTATACCTCCAATTCGCTCCAGTCTTACTTTGCTGGCATAATAGAGAAAAATGTATATTAAAGAAATAAAATATCTTTTTATCAATTAGTCGTCATTATATTATATGATAAAACAATTAACTTATATTTTTATTTTTACAATAATATTATGTTGGAAAATGTAAAGGGACTCACACTTGATAAAAAGATTATTAGGTAATTCAAGAGTAGGTTAAAACTCATATTAAGTAAGAATGAGAAAAATGAGCAACATATAAGAAAGTATAACCCATCACCCAATGTCCTAAGATTTTTAGTTAAGGGTATTGCTAATTTTATTGTAAGTTGGACTTATGTTTCATTGGTGTTGGTCTTCCCGATAAATACCCTAGAAAGACCCATCATACTCTATCAAAGTCGAATGATTATCGTGCTGACAGACCATAACTTCGTATTTATAAAAAAGAATAATAAAATTAGATTATATAAATAAAATACAAATATAATTTTATAATTAAATTAGATATATTTTTATTTTTTTAACATCTTCGAACTAGGAGTAAAGATGCTTCAACACTTTTTAAGATATCTTCATGTTCTAGATTTGATATTTCTCTTTATTTATTTTTTCTCTCTCTTTATTTTATTACTATTTTACTTTTATCATTACTAATTTTATTTATCAATTTGTATGCACCATTGAAATATTGATATGTTAATGCCAAGGACATATGTGTTTTTTCATTTAAGTTTGTCGACAACAATTTTTGTAATTTAAATTTTGTCCTTCTCAAAACAAACCAAGTCGTGGAGTATGGTGACATATTAGATATGCAAATTCAGAACATAAGATGAGGTTTTTGAAGGTATTTTTATTTGTTGAAATATTGGCTTGTTTAACCACACTACCACCATTCATTGATGACAAACTGAGGACCAAGATAAACAAAACTTACTGGATTACTTTCCACTGAAAAAGCTGGCAATGACAATGCTGTTATAGAGCACCCTGTAGCAAGATCATATGGTCCACATAGCATTATAAAAAATAAATAACAATTTGATCTACCACTTTTCCATATCCCAGTATGAATGTTTGTCAAGTCATGCCACCTACAACAACAAAATTCTCTCTGAATTACAAAATCTCCAAGTTTCATCTTTAACAAATTACATTTAACAACAAATCCTACTATCTTTTCAAGGCTTAAAACTACGAATAATTAAAAATTAAGGAATTGAAGTTAAAAAAAGAGATTAAAACAAAAATTATAAATATTGTAAAATATACTGACTGAAATTATTATATAACCTAATATTTATACAATCAAGTTATCTATTGACTTAATTTTTTAAAATAAATAGTAATTGCTTTATATAAAACACTTCAATTGAAGAATTATAATATATAAAAATATTCAATTTAAATAATTATATTTTATCAAAATTATTGTTTCATTATATCCTTTATTTTTATTCGTTCTTACAGATGTATTTTAATACAAATTAAATCTAACTATTTTTCTCAAAGTTCCCTCGTATTATCAACTATTGTTTCAATATACTGACGTAAATAGTTCTTTCATTATTATTTTTTACATATAGACGCCCCTAAAATAAATAAATAAAGAATTACTTTATTACCTTAATTTTCTTTATATATAAATTAGAATAATTATTTTAAAAAATGTTTTGAAAAATTTATTTAATTAAAATATTTTAAAAATTTGTTCCTAGTTTTTAATCTATTTTTAAATTAGATTTCAATATTTTAAAAATTATCAATCATTACAAATAACTATAGCACAAAATAAAATATTTCGTGTTGCACACACTAATAGTAATATTGTAAGAAAAAAAAATGAAACGAAACAACCATTTCTGGAAGTAGTTTAAGAATTAGCATGCATGTCTTTCTTGTCATTCATCATTAAAATAACCATGTAAGGTACTCTCATAAATGATATCTCTTAACACAAAAGCTTAGACATGAACTTGGATCTAAAATAATTAATCAAATATTCAAATAGCTTAATTGTTTAAATATATTATTCTTAAACTTATATTAAAATTGCAAAAAGCAAAAAAAGAGCTTTATACAATATATTTTAATGTGAACGTGAATAAATGGGATTGGAATGTTCGAAAGAATTAAGAATACAGAGACGGTGCATTTGGTTATTTATTTATTTTAAGTAAAAAGATGGAAATAATTGCTTATAAAATCTATTCTCGTTGACACTTCTCACCCCATCCGGCGTTGCTGCAAAGCATTCTTGGTTTCTCTCTCTCTCTCTCGCGATATCTGATACACCAAGGTTACATCTCCGAAGGTAACGATCTCAAACCTCAGATCCTCTTCTTTCCGATTTCTAAATCTCTTCATGCAGACGGATTCAGATTTTCACTTCGCACTTCAATTTCCGATTCAATAACTGTTTTCCGTTACGTTTTCACTTCTTCGTTTGCCTATGCTTTGATCTGAGAGCTTCCGGATCAATCTCTCCAGATCCTTTGTCGTTGTTGATGCTATTTAGTGCGATCTGTTTCGATTTGCATGCTGCTGCTTTTGCTCGATTAGTTTGAGATCTGGTTGAATCTGGTGTTGTTGACGTGACTGTCTTTTGATTGGCGGAAGGAACTGTACTGTTTGATATGGTGCTCTTTTAATGATTGGAAATATGTTTTTGTTTTGTAAATTGAAAATTTGTTTGAACGGTGAAATTAGGGATCCACAGGCTGAAGGAGAAATGGGGCTGACATTCACGAAGCTTTTCAGTCGGCTTTTCGCCAAGAAGGAAATGCGAATTCTGATGGTTGGTCTGGATGCTGCTGGTAAGACCACTATCCTCTACAAGCTCAAGCTCGGAGAGATCGTTACAACAATTCCTACCATTGGTGAGCTTCTGGACTCTGTTTCTCTTTTTTCCTTGCTTGATTATGTTTTGTAATCGTTCTTAACCTGTCGGAATATAACTTGCGTAGATATTTTTTATGGGTGGATTAGATCCTCCTTTTCATAGAATATAACTGACTTCGAGGTGAGTCATGTGGATGAATTTTTAAGATGGAGTGTTAGTGATTGTGTGATGCTTGATGTGAGATCGTGGATTTTAACTTGTCCTATGTTCTAATCGCTGCAAATAATCTTCAACAGCAAACCATTTTGTGGGTCAGACAGCTGGAATGTTATGATTATGTTGTTATAGGTGATGATGATTTTATTTTGTTTCAGGGTTCAATGTTGAGACCGTAGAATACAAGAACATTAGCTTCACTGTTTGGGATGTTGGTGGCCAGGACAAGGTGAAGATTTGATTCTTATGCATCCCTGAAAATACAACATATTTAGTGCATATGTCACTTGCCTTTCACTTCCAAATAACACATTAATTGACATTGATTGTTGATAGTGAGAGGCTGAATATTTATGTTTTGGTCTGCAGATTCGTCCGTTGTGGAGGCATTACTTCCAGAACACTCAGGGTCTTATTTTTGTTGTAGACAGCAATGATAGGGACAGAGTTGTTGAGGCCAGAGATGAGTTACATAGGATGTTGAATGAGGTACTTCAGTTAATTTAGTTTGGCCTTTTATGCCATGTCTTCTTATTCAAGTTTGTTAACGTCAGATGATAACCTGACATTGGGAGGAAATCATTCTTCTACATAAGGTTTGGGATCACATAGGGGCAGAAAGGAAGGGTCTGTAAATTATTCAAGATAGAAAGGTTTTAGAATCCTATTTATCAATAAATAAGATTCTTTTATGTAGTCTCAATATTCTGAGAATTCGTTTGTGGTTTTGAGGAAGGACTGATATGAATGTTTGATTTAAGCAGGAAATGCAAATGTTTTGCTGTATCTACTATTACTTGTCTAGTGATATATTAGTCTTGTACATGCTGTTCATATAGTCAATAGTTGTCTTTATTGATGGAGAGGGAAAAAATGCATTGAACTCATGACTGGAAGCATTCCTCACAGTTGATGTCACTATGACATCTTTCGGAAATTGGATGGCCTGCTCATACTTAGTCAATCTCCTGGGAAATTAGTGCTTCTAATTGAACAGGCTTCTGCGTCAACTTGATCGTTTACAAAGATCTTGATCCATTGCTAGAATCATTAGTCTCCTTATACTTTTACTTTCTGTTTTATCTATTCTCATGGTGAAATGATCATGTTTAAAATTTTTATTTCAATACTTTTCAGGATGAACTGAGAGAAGCAGTATTGCTTGTGTTTGCCAACAAACAAGATCTTCCTAATGCAATGAATGCTGCTGAAATTACCGACAAGTTGGGTCTCCACTCTCTCAGACAGCGCCACTGGTATATATTATTTTATGAACAAAGCCCTTTTCCTGTATTTTGATAGGTATCATACTGTGATCTAACACACTCATGGTTTTCCCAGGTACATTCAGAGCACCTGTGCAACATCTGGGGAGGGCCTTTATGAAGGTCTGGACTGGCTTTCCAACAACATCGCCAATAAGGTAGCTACTAATTTATTTCCTCCTTTATTGTGAAGAAAACATGAGTTTAAATAATGCATAGTAAATGAAAAACATTGCATATGTTTAGTTCATCAGAAGTGGTAGCAGAAGTGGCCCTCTCTAGTATACTTTCCTTTTTCTTGTTTGAAAGGGCATTATTGGAAGTACCTCTTCTTGGATTACTTAGGTGACGTTTCCCTTCGTTTTTTTTTCCTTCACAGGCTTAGGGAGTCTTGCGGATTGGTATTCTGGATGCAGGGGTGAACATTATCTAGCTTTTATTTCTTGGTCCTCTTCCGGGACTCGAATGTGTTCATGTAATGTGGTTTAGGACATCTCGGTGCTTAATAGTAGGAGTTTGTTTCTTGGGATGTGTAATACTCTGAGCTTTCTATTGGGTTTGGATGCAATGTCCATAACTGTAATGGAGATACTAATTCAATGCGCCACCAGGTTCTGATTTATAGTTTTATTTTGGTCATGTATCTTTCATATAATGAGTATGAATTGGGGATTTTGTTTATTGTTTTATTAGTTAACCCTAACAAAAAAACTATATTCTCTTCATACTCTTAAAGATGTGTATGCTTAAATTTTGTGTTTATTGAAGTATTCCTGGGGTTTGGGTTAGGCATAATGTTTGATTCGTGGATAGCAGTGTTGATGAACATTTATTCTGGTTTCTATTATCAGTATTGTTCAACATTGTAACAGAGAGTGAAAGTGAGAAGCATTTATTCAGTAGAGCGGGCTATAATATACACGAGTGATAGTCACAAAGTCGCCTCTTTGTACACATCAGGGTTTTAACCTTTTAAGGTTACCATAATTGAAGGTCAATCTGGTTAATCATATTTTTGTTGGGCCGAGGGACCCGGTTTACGAGATTCCTCTTACCCAACTTAACCCACAGATGATCATAGTGTGTTATCGTTGTTTATATCAGTCCATTTTGTCTAAAAGGGGTAGAAAATTGGGAATTGTCTATGGTGGTCACTGAAAATTTGGCTTTCTAGTGATTCATTCAATTGCATTTGTCAGTTTAAAGTTTAGCATTTAAATTTTCCAATCCAAATGATTCAACGTAAAATTATACACTGTCGCCTTCTTTCATTCTTGACTTCGTCTTACCTCATCTTTTACTATTTTGTCCTTCTCTCCTCCTTCCTATTCATCCACATCAGTATAAGCCTCAAATCTTACTACAGTAGATTAAGTATTTGATCGTAAGTAAAGTTTTGAAGGTCAAAATCTCGTGGTTGATACGGAAACCAACTCGACCATTCTCTGAGGTGTAAACATCACCATATATTTCCTAAAGCGTGCTGTCATAGGGCAGAAAGAGATTTCTTTTTGTACCTTTAGAAAAACCTTGTCGGTACAAATTACATTCCACGAGAAAGTAGGCGAACTAAGAAGCTGTTTCCACGTAGAGTTGAAGCTGGGACAAGTTCCAGAAACAAGGGCCGAAAGGAATATATATACACAAGCCCAGTTGAGGACTGGAAGTCCCACACCATGAAAAAGGAGACTAGCAATATGGGTTCGCCACTTGTTGGTGGAAGGGATGATTTAATTGTTATTCTCACATCCCATTTTTTTTTTTTAAATTAAAGTCCAATTCTAACCCCTTCTCTTCCGGTCACAACACTTATTTAGTGTTTGTAAGATCTGTCAAGATATATAATGAAAATACATTTTCGTAATTAAAATCTTGTTTATTTTGTCCTTTTTCGGCTTGCATTCTATTGATTAGCTATTAATTCTTTATATCTAAGGCATGGTGATTGCGCTTTAACAAAGATAGTTGAGACTCAACAAAATCTCCACATGCATCTTGTCCGAATCCCTCCTGAGTAAGCTTATAAATGTTTATTTGTCATTGTGTACTAATTTTGTATATATTTCATACAAATCAAAATATAATTTCTCGCACAACTGCCAAGTTTAAATACATTTTACAATTCAAATAGTCGTATTTATGTTGCGCCTGAGTCAATTGGTTCTTAAATTATGGACATCACATATCATGAGCGTGTTGTGGAAGAATAAAAGTTTTTCGAGCAACCAATCTCCTTTCAATATTTGGAACATAAATAATTTTCGAAAACGTGGAGATATACTGGCATGGAAGCGAGCAACGAGAAGACATCAAGAAGGTAAAAAATGGTCGGACGTTTACAACTACGACTCCCTCGATTCTTAAACCGACATTCCTTTGGTGGCAGAAGAGGAGACATTCCCAAAGTCATGAGTCATGGTTTCTATTCCTGAGCCCAGAATTTCTTTCGTTCCTGGCCCCTATGCTGCTTGTAAAGGAATCCTAATCTTAATTACAATTTACAAACAAAAGATAGTTAAGGTGGCTGAAAGTGTGGTATATTAAACCCCTCAATTTTTTTCCCCTTTGTTGGTGATCGTTCTGCTTTGTTATAGGTACCACCACTATGCTTTTCTAAAAATTGTAAAATTGATAATGTATAAAGGTTGAAAGATTGTTTACGTGAGTAAATCTGAGAGATCTATACACAAAAAATCTGCGAGAGTCTGAAGCTTCATTCATGTGAGACGTCACATCAATTATTAATAATCAGATCAGCTACTAGCATTTGGAAGATGGACTAGGGACGCATGAAAACCTTATAAACAGTTAAAAGTCCAAGGGACTGAAATCGTTTTCTTGAAATTCTGTTTCCTGGACAGGGTCTTCTAATTCTTCGAAAAGGAAAGGTGCGACTTGTTGAGAATTCTGGGGCTTCTTGTCGTTCATCTCTATAACTGAAACAATCCTTTCCTCAATACAGCTTTCCACAATTTCAGTTCCAACTTCTTGAAATTGTAATCCAAGAAGGGAAAGGCATTCTCCTTGAAAATCCAAGTCACTGGAAGACAATATCAGCCCAGCAATTGTTTTTGCAAGATCAGGGGCATAACCGCGAATCTAATGAAAGAACCAAATTACAAAATATTAGGCCACAAAGTTGGCCAAACAATAAAAAGGTCACAAGATAATCCAGAAATTTACACTAAGAGGGAAATCAAGGTGTTTTATTAAGAATTAAGACATCAATGCAAAACCTCAGTTGGAGGGAAAACTTTCAACAGTAAAAATATTGAGGGTCAACACAGATCACAAACGTGTGTTAGTGAGGGAAAGAGACAGAATGATGGAGAAAAATTCACCTGAAGGGCACGTGAACTTAAAAAAGCCTGGGAATGATTCGCCTTCAAGTCATCTAGTGAAAGTTTAACCGCTTTTTTAACGAGGTTTCTGTAAAGTGGAGGCATTTTCCTTGGAGCCGGTATCGTGGTCTTATCTATGTGTCAAGGAAGTATAAATTACATTAAAGCCAAGAAAACTACATTACCATACACTATGAAAATGTTCATAAATACATGGGGAAATTTGTATGCCCTAGAAGAACTACTGGATCGTCACTTATTCAATGAATAAACATAATATAAACAAAATCCAAAGAAACGTCTAACAGCAAAGCATGAAATAATTGTATCAAAAAGGTGTGCAAAACAATTTTAACTGGCACGGATAAAGATAAAAAGGATCTGTCCAATGCTGGATATTGTTTATGATATATGTGTAGCACCATATCGATGTGTATATCTTTAGGCAAGTTTTCCCATTCTAGTAATGTAACGCCATCTTGCTCTACTATGCCCCTTAAATTCAAACCATATGTTTTCCAGTCAATGCTTTGCAGCACCTTCACAGATGATCGGGATATTGTACTTGGTGAAAAGTCCTTGAAATGCAAAACCTGATAGTAAACATTGTTATCATTCAAATTAAGTAGTAGATAGATAAAACCTAAAATATAACAAAATAGCTGAAGCATAAAATTCAAGGACTTTTTTCACGGACCACTGTTTTATTATCATATTCCCTGAAGCACGCAGTGTTTTGCATTGAGATATTACTTATTAGTATGACTGCCTCCATCACCAGCTCCGTGTGTAAACGATTATTAGTGCAACAAGCTGTCCCAACTTTGAGCTGCTCCCTAAAATAAAAAGGTTCGAACATTTCAAATCACTAGGCCCTTTTTTTATTAAGCACGCCATATCCCCCAAGAAAGTAAATATTTTGAGAAGGCAAAAATTCCCGCAAACCAAGTTATTGCATGTGCTTTTAGATGTGATATATTTTTCTACGATAATTAGTAATAAAATGTAATAGAATTTTTTTAAAATGGCTCCGATTAATAACAACTACAGTTCAGATGCCCAATAACAGACAGACATAGATATTAGGAACCAATAGTTGTCTGGATAGTATCATAGATTTAAGGCTCTGCTACGTAACTGACTATGACAACATATAAAGAGCTCAAAACTCCTATGCATTTCATTGCCCAATTTTGTAATAGGGATTTAATTCTCAAAACTACTATACAAAGAGTGGTAAATAGGGAATCTTAATATTCAAGTGATAATAAACATATCTCATGAACTTTAAGGATGATAACTACGTATGATGAAAGAGGATATCAAAGTAGAAAAGATCTCTTTCTTAAAGATCTAACTAAAGGAAAGTAATCAATCTACTACGTTTAGAACAAAAAAGATTACGATTCTAGATGATAAATGGGGAGCTGATTTGAGATATTGAATGTACCAACTTGGGAAGCAAGATTTACACTTGGTACTTAAATTATTTCCATGCTTAACTACGTAGTCTTCAATGCCTGACTTAAGAAGCTCTAGATTTGATGCCGACATTGGTAACTGCTTGCACTCATTTGCAAGAAAAACCTTTTCATATCGTGATTCAGGTACATCGCAATCTTCTGCTACCAATTGAATTGCGACATTCTGGACAAAAATATAAAAGAGAATCATTATAACCGAGTCAAGTCAAGGGTGATGAATTAAATTTGTAAGGTTGCTTTAAACAATGTCAATGATAAGAAAGCCATTTGGCTGATTTAGTGGAATTATTAACTGTTGATAGCATATGAGATAGAAGGAAAATGGTCTCCAGCAACAGTATTGACACGCTTCAAGTTATAGTTGTTTGAAAGAAAGTTAATGCATCAGAGAACTCTTCACTTTTGTCAGTTTAACTTACAGGAATCTTTAAAATTTGCATCTGCAAAATAAACAAATAAATAGAAAGAACATGAAATGTGTGATACACGAGTTTAAACAGCAGAATTTGTTGTAGATACACAGTGATACTACAACTTCAACAAAATCATTTAAATAACACAGGCTCAAATAAATATGCATTGAAGAACAAAGCTGCGGCTAACTTCGCACATTCAGATCCAGTAAAGCTACCATATTTCTGCTTGCTGATATTTTTAGTTTTGTTTTTATTTATTAAGTCAGGTGAAGATTTTTCATGTTTTTTTTGTGTGGGGTTTTAGAAAGTAGAAGCACTCACTCTTTTGATTTCTCAAAATAACATATTCTGATCGACCAAATTGCTTTAGACACTGCCCCAGTGGACAAGTGCAAAATGATATAAACTGCTGATGTAGAGCCTCACTAACTGTGTAGAGTTGCCAGTGCTTTCTAATAATTGAAATATTTGTTATTCCGAAGACCCATATTAATTCAGAGCAGTAGATTTAAATTACTTTATTCAATAGTATTTGACTTAATAAGTGTACTTCCAAGTGCTCACAAAAAAATATGACCTAATAGTTTTGATCTTGGTTAATGCTTAAAATTTTATGAGGATAAATGATTGCCATTACTCTAGGACTGTCAAATGACCGAGTGATAATTAAGTTCTTTGATCGAACACATTTAGATTGAAATGATCATCTTAGTAAACTTTTCATGTATCCCAGGTAATTTTTTTTTACAACAAAAAAGGATAGACAAATTAGCACTAAAATCAGCATACCTTCTGCATAAAGGTATGAATATCAGCCAGTAAGATATCAAGGCTAACAAAAGAAGACAGATAAACTTCACTACCACTGCAAAATATCACAATGACAAAATTATTAACAAGAAACTTAACCAACAAATTAATCTCAAAATATAGTTCAAACTATTCTTGTACCTGAAGTTTGCCCCATTTTTTGTGTTTGAAGGCAGTCTAGTTATTCTAGAGGAACCACTTCCTTTCAGGTTTATCTGATAACTATGTATCTCGGTATCCCTGATGCCTACAATTTACATAGACCGCAGTAAGAATCGTGATAATAACTAGACTAAACATGGTAATATATTCAATTGTTGACTTTACTCTTGAGCAGTGACGTAGTATAATTACACATGGACCAGGGAAACATAAAATATTTGACAAATTTCCACATGGCTGATATAAAATGATTTCATATCAACACTCAAAAGTACCTATACCAATTAAAATAATATGAAGACCACTTAAAACCATTTTCCTTAAACAAATAGCTGGCATGGCATATTACATACCACGTCAAAGCAAGAGCAACATAGTTGACGCGGATACAAGAATTGTTACTTGTTACTCTTTTGTGCACGTGGGATATCTATATGTTCAGTGAGATCAAACCACGACTAACATGAGAGGAGAGCATTAAACTTACTGGTAGTTTTGAGAGAAAGCATTCCATCTGTTTTAGAAGGAGCAAAATAAATAAATAAATAAATAAATAATAAATAGTATGTAACTCAGATGGTAATTATGAATTGTTGCTACCCCAATTGTCAGCAACATCCGTGGAAGAAAACCACAAGTCCTGAAATTCCTCTAAGCAGCACCCAATACCAGTATCAGAGACTGCGAACAAAAAATTCAAATATTATTCCAAAGAAAATGTTCACAACTATTTAGCCTAGCATGAATAATTAATTTTAAGCACCATTCTTCTGATAACTCTAATCCTTGAGCAACCGACAGCGTTTTGATTTTTTCTAATAATAAAAATGCACATCAATAGAGAAAACGTGTCGAATTACTTGCAAGCATTTTCTTACTTGAAATTCGAAGAGAAGAATGCGAAGATGAAGAGTGAGTGAGAATAACTGCGAGTCTGCAAATCTGCCCCGATAATCGGCATCTCTGATACGCTGAAGATATTAACTGTAATCGGAGACTCGCGTTACATACATGACCCAACAAAACGGAACTAGCGGCATAAATTTACATAAACGAGCCAAAGAGAAAATCATACGAAAATAAGTAAATACAAAAATCATAAGAACATTTCGCAGAATAAGAAGAAGGAACTCACATGCAAGCACAATTTCGGAACAGCCGAAAACTCCATTCAGAATCAAAACACTCTGGAATTCGCGCGCAAAAGTAAGCAACGGTTCGAAAATCAAAACTTATAAATCATTCTGAACGTGGTGGGCCCATGGTGAGATCCGATAGTCAGGCCCATTAGCGTGTAGTTGGGCCTCCTTGTGATCCATTATCAAGTGGCCCCTACAACAAAAAATTATTTTCAAAAAAAAAAAAAAAAGAAGACAAAGCTTAATTTTTACCTTTTTAAAATCAAAACTTAAAAAAATGTGCATAACGAAATTCTCTTATTGTAAAAGATGAGATAAAATAGAAGCATTTGGGTCCCAAAAAAAGTGCTTTATATTCAAATGTTACTCTGAAATTTCTGACTTCTTGCACTCACAAAGACAAGCATGTATGAAATTCTTTTGCAGACAAATCTGCAATTGCTGACAAATGTTTTTTTGATGGTGATGCTACTTGTTTTGACTGAATTTCTGAACATGTAATTTTATGTTTGGCTTTTTCATTTGTCTAGATTAGAAAAATTGTTCTATCATGATATTGACCTATGCAGATTATGGTGAGTTGAGAAACTTGGTTTTTGCTCAGATTTAATTGAACAATTTGTAGGTAGTATTATCATTAAATAGCAACATTACAAGGAACATAACGAGCATACGTTGCCCAGAATTTATCGTTACATGGTGTAATGAAAAATGCTGGGACATTCCTTTTTCTACACTCTCTTTTTATTGATTATAATTTATTGAAAATTAAATAAATTTGTGTGTCCTATATTTTATTTAATAATTTTCTTTTATAACTTTTAACTAATAAAAAAGGATATACTAAAAAGAGCGTAATAGAAAATGTATTTACATAAACTTATAAGTTTAAATGTAATTGCTGTCATCTTATATAAGAGAGTTCAATTAGTAATTTTGGTTATAGATTTCAATATTACAAGTTAATTTTAGTTTGTTAGTTGGTGTTGTGTTAAATATTAACAAATTTTATGAACACTATATGTATGATAACATGTCAATGTTTGGTTGATAATGTATACACTTTTGAATGGATGAATTGCCACGAAAGTTAATAGTCATTTCCTGAAGTTTTCACAGAAAGAGTTTTCTTTCCGCAGGGACCTCTTAAAGTTCTACTCTAGTAGTACACCCCTTGCAAGAACTCACATGGTGCCAACCAGAGGCATCGCTGGAAGAAACAGAACCGAAACTTTGCACGGGCAATTATATTCTTGTTCATGGAAGTGGTATTATTCCCCTTTCTTCAACCCTCAGTTGGCTTCCTTAATGCATTTATCTAACCATTTTTCAAAGTGCTAGCTTCATATATACTGTTTTCCCTTTACTGAATGGTGACTTTCTTCATTGAAAAGATGTCAGAGTTTCATCAACCATTCATTCATTGGTGGTTCATATTGCTATCCTATGTGCTATGTGCCATGGCTAAGTAAAGAATGACATTCCAATTCACTTTTTTTTTTTTAATATAAGAAAGTACTTTCAATGCAAGATATCCATATATCAAACTATCATTACAGGTCTATTTAGAGGATCACTGCACAGATCCCAACAACAATCAAATTTTCTCAGTTAATCTTTAACCACTAAGATTTTCCTAAACACCCATTTATATTAACAAAAAGAATAGTTTAAATTTTGTAATTTAAATACTAAAACCAAAAAAGTTGCTAACTCCAAGAATGAAAAATAGGTTTAACCACCAAGTATTTTGTCTGAAACTTTCAAGTTCCAAGTGCCTGATAACAATTTTACTTTTTTCCTATAACACTCAGGTAGAAAATTTGACTTAAGAAACGAATCATCAAGACACTGATTTAACTTACTGAAGTGTATGATATAATGATAGCGAAGTTAACCTTTCTGAAATTAATATCTCTACCAACTCAACACTCACAAGCAGATTCCCTATTTCAAAAGGGGGAATAAAGGGGCAATGAGGGCAGGGTGACCCCATTAAGCTTACAAGATTGTTATTGGAATGGTTAGTGCTTGATATTTTTGCACAGATCCCAATATTAATAAAACAAATCTGGTCTCTCCCTCTGTCCCCCCTTTCACAGTTTTCGGGGAAATCCTTGACTAGATGTTCTTTTATGCATCACATTAGGAACATCATTCTGCTCCTAAAGACAATTACTTTGTTTTGGCCGTATGTATGTATTTGGCACGCGAAACTGACCGTATAGTAACGCCTACAACTACAACAGCAGAATTGTCTATGGCCTAGAAATTAGAGCATGACCAGTGCAGTGCATAATAAGCAAGTCTCTACATGTATACACAACCTTTTAAGCTTTACAAAATGTCTTTCATCAATAGTACATCTATGGTCCTTGTTAATGAATGATACATTCTTCAATTTTGTAAGTGTATATATAAAGATCAATTAAGACCATAATAATCTCTTTCTCCACTCCATCCCTTTATCATTTGTTTGAAGAAAAGTAATGCGCACTTATCAGCAAAATATCATGACTATTTGGCATGTATTGACTACATAGTCCTAGACTATCTCATTCAATGATTATGAGTGGGAACACCCCAGTAAACAAAAGCTGCACTTTCATGGGGCCTTGAGAGTGTAATGTGTCCTTATGCTGTAAGATCTTGCTTTCTCTCCTTACAAAGCAATCATAGGAGCCAATAAGTTTAAAGAGCACAGAGAATATCTTTAGTTGCCTTCTTTATTAAAGAAAGTTCCTCTCTCCTCCTTTTTTTTTTAAATTAAAAATTCCTACTTATTAGAAAACTAATTTACATAACCACTTCTCTCACCTAATACACCCTCAAGTCCTTCGTTAGTTAACACAAAATCTACCTTGGTTTGCACTCAAAGAACAAGAGCTGCAGCTTTAATACCAAATCCACCTATCCCCCACAATTCTCACACCCTCAACACAACTATTCTCCCTTCTCAATTCTATCATTGAAGATGTCTTTACAAGTTCAGCCGCAGACACAGACACAGGCACAGCCCCTGATGCAGCAGCAACAGCAACCTGTTCAGGTCTACCCTACCAGTGTCACATACCAGTCACCACCACACCATTCAAATGGCTCTTTTGGGTCAGTGTTTGTTGTTTTGGCTATAATAATAGTCATTTCTGCAGTTGCTTGCTGCCTTGGAAGGCTTTGCAACCGCCGCAGCCGCAGCCACAGCCACAGCCACAACCACAACCAGAAACATGTTAAACCTCAAAAGCAGCAGCAGAACCACACCAACTTCCGTCCAAAAGAAGTGGACATTGAATTTGGATTTGACAAGAGAATTGCAGCTTCCAAGCCTAATGGACATGGAGCAGGCAGAGGAATCAAGCCAGTTCCTCATGGTGACATGAGAACTTTTGAAATGAAGCTTGGCCACCAAGGAAAAGTAAGACCAGGCCCATGAAGGGAATTATTCCAGAAAAGTATTACGTAGACTTGCCCATCTTCTTGTTGGGAACTGTTCCTCCTCTATACCATTGTGTTTGTATTTATCTTCTCCGTTTTTCAGTCTCTTATTAGATCTGCAACTGCAAGATGAAATGTATAATTATTTTCTCTACTCTTTTTATGCCCTTGTTTTGGTGTTTGAAAACAAAACCGTGTGTTCTATCTGCAATATGGATTTGTGCAAGTAAAAAGAGTGTAAAAAATACAAATTACTCAGTTTAAACTCGATGAATTGATTGGATAAAAAATAATGATGGTTTTGAATGATTTATCTGTAATTAAATTTTAGATTTTTTTATGAAATCTAGTTTGAACTGGATTTAGATTAAAAATGCAAAAGAAACAACTATTTAGAGAGCCAAAAACTACATCAGACACAAACAGAAGATGTGCCGCAAACAAACACAAAACAAGTTAAAAAAAACTAATCCATTACAGAGTTAACACTAATCAATATATCATATGGATTTATAAACTTTCATTATCCATTAAAGAAAATTCTTCAAGTGTACGTAAAGAGAAAGTGGAACATTTGACCGTTACACCTACCATGATTTTCAATAAAAAATATTTACTTATTATTTCTCCTTAGACTCTCCCAATAATATGTGAGAGCAAAGTCCCACGTCAGTGCGTATTTCTTCAAAGGGGGTATGGGTGAGTGGTTATATAAGAAACCACATGCCCCCATTCTAATCATCCCAAAATTTCTTTCTTTCTCTAGTATTAGAAATTGTTGTCATTTTTAGGACTAGAGAAGGGGTATGTAATTTTTCTTCCTATTATAAAATTTCCACTTTTGTCTATTATTGCTATTCAATTTTTATCTTCTCTATTTTAGTTGAGTTATTGTGCAAATAGTCTGATACCTAACAGTGGTATCAGAGCCACGTATTTGTTAACTGTTGTCTGGGAAAGTTCTGGCTAGGAAAGATTTGGTACTTAAGTGTGTCCATTAGTGACTCACCTCTCTTTCGTGGGAACTTACCTAGGTGTACTGGTTCACGGTCTACTACTATTGTTCTAGTAGACAATACTATTCATAAGTGAGAGTTGCATAGTGAAAACACAACCATGATAGCAAAGTATGAGATAGAGAAGTTCAACGGGAACAATTTCTCGTTATGGAAATTGAAGATGAAGGTAATTTTGAGAAAGGACAATTACCTTGATGCAATTGAAGGAAGATCCGCAGAAATGACGGATTAGAAGTGGAAGGAAATTGACGGCAACGCTATTGCAAATTTGCATTTAGCAATGGCAGATTTCGTGCTATCCAGTGTTGCGGAAAAGAATACAGCAAAGGAGATTTTGGATGCCCTCATCAAATTATATGAGGTGAAGTCTCTTCACATAAGGATATTCTTGAAGCGGAAACTCTACACTCTTCGGATGAGTGAGTCCACATCGACGACGGATCACATCAATCATTTGAACACCTTATTTGCCCAATTATCAGTAGCAGATTTCAACATAGTTGAAAATGAACGTGCGGAAGTTCTACTTCAGAGCCTACCAGACTCATACGATCAACTCATCATCAACATAACAAATACTAATATGGAAGGAAATCTACGCTTTGAGGATGTTGTTGGAGCTACTCTAGAAGAAGAATCCAGACGCAAGAATAAGGTAGATAGATTGGAAAATTCCAAGCAAGCAGAGGCTTTGACGATGATGAGAAGAAGATCAACAGAGCGTGGCTCCAGTGGGAGTCAAAATCATGGTAGATCAAAATCTCGAGGAAGGAAGAATTTCAAATGTTACTATTGTGGCATGAGAGAGCACTTGAAGAAAGATTGTTGGAAGAAGAAAAATGCAGAGAAGTCTTCTGAGGCAACTACATCTCAAGGATGTGTTGCCAGTACCTCTGATGATGGAGAAATCCTGTATAGCGAAGCAGCTATTGGTTCCAAAGGTAAAAAACAGTTCACTGGTGTTTGGATAATAGATTCGAGAGCAACATGGCACATGACTTCACGAAGAGATTGGTTTTGCACTTATAAACCTATCTCAGAGGGATCTGTGTTCATGGGTAATGATCACGCCTTGAAAATTGCTGGAATCGGTACTGTCAAATTGAAGATGTACAATTGTACTATTCATACAATTCAAGGGGTACGACATATGAAGGGCTTGAGAAAGAATTTATTGTCTATTGGACAATTGGATGACCTCGGTTGCAAGACCCATATTGAAGGTGAGATCTTGAAAGTAGTGAAAGGTGCTCTAGTAGTGATGAAAGCAAAGAAGTTTGTTGCAAACCTATACATGCTTCTGGGAGATACGTTGCAAGAGGCAGATGTATCAGTTGCATCAGCTAGTCAAGAGGAATCAACGACAATGTGGCATCGCAGACTAGGCCATATGTCAGAACGAGGCTTGAAGGTCCTTGCAGAACGTAAACTCTTACCCGGGCTCACATCGGTAAGCTTAGCTTTCTGTGAGCACTGTGTGACAAGCAAACAACATAGATTGAAATTTGAAAAGTCAACTACTAGAAGCAAACACATACTTGACTTGATACATTCTGATGTGTGGGAGTCACCGGAAATGTCCCTAGGAGGAGCTAAATATTTTGTATCATTTATTGATGATTACTCTAGGAGATTGTGGGCGTATCTAATCAAGAAAAAGTCATATGTGTTTTCAGTTTTCAAGGAATTCAAAGCACAAGTGGAGCTTGAAACTGGGAAGAAGATCAAGTGCTTAAGGACAGACATGGAGGAGAATATACAGATGGTGAGTTTCTGGCATTCTGCAAGTAGGAGGGTATAAAGAGGCAGTTCACGGTTGCTCATACACCTCAGCAAAATGGTGTAGCAGAGCGGATGAATAGAACTCTCCTAGAGAGGACTAGAGCTATCTTGCGAACAACAAGATTAGCCAAGTCTTTCTGGGCAGAAACAGTGAAGACAACTTGTTACGTAATAAATCGATCCCCATCAACTATGATTGGTTTAAAGACACCTATGGAGATGTGGAAAGGAAAGCCAGTAGAGTACTCTTCTCTACATGTGTTTGGACGTCCTGTGTACGTAATGTACAACTCCCAAGAAAGAACAAAGTTGGATCCAAAATCCAGAAAATGCATATTCTTGGGCTATGCTGACGGATTTAAGGGGTATCGCCTGTGGGATCCCACTGCCCGCAAGGTTATTGTCAGCAGAGACGTAATCTTTGTAGAGAATGAACTGCAAAATGAACAGGTAAATGACAACACTTATAAAGATGTTACTACTGTACAAATAAATGGAAAGTCTGGAGAAGAAGATTCTTTAGAAGCAGAACCAGAGCATGAGGAACAAGAACCAGAAAAGGCCAATGATACAGAAGTTCGACGAATAACACGTCAGATAAGGAGACCATCTTGGCACTCAGACTATGTAATGGCAAGTCATGATGCATATTGTCTTCTAACAGAAGAGGGAGAACCGTCAACCATTCAGGAGGCTGTGAGTAGTTCAGATGCTTCTCTGTGGATGGCAGCAATGCAAGAAGAAATAGAAGCCTTACACAAAAACAAGACATGGGAGCTTGTTGCACTTCCACAAGGTCGAAAAGTCATCGGTAACAAATGGGTTTATAAGATCAAACGTGATGGTAATGATCAAGTGGAACGATATCATGCAAGACTGGTAGTAAAAGGGTATGCTCAAAAGGAAGGCATTGATTTCAATGAGATATTCTCTCTGGTGGTTAGACTTACCACTATCAGAGTAGTGTTGGCTATGTGTGCTGCATTTGACTTACATCTTGAACAATTGGATGTAAAGACTGCTTTTCTTCATGGAGAACTTGAAGAAGAAATTATATGCTCCAACCAGAAGGCTTTGAAGAACAAGGAAAAGAAAACTTGGTTTGTAGGTTGACCAAATCTTTGTACGGTTTAAAGCAGGTGCCAAGGTGTTGGTACAAGAGATTTGATTCCTTCATTATTAGTCTCAGATACAATAGACTGAGTTTTGATGATAATGATTTCATCATTTTGTTGTTGTATGTGGATGACATGTTGGTGGTAGGCCCCAATAAAGATCGAGTCCAAGAATTGAAGGCACAGTTGGCTAGGGATTTTGATGAAGACTTGGGACTCGCAAACAAGATTTTAGGGATGCAAATTCACCGAGACAAAAAGGATAGGAAGATTTGGCTCTCTCAAAAGAATTATCGTAAGAAAGTCTTGCGGTACTTCAACATGCAAGATTGTAAGTCAATCTCTACCCCATTGCCTATCAATTATAAATTATCCTCAGATATGTGTCCTAGCAGTGAAACAGAAAGGATGGAAATGTCTCGAGTGCCGTATGCATCGACGGTGGGAAGTCTTATGTATGCTATGATTTGTACGAGACCAGATATTGCACAAGCAGTTGGGACGGTTAGTCGATTTATGGCAAATCCTGGTAGAGAGCACTGGAATGTTGTGAAAAGGATCCTAAGATACATTAAAGGAACCTCAAATGCTGCATTATGTTTTGAAGGATCAAAGTTTATTGTCAAAGGATATGTTGATTCAGATTTTGCAGGTGATCTTGATAAAAGAAAATCTACTACAGGATATGTGTTTACACTTGCAAGTGGAGCGGTAAGTTGGTTATCTAAACTACAGTCTGTTGTAGCCTTATCTACTATAGAGGCGGAGTACATGGCAGCTACCCAGGCATGCAAGGAAGCAATTTGGATTCAAAGGTTATTGGGAGAACTCGGACACAAGCAACAAAAGATCAATGTGTATTGTGACAGTCAGAGTGCATTGTACATTGCTAGGAATCCAGCTTTTCATTCTAGAACAAAACACATAGGAGTACAATATCATTTTGTCAGAGAAGTAGTAGAGGAAGGGAGTGTGGATATGCAGAAGATTCATATCAAAGATAACCTAGCAGATGCTATGACAAAACCAGTAAATACTGACAAGTTTATACAAAGTCGATCCTGTTATGGCCTATTGAAAACATAAGCAGCATAGATGGAAAAGATAATCATGGTGTGAAAATTTGATTAATTTCATCAAAATCTTCAAGTGAGAGATTGTGAGAGCAAAGTCCCACATCAGTGGGTATTTCAAAGGAGGCATGTGTGAGTGGTTATATAAGAAACCACATGCCCCCATTCTAATCATCTCAAAATTCCTTTCCTTCTCTAGTATTAGAAATTGTTGTCATTCTTAGGACTAGAGAAGGGGTATGTAATTTTTCTTCCTATTATAAAATTTTCACTTTTGTCTATTATTGCTATTCAATTTTTATCTTCTCTATTTTAGTTGAGTTATTGTGCAAGTAGTCTGATACCTAACCTAATATTGATAACGAATTCTTACCGATACAAACTTCTCATCATTAGCTCAATTCTAACATTTGATGGTTCTAAACAGTGGTAAAAAATATTTGTGGTTTGTTTAACCATGGGTTCGGTTTGTCTCTGGCTAAAAAACAGCAGTTAAATTGGCCCCTGAATAATGGTAGGGATAAAATATGCAGAAGTTGAGGGGAGATGGATATGCACAAGTTTAACCATTAGAGATTTTTGGGTAAGCGTTAACACAATTGATTTTGATGAGAGGTGATTTATAGTTGGATATTCTTATTCTAGAAGTAATTTAGTAACAAAAAATAGTATAGACTTTTTTATTCAATAAAAAGTTACCAAAAGTTGTTTCAAATCAATCAATTATAACCGTAGAAGTCAAATTTTCAACACGAAACCGCACATATATATCTACAATCACCTTAGATGACATTAAGAATGATTCTGGAGAATCTAAAGTAAAATCAAACACGTATTTAGAATTAACTTTAATATATCGTCAAAAGTAATAGACATCTTAAAGCTTTAACGGGTAGATCATGCACAAATTGATATAACCTTCGACATTGAAAGTAAGATACTTGATTTTAAGTAATAAAAATAACTTCTATCAACACTATCAAACATAAATAATTTCTTTACCAAAATACATTAAAGTAAATTTCAGACTACATTTGCAGATGCAAAATATTAGCCTTGGAGAAAGCACACTGATGAATTGGCCATGGTGGTGTTGAAAAATTCCACCACAAGCTGTTAGGTTGGCGTGATGATCAACAGAGCCATTGGAGTTTATCTTAATCCAATGTGGAAGGAGGGTTTCAATGACAACCAGCAATACACTGATGGGGTGTAGAATCAACAGACCTCATGCAATTTTATGATAGGATCCAGCAATTATATTTGAAGCATTTAGGCACTGTATCTGTGCTTCTAGTTCTAGATGATTCTTTGCAATTACCAAATATGGGTTTGCTTCTATGATTACCACGGCGAAAAAACTTCTCACAAGTGTTTGTATTAATTTCTTCAAACACTTATGATAAAAGAGGAACAAAATAGTTTTTGTAAATTAAAACTAACTTATTTAAAATCAACTTATAAGTTGATTTTTAATTTATATATAAGTTAATTTGTTATGAACTTCTTTATAAGCGTTTTGAAAAAAAAAGAAAAAAAGAAAAAGCTAAACCTATCCTTGACAAAATGGGTGTCTCAGTGGCTACAAGATGCAGAAAGGGGGTATTTTTTTTTCCTACAGAAATAATTTAAATATATGTGAGAGTGAGAAAAAAGAAAAGGGTAATTTGAAAAAAAAAAATTAAGTGAAAAAAGATTAGTGTACTAATAAAAAAGGAAGAGTGCAAATAGGAACCGAGTTGAGTGAGTGATGTGGGTCCTCGGTTGAGAGATGCAGTTATTTTGGCCCAATGGATCTTAATAGGTCAAGGAGGCAATTTTTCATCTATTCCTTTTGGGTGTATTTTTCATCTATTCCTGCTTTGCTCTGTGGCTATGAACTATTGAGATGATGATGTGAATACTATGAACTCAAGTTGCAATATGAAATAGTAAAATTTGGTTATGACTCAACTAAAATTATAATTTCCCAACGTATGTTACCATAAATTACTTGACCAGAAGTACTGCTGAAAATTTTTCATTGTAGTGAAGTATCAAAAGGAAGAATATTGTGTCTGGAAGTTGTAAAAATAAAACTGATAAACAACATTTTAGCATATCACATATATAAAAATATGTTAAATTAACCTTCAAATTTTCAAATTTGGATGCTTGAAAATCTTACTGTCTTTCAATTATGTTCATCAAGACACTATCTTTGATAGTAGTGAACCTGAATGTCACAAGATCAAGGATTTTATGAAAGCCATAGATGAACAAAGACTTTGGTTAGCATCTTAATGATTAGGTTGTTATTTATGACACTCATTGTAGTCAAAGATATGAGGAAACACATTATAGAAGAGATCAAGCACCTAAACTAAAGTAACTTGAAGTTGATAATTTTGAACTTTTTTTGTGCATCCGATTCTGAATTTTCTCTCATTATACTTGAACTTCTAAGATATCGGCATATGAATATTACGAGTGTTTTATGTAAACTTAATGTATCACTGGAAACGTGCAGTTAGAAACTCAATCCCGCATCAAACTCAACAAACTTACATCAATGGCCCCTGCTATAAGAAAAAGAAAATACTAAGAGAAAGAAAACAAACAAAAAGTAAAGACAAACAAATGTTTTTGATTTTAACATGTTAAAAGAGCCGGCAACAGGGATTCATACAGTATTGTACACGACAAACAACTGCAGGAGAAGTTCGTTATCTCCCAAGTCTACGAAAATTCTAATCTTATCTCTCACTTGATCATGCCATTGGGTTGTCATTGTCATTTCTGACGCATACAATCTCTCCTGCATTTGACTTAGTTAGAATTTGGAAGATGGCTGAAGCTGCACTTAAAGGTGTGCTTGGAAAGTTGAGCTCTTTCATTGAAAAAGAGGTAGGACTACTTCTGTTTTTTGATCAAGACATGAAAAGGCTTGCCAGCTTACTCACTGCTGTCAAGGCTACGCTTGAAGATGCGGAGGAGAAACAATTCTCAGACAGATCTATAAAGGATTGGCTGCAGAAGCTGATACATGTAGCTCATGACCTTGATGACATCTTGGACGAGTATGCCTATGAAGAATTGCGGGTGGAATATGAAGGAGTCAACTGTTGTCCATTAGTAATGGTACATAGCTCTTGCTTATCCTCTTTTCATCCTATCCATGTTTATTCCTGTTACAAGATTGCTAAGAAAATGAAAAGCATAAGCGGGAGATTAGATGAAATTGCTAAAGAAAGGAAGAACTTTCATTTGAATGAGACCCCTCGAGAGAAAATAAGTGAATTTGAGTGGCGCCAAACCGGCTCTTTCATCACTGAACCGCGGGATCATGGAAGAGATAAAGATACAAAAACAATTCTAGACTCTTTGATTGGTGATGCTGATGCTTCTCACTGTGAAGATTTGTCAGTTTATCCAATTGTAGGTATAGGCGGACTTGGAAAAACAACACTTGCGCAACTAATCTTCAATCATGAGAAGGTAGTCAACCACTTTGAAGAAAGAATTTGGGTATGCGTGTCCGAAGATTTCAGTTTGAGGAGAATGACAAAAGCTATCATTGAAGCAGCTGGTCATGACTGTAAATATTTAGATTTAGAACCATTACAAAGAAGACTTCGAGATCTGCTTCAAAGAAAAAGGTTTTTGCTTGTTTTGGATGATGTGTGGGACGATGACCAAGAGCATTGGCAGAGGTTGAAATCTGTACTGACTTGTGGGGCAAAGGGTGCTTCCGTCCTGGTTACTACTCGTCTTCCAAAGGTTGCATTAATCATGGGAACAATGCCTCCTCATGAACTATCAGTGTTATCTGAAAATTATTGTTGGGAATTGTTTAAAACCCGAGCGTTTGGACCAAATGAGGTAGAACAGGAAGAGCTTGTGGTTATAGGAAAGGATATAGTAAAGAAATGTGGTGGAGTCCCTCTTGCAGCAACAGCACTGGGAGGTCTTTTACGCTTTAAAAGAGAGGTAAAAGAGTGGGTCTTTGTTAAGGAGAGCAACATGTGGAATTTAACACACGATGACAACTCTGTAATGTCAGCCCTGAGGTTAAGTTACTTGAACTTACCAATAAAGTTCAGACAATGTTTTGCTTACTGTGCAATATTTCCCAAAGGTGAAAGAATACGGAAGAAATATTTAATAGAACTTTGGATAGCTAATGGATTTATTTCATCCAATGAAGTACTAGATGCTGAAGACGTTGGTGATAGTGTATGGAATGAATTATATCTGAGATCATTTTTTCAAGATATTGAGATAGATGAATTTAACAAAATTACGAGTTTCAAGATGCATGATCTTGTTCATGATCTTGCACAATTTGTTGCACAAGATATTTGTTGCATTACAAATGACCATGACGTAACTACTTTGCCCGAAAGAATCCACCATCTCTCAGATCACAGATGGAAGTGGAATTCATCCGCGGAAACCATTAATCCAGTTCTGTTGCATAAAGTCAAGTCTCTAAGGACCTATAGAGAAAGCTCTAATACTGGAAAACTTTGTCCTTCTGAATTGAAATGTTGTTCTTTGCGGGTACTTCACATGGCAAAACTTGGGAAAGAACTGTCAACTTCAATTGGTCATTTAAAACAGCTAAGGTACTTGAACCTTTCTAAAGGTGACTTCAAAACTCTCCCAGAATCACTATGTACATTATGGAATTTGCAGATATTGAAATTAGACTATTGTATATATCTGGAAAAGTTGCCTATCAGTTTGGTACATTTGAAAGGTCTACAACAACTGTCTTTCAAATGTTGTGGGTCACTGTCAAGCTTGCCTCCTCAGATTGGAAAGTTGAATTGTCTAAGAATTTTAAGCTCGTTCTTTGTTGGAAAGGAAAGAGGATTCCATTTGGAAGAACTGGGACAACTGAAGCTTAAAGGATCTCTCTGTATCAAACATTTGGCAAAAGTAAAAAGTGTAGAGGATGCCAAAGATGCCAACATGTCAAGTAAGCAGCTGAAGGAGTTATGGTTGTCATGGGACAGAAATGAAGAGTTGGAATTACAAGAAAATGTTGAGGAGATTCTTGAACTGCTTCAGCCTGATACCCAACAGCTTCAGAAGTTGAGCGTAGAAGGATATAATGGTGCCCGTTTCCCCCAATGGATCTCTAGTCTTTATCTCAAATTTGTAACTTTCATAAAGCTAAAGGACTGCGAAAGATGTTCACAACTTCCAGCTTTGGGGAAACTACCTTCTCTAAAGACTCTACACATAGACAACATGATTAATGTAAAATATGTATACGAGGAGTGTTACAATGGTGGAGTAGTTTTCCAGGCTCTACAACATCTGACACTCTTGAATCTGCCAAATCTAATAACATTATCAAGGGAGGATGGGGAAAACATGTTCCCGCGGGTTTCCATACTTGAAATTGGATCATGTCCTAAATTCTTGGCAGAGGAAGTATTACTGCAAGGATTTCAGTCTCTCAGGAAATTAGATATTAGAGGGTGTGATAAGTTCAATGTGTCAGCAGGTTTCCAATTCCTAATGTGTCTTCAGGATTTGACTATTGGCGGATGCAGAGAGGTGGAGGGCTTACATGAGGCTTTACAGCGTATGATTATCCTGAAGAAGTTAATGTTAGAGAATCTTCCAAATCTAGAATCCTTGCCTGACTGTTTTGGAAACCTCCCCTTACTAGACAGTTTATATATTTTTAACTGTCCAAAGTTAAGGTGTCTTCCAGCAAGTCTAAGCATTAGCCGTCTAGAAAGGTTGTGGATCTGGGGTTGCCCTCCTGAGTTTGCAACTAGATATGAGAGGGAAACAGGAGAGGACTGGCCAAAAATAGCTCACATTCCCCATGTTGAGTTCCGTGTTTTGATTGGTGTAATGACTGTGCAGGTATATTGTGAAGTTCTATTTCTTCCTATGTATACTAGCAAAACTCTTTTTAACAAACTTTTTCTAACACCCTCTGCTAATAGTAGAAATTTATTAAAAATCATTCATTTTAGTGAGAGGTAGTGTAAGAGTGTTAGAAAGAAAATGTTAGAGGAATACTACTATCCCCTTCCCTGATGAACTTGTTGTATCTTCTACAAATTGTATCAATGTCTATCCAACCTAGTTTGACAGATAAATTTTTAAAAATTGAAACTATATATTTGTTATTGTCACCAAATTTTAGAATTTATTTTTTCAAACAAAGACAAATAAATTTTACATTTGTACTCAGTTTTATTCCCTATAGATACATATCTGACATATGATTTCTTTCTTTCTCTTTTTTCACTACCTAGTATCCAATAACACTTTAAATTGCTCATGTAATCAAACTTAATAACCACATGGTATGTTTCAATTAAGAATTTCAAATATTCTTCCTTCAATAGTTGCTCAATTGACGTCCTTAACAAGGGGTAGTATTTCATTCTGTGTAAAACTCAGATTTTAATATATTCTGCTGCACTGCACAATGGTTCTGTTCTGAAACTGACAATTACATTTTTCGTTGTGATCAGAAATCTGGCTACATTGAGATCGGTAATTACAGGTTTCCCGCAAGCTGGTTGTTTGGAGATTCTGGTGTTTCTGCCTCTTACTCGGGCTCACAATGAAGTTTAGTATAATGTGAGCTTTGGCAACATGTAGCTGTACAAGTTCATATCTTTGCATTGTTTTCTCCTTTGTTTATTGGACCTCCTCATGCAGTCTTTTCATCAATGTACTAAAAAGTGGATTTGTATGATTTACTACTTTATTTATTTTATTTCTCATGTTTTCTTGTCAGTGTATTTGAATTACTTTAGGCAATTAAGTTGATTTTAATACTTATTTCTATGAAATTTAGTTCGAACTGAATTTAGATAGATAAAGCAACAGAGACATGTACTTTCAAGAGCAAAAAACTGAAAGAAGTTTATGGAGTTAAAACTAATCCTTATGACCCTAAGAAGTTTAAGTGTGTGTAAATTCTAAAAGAAATCTAACGTTTTATGCTGCCAATACACTATTATCATGATTTGCAATGGATAAGGTTTTACTTCTCTTTTATTAGTCTTAACCTTAAATGGAGTAATCTCACATTGTTCTAAATTTTTTACTACATAAAGAAAAGTTTAAACATGCTACATTATACACACTTTTATACTCTGAAAAGGATGTGTTTCTTCTATTGAGATTTTAAGGGTAGACTAGACTTTTTTTATAAAAGGGAATGATTTTCTTCTATTTAGATAACGAGTTTGTAACCAGAAACAACATGAATAATTTAAGGGAAAAACACTTTCCTATGGTTAAACCGACCATAATGTAAATCATTTCTCTGCCAATTACAAACATTTGTCAACAAAGTCATTACAGAACAAAATTCATTTTCTTCTTTATTTAGCTTAGTATATAATTCCCTGAATTTTGGCTCATTGGTAGAGCTTGAAAAAAGTGGTAAGAAATCTTTAATAACGTTTTTACCCCCACATGAAAATTTCCGTTACAATTGAGAATTACAAGACTTGTATGTATATGAAACAGTAATCAGCTAAGTCATCATTCTGTTAAATTAAAATATCATTTGATTCCTACAAATCTCACAACTTCGAGAGAAAAAAATAAAAATAAAAAATTGAACTACAAGCATAAACAGTACACTCTGACTAGAACTATGTCTCGGAATTGCTCTATTTTCGCAACTTACAAGTGTTCAGTGGTCACTGCCATAGAACATAAATGCTGTAAGAAACTCGGTCTTCCTAATCCTTCATCAATAAGAGATAATGTTTTTGATTGGCACAAGGCAAACAGATACAATCTCAATGTTCTCCCAAACTTTCATGGTGGTAAGGATTGGGAAGTTTGGAAGATCATAATTCTCATCTTCGAAAGCAAAATTTTGCTTGGTTCTCTGGAAGATGATGCAGGCATCATGAAGAGGAGTTTGGTGAATTTAGCTTTGGTTTCAAGAGAGAGTTTGGCAAAATTAGTTTGATTATAACCAGCAGCCTCTAAACTCCAATATGTCTATGCTCATTGTATGTGTTCCCTCAAGACATGTTCTTGGTATTGATCCTTTGGTTATGGAAAACATTAAACTCTGAATCATTAATTGCTGCACTATGTGACATCCTTGCAGCGTTGGATTCAGTCATTTCTCTTGAACAGTATTACAAGCTGAACTTATCAAACTCAGAATCATCAAAGGTTCCATTAACCATCCTTCTGAATCTTATAACGTCTTCGTTATACTGGCCAGAATCATAAACAGCGCTGTGACCATATTTCACCCCATTTGATAGATCGTTTAGTTCATCACCGATGTCTAAGGCTCTTACCACCTGATGAAAACCAATGGACAAATCATCAAATTATTTGAACAAGTTAAGATAGAGATGTTCCAAATGCAAATAATGGTGTGAAAATTATTTAAAAAAAAAACAATCAAAGAAGCTTAATAGTTAGATGGAGGTTTTGATGAACACAATGATTAATAACATTCTAGTATTGTTGTCACCTGAACCATACGAGGTCGTTTTAGAGCAGAATGGCGAACACATGCTGCAGCCGCCTCAATCATTTTGAACATTTCATTGTCAATGTATTGTTGTTCAAGCCTAGGGTCTACTAGTTCACTAAAGTCTCTTGTCTCAACTGCACGGAGGAGATGTGGACGAGCCTGTGGAGAGAGAAAAACATCATTTGAAGTTAACATTTTGTAAAGCAATTGGTAGGAAAAGTTTACAAAAACAAGCATTTGATCATGTTTAAATATTTGATTTAACCAAATTCAAATCAAATGTATTTCACATTTAATGTTAGGTTTTCGCAAGGAGATAACATTAGACCGGTATTTACAAGACACAAATAATTATATAAGAGAATATGACACTATCTTTAACCCAAAATCTTAAAATATTAGGCTTGTGGGTATTTCTCACTTATATGTTATTCAATTTCACTATTTCTTAAACAAACTTTTAACCATGAGTACCTTAGTAGTGGTGACCCTTCCTAGGGGATACATCACCGACACCATTTTGTACTCAACTAAGCCAATTGAGCTGGTCACCATCAAACCAGGCTCTAATATACCATTGTTGTGGTTTTTCCAAAGGGGACAATATTAAGTTAGTATTTACATAGTACAACCAATTCAAAATCTTAAAGCAATAAGTTTGTGGGTTTTTCTCACTTATCGGTTACTCAATTTCACTATTTTTACACATCAACTTACACTTGAATTCCAGTGGTTAAGAATAATGTTCAGACATACCCACTCAACCAAACTCTCCTCTCCAAAGGGCTGCATTGGATCAACAGGTTTCCTTCCAGTTACAAGCTCAAGGAGAACAACTCCAAAAGAGAAAACATCTGATCTATCCGTTAATTTTCCACTTGTAGCATACTCCGGAGCCATGTACCTGCAAATTGAAGCTACAATGAGTTAGACAGTGGGGCAGTATAGCATTTGGCATTATTGAAGGTTTTCTCTGATGTGGTTTCCATTATATACTCAAACCTCTAAAGGTGGCTTCAGAACCTAAAAACGCCACTTCAACCCATTAAAGAGTATATAATATATATGTCTACTTGGCCTCCAAAATAATAGTGATAAACAACAATAATTGAACAAAGAAATATTTCAATTTTCAGCTGAGAATAATTCTTAGTATCGTCAGAATATTATGTTATAAGAACCACCATTTTTATATTATTATTAGATAAACATTGTTTTCCTTTCTTTTTTCAACCAAAGAGGTGCTTGTATCCACTTTGATAGCGAGTGACAACCTTCATGAAAGTCCATATATTAGAATGTACTCCATGTTTTAGACAGAGAAAACCTACCCAAAGGTCCCCATCACCCTAGTTGATACATGAGTATTACCATCGTCGTTTAGCCTTGCAAGCCCGAAGTCCGCAACCTGTGTTAAAACAAGGACTTCAAATTTAAATCAATAAGCAAAATATAAATAAGTGAAAAAAGTATATGCATACCTGTGCCTCGTAAGCATTATCCAAAAGTATGTTTGCCGATTTAATATCTCTGTGAATAATCCTTGGATTACCTAGAAAAAATAAAATACTTTTAGTTTTTCAAAACTATACAAGATTACCATTGAGAAAGTAATTGGAAGATAGAATGGGAAAAAACAGCAAAAGATTAGTTATCACTTAGTGTTACTTGTGTTTGAAGAAACGTTCACAAAATCTAGCACAGTCAATATCCCTCTTCTCTTTAGACGAATGAACCTTAAAAGAGATGAAACTCATTTTAAGATCTAAAACCAAATCATATTTTAAGATCTCCTAGACGAAACTTTTCTCTGCTGTAGAAAACTTTTCTCCATTCTTTTGATACCTTTTTAAGTAAATTTTGTCAAACACAATACACATTGAAGGTAACAATGTAAAAATTCATAAATTGTCAGTCCCAGAGTTTAGATAAAAGGAGTTTCTTGGGCCAAAAGAGAAGTTTGACTGAGCTGACAAGGATAATAGGCATATCCAATTTAGTATGCCATTTGCACCACCTTTTGGACACCATGCACATAAGAATCTAAGATGAGTTGGACCCACTTAAAACTGTTCTAGGCCACATTTTTCTGTATCTTATGTGCAAACGTCATTTCCCTATCAATTCAATTATTCTAGTAATAGCACCATCTTCTAGTGAAATGCCTCCTATCAATTGCTTTAATGCATTGTATGTGAGAAAAGATAATCTCATAGCACAAATGCAAGATAAAACTCACATCCATCATGAAGATATGACAGGCCCCTTGCAGCACCAATTGCTATCCTCTTCCTCTTGGACCAATCCAAATTTGGCAATTCACTTCCTGTGAGGAGCAGGGCAGGCACAAACAAGCAATAATAAGCAGGTGAGAATGACTTCATACACATAGTAAACACAACAAACTCATTTCTTAAACATAACAGAAACTCACGTTACCATGCAAGTGCTGATTGAGATTCCCATTAGGAACGAACTCATAGATAAGCAATCTTTGTTGCTCTGCTATGCAATAACCAATAAGTGAAACCAAATGTCGATGATGGATTCTGCTGATAATATCAACCTCAGCCCTGAACTCCCTTTCTCCCTGCCCACTACCAGCCTTCAACATCTTAATCGCCCCCATTCTGCCATCAGGCATGGAAGCCTTGTAAACATACCCAAATCCCCCCTCCCCTATTATGTTTTCGCTGGAAAACCCGTTAGTGATCTCCGCAACCTTTTCGTAGGTAAAAACTAACTTACCAGTGTTCATGGGCTGAGTCGGATCTGGACTAGATCTAAAATTTATGTCACCTTGTTGTACACCATTCCCAAAACCAGGCTCCTCTACATAGTAATGCACATCTGCACTTGATGAAAGCCACACCAAAATCATTAGACTTAGAACAAAAGGGTATGTTTGGACAATTTCTCCATAAGGACTTGGTTAAAATTAACTTTTGGACAAGCTTAAAAATAAAAATTTAGAAAAATTATATGAGAAAATTTTTACAAATTAGTTGATACAAGGTTAATAAGCCAATTTTAATGTTTGGAAAAGTTCATTTCATTTTTTTTTTTTTGTTATTATACTAGTGTAACATCACAACAATGCTAAAAAATCGCAGTGCCTGTAATCGCATCTTCATGATAATATTAAAAGAACAACCCAGAGAGTTTAAATTCCATTCGATTCAAAATCAGACATCACTAAATTAAACAATATGATAATTTGTGATTTGAAGAAGCTAAAAAACATATCACTTTTGAAGTTGTAAATGTAAAAACAAAATTTTCTTATTATTAGTTCGATCTTCATCTTTTTAAATTTTGGTTGTGCAGAAGAGAATTGGTTATAACACCAATAGCAATGAAGATGATCAAAGAAAATATATGTTTTACCTCCTGCTGCTACAACTCCTTTCATTTGAGATTTCCCAGGGGGTGGCAAGCCATAGTTGTTCACTCGGCTATCCCTCCTCCTGAATATAAAGAAAATAACTAGACCAAGAAATGCAATGATGAAAACCCCGGCGAGAGTAAGACCAACAATTTCTCCTGTATTATTACCGGAGGAAGTTGGTGACGCCGTCCGAGTCTTGCTCTTCGGGAGAGTATCTCTTGGTTTTGGTTGGAAGATCGGGGGTAATTCTGGTAGTGATCCCGGTGATAATCCTGGTAGTGATCCCGGTGGTAATACTGGTGATGATCGCAGTGGAAAAGGGTATTTTGGCGTTGAAGCTGTCGGCGGCGCCGGCGGAGTAATATAAAAAACTGGTTGCGGCACCGGTGAAGGTGGAGTTGCAGTTTCAGTTGGAGGCGGAGGCGGAGGCGGAAGCGGAGGCGGAGGCGGAGGCGGAAGCGGAGGCGGAGGGGACTGAGGAAGAGGGGCGTTAGTTATTGGTGGAGGTAAATTTGGTGGAGGTGGCGACGTTGGTGGCCGTTGTGAAAGCGGCGGTGATGGTAGCGGTTGTGAAGGTGGCGGTGATGGTAGCGGTTGTAAAAGCGGCGGCGCCGACGGAGAAGGTTTTGGAGCTGAACTCTGTGATGGTGGGGGAGTTGACGGAGGAGGCGGAGACGGTGGAGATTTTGTTGGCGGGGGAGAAGATTGATCTGGCGGTGGTGGCGACGGAGAAGGGAGAGGTGGTGGAGAAGTAGAAAGAGTTGGCGGTAGAGAATTCGAAGGAGTTGGTGGTAGAGAAGTAGGAGTTGGTGGTAGAGAAGTAGAAGGAGTTGGTGGTAGAGAAGTGGAAGGAGTTGGTGGTGGTGGAGAAGTGGAAGGAGTTGGTGGTGGAGAAGTAGAAGGAGTTGGTGGTGGTGGAGTAGTAGAAGGCGTTGGTGGTGGTGGAGAAGTAAAATGAGTTGGTGGCGGAGAATAAGACGGAGTAGGTGGGGGAGATTTCGCCTTCTTCGTCTTCTTCGCCTTCTTCGCTGTCGCAGGCGGAGGAAATTCTTCCGGCTCCGGCGGAGGAGATTCTTTCGGCTCCGGCGGAGGTGTTGTCCGTGGAGGAGAAGAATTTTCTGGGGGCCGTGGTAACGTTGACGGTGATGGTGGTGAAGTTAACGGCGACGACGATGAAGGCGGCGATGGTGGGGACGTCGAGGGCAGCGGAGACTCTGCGTCACCCGATGACGGCTGCGACGACGGTGACGGAGCTGAATCCTTAACGAAATCCGATATAGACGATCGATTTGACAAGGAATGGTTAGCCATTTCTGATTCTCTATAAAATCTGAATTTGATTCTCAGAAATGGCAAGAAAATTCAGAAAGCAAAAGGAGGGAATGCCAATGTTGACCAATGAGATTATAACTTGAAACAGTTTCTCAGATTCTCAAAGCAAAGCTTGCATTTTGAGGATAAAAGCAGAAAGAGCAGCAAAAACAACAACATGGGGTTCCTGTTGTTTGGAAAATGAAATTGAATCCAATCGAATCGAATCGGGGTGATGAAGTTTTCTTGGCCAGCGAATGATTGAAATTGGGAAACTAAATTTGCAGCACGTTGCGACGACGCGTTCACAGAGAGTGCTGTGTCGTGTGCGTCTGAAATGGGAGAGGAAAAAAACATGAATTCTGAGAATCGGTGGCCACTGCAAAAGGCAAATGCAAATCAATCATGAGTCATGAACATGCATTCTGTGTTAGCATTAATTTAGGTAGTTAGTTTCATTTCAGGTTTGCATAGATTCATGTTGGTGTTTGCGTTGTGATGCTTGTCTCCTTGAAGTTCGGGTTACCGCGCAACATAACCCGTTGGGGCTACCTAACGAGTTCCAACTTCCAAGTCCGAATCTAACTAACTAACAACCAGAGTTTGGGCGCCACAGTATCTTTGTGGGTCCCTGCTGTTTCACCTGACTCTGTTGTCGGACCTAAACAACTCCCATTTCAATATGGGCTCCTCCTCCTTGTTGGATTGGGCTTTAAGTTACGGTCGGTTACCCATTTAACATAAATTTTTAAAGACTGTTATTCCAGCACCCCATAATTTATTCCTGCACCTTCATATCCTATATCAAATATTTAAACTACTTTTTCTATGATTATGTTTTTTACTCTAACAATTTTGTTTTTTACTCTAATTTTTTCTTCTTTTATTTATGTATAACTTCTTCACCTCCATTGAAGATCTTTTTTAACAATTAAAAGTAAATAATCGTTAATATTACGTATAAATTGTATATTTTGTATTTAAATTACACAAAGAGACTCAAATTGTTTAATATGAAACAATATCATGAAAATAAGATTAAATTCCAAAAATGCATCATAGATTGACAGTTCCAAATTGTGTTTCTAGAAATATCGATTTAAAAATGTATTTTGGTCGGATTGAGTGTTTCAGAATGTATTTTTGAAAAAAAAAATTTAATAATGTATTCTAGATTAGGTGTTCTAGTTTTTGAAAAGGTAAATATGGAAAACATTATGAAAATTAAGAAAAGTGTAAGGATAAAATAAGATTTAATATAATTACATGGGGTAGAGGAAGAAATTATGAAAATGTAAGAAGGAACAACCAATTTTAAAATAGATTAGTTTATGTTATTAACCTATGAGTTGGCTTGTAAATATAATAGTAAGTTAATAAGTCTTAAATTTATCCATATATTTAATTTCTCTCATTTTTGGGTCCTAAACTTTTTTTATAATTTTTAAATTCATACATCTTTTACATTTACTATCTTTATTTTAATGTGTTCCTAAATAATGTGATTTTGAAAGAGAAAAAATTATTAATTGTAATCATTTTTAAATATAAATTTAATACTAATTTATTACAATAAACTAGATTAACTATTTTTTTAATAACAATGAATTAGATAATTAAGGTTTATAAATGATATTAGAGGAATTATAAAAATTACTTATTTGATTATCTGTCTTAAAAGAATATTTTAAAGAGAGATAAAATATGTTCTCATATCAATTAAAAAAAATGATAATATCACAATATACTGGTGATAAAAATGATGCGTATATATATATATATATATATATATATATATATATATATATATATATATATATATATATATATATATATATATATATGAAAGTGTTCAAATACATTATTAATTTTGTTAAATTATTATTAAGTATTTGACAAAATTTTATTTTACCTTCCTAATCTTATAAATTTAAATTCCTTGATATTTTTTTATAAATTGATATATTAAATTTTATGATTTTAATATTTATGTATTTATCTTCTTATACATTATATTAATTAATATAATAATTCCTTTATATTTTTTTATAAATAGATATATTAAATTTTATGATTTTAATATTTATGTCTTTATCTTCTTATACATTATATTAATTATTATTAATTACATTATATTAATTATTATTAATTTATATTATTTAAAAAGTAAATTGTTTTCACTAGTATGTTAGAATACTAACCTTACTAAATTGACCCTAGAAAATTGAATTAAATATTTTTCCATTTTCAAAAAGTCCTCTATTTGAAACTAACCATTTGTTGAAAAAATGAGTGTTATTAATGCATAACCAAATAAATTATAGGTGTATAGCTGAGAATCAATAAAATTAATTTTGAATAAAATATAATTGGTAAATTGATTTTAGTTGTAACTGATTTTCAAATTATGTAATTGATGTATTTGGAGTTTGTATTCTATGAATAGGTTAATAGTAAAATGTAGTATAATTTATTAATAGTTCAACACAAAAGGTAACCTTTTGTTGCTAAACCACTTTTTGAACCTCAGCATTAACTACTAGTTGTCCTCTATAAACACGCATTGTTTGGAAGGATTGATTTGCGGTGGAAGGAAGGAAAGGATGAAAATTTTCATTTCTTTCTGTACTATGTCTAACTGGTAAAAGGAAAGGTTACAAATACTATTTGATTCGCTATTTTTTTATTCCTTCACTTTTGAAAAGAGGAACAAGGAAATGTGCATGTATATAATAAATAAAATATACTTTATTTTTTTCTTATTATAAGTATATTTATGATATTTTGTATACATATTTTTATTTTATATAAAAAATAGTATTTATGTTCTATGTGGAGAGACCGATATAGGTATAAATACAACAAATTATAATATTAATAAATTTTGTTTTAAAATATAATACCTAAAACAGATATCAACATCGTATTCAAAATTTATCGTAGAATATAATATATATGTCCCATAAATGGTCATACATATTTAAAGATAATATACTGTATCAAGAATATATAAACTTTTCAAACGATCCAGTGGTATAAATTTATTCTGATCTATCTTTGTTTAGACTTGATCAAAACTTTTACCTATAAATAAGATTTATCAGATCTAATATTTATATTATAATCCTATTTTTTATTTAAATACGTTAAAACTATTTTTCATGTCATTTGTTTGGTAAAAACATTAATAATTTTTTAAAATTTATATTATTAATATATTTTTTATTTTTTTATTTAATCTAATTTTCATATCACTCATGATTAAGTGTCACATGTATTATATAAAATAATAGCATAAAATAATTTTATAGTATGGTTAAATAATAGTATTAAGTGTCATGTATTAAAAAATAATATAAATAAATTTATATAAAATATATATTTTTAAATAAATGTGTAAATATATATATATATATATATATATATATATATATATATATATATATATATATATATATATATATATATTAAACCTTTTCCCCAACTTTTATTTAAAAAATTGGACTAGAGCTACGGTTTTGATCGAAAAAGTAATAAATCAGTTTAGTGTTTGATTAGTCTTTAGCCAAATCATAAACAAATTTGATAAGGAAAAAACAAAGAAAACAAAAAACTTATTCAGGATGGGAATGAAAAATATATTTTTTGTAGAAAAATTATCTTTAATAAAAGCTCTTAATTCAATATTATTTATATTCTTTTTATATTATTATTAGTAGTAGTAGTAAAAATACTAAAATGTATTGGTATTTTTATATCATTATTTTTTTTAATATATTTTTTTAGTTTGATTTGATTCTCTCTCTCTCTCTCTCTATATATATATATATATACTACACACTCTTTTCTTATTTTTCATACATACCGAATTTTTTTCTTTCTCTTTTTATATAATTGATAAAATAGAATATTATATTATAATATACGATTATATAATTTATTAAAAAATTAAATGTATATTATAATATAAGAAGACAATCTTTTATACATAATATAAATTATTATTAAAATTTTATTAATTATGAATCAAAATATATCCATATCTCATTTAATGAGTTCATTGGTGGTTGATCGCTTTGAACCGTTTTTATTTAAGTAATGAAGAAGTATATTTTAAGATCTCAATCACTTAATTACCTAGTTGGTGAGCTTAAAAAATAATTAAATTAATTAAAAAAAGTAAAACATATATTTTAATGAATGAATTTATATAATCTGTCAATTTATAATTACTTAAATATGACGGTGAACTTTTCTATAAAATGGTTAGTTTGAATTAAACTCATGTTTTAGTTTAAAAAAAATAAATAAGTGAATTTGATAGTTTAAAAAATTGTTAACGAAGATGATTGACTCTGGATTAAAAAAATACATTTGATTTGATTACTTTAAACTATTACAATCTATTAGTATTAATAGTAATAAAGTCAAATATGTTTTGATGACCGTATTAGTAGAAACTGAAAATGTGATGAAATTTTCGTATGACTAAATGAAATATAAATTTATTGAACACGTTTAAATCTAGAAGTAAAGCTTATCCATCTCTCGTAAATTTGAAAGTCAATGTGAACCTAAGGTTACTAAATATGGAAACATGCGAGTCAAAGTTGGGTTAAGACAATTCACGATTAAACAATACGCGTAACCACCATTTTTCTATTTGCTTCAAGCTCAAGAACTTGATTAATCAACGCGTCACCTCGTGATTGACTTCCAGAAACCCATTAGAAAAAAGTTGAATGGGTCACTTGTTCATATTATATTCGCTTTAGCTCACTATCACAAAACATTCATATACTCCTACACGATATTTTCTGTGCATAGTTTTCGTAGAAGATGCATATTCTTGTAATGCACAAATTAATCCTTGCACCATGTCTTCCAATAAACTATTATTAATTTCTCATGCTGTACAATGTCATATAAAAAAATAAAGAATCTTAATTATAATCTCATTTGCATGATTTTCTTCTTACACTTCTTTATAAATATATTAAATTTCAAAATAATAGTATTTTAAAGCCATCATATACTATACACTTATTAATAAATAATTTTGTGTCATAAAAATGAAGAGGAAAACAATCAGGAAGAGTAGCTAAGTGACCACTGAGACGAGGCACTGCAGTTCCATTAATTATGATTACATAACTCGTGACCTCTGCACCATCAATAATATTCATGCACAAATTTAAATATTCAAAGCTTTCAAATTGAGACTTCAACTCTTGTTATTAGAGAGATTCCCTTCTGGAAGGAGTCAGGAAGCCCAGGTTCACCAACACACGTGCGACGTGTGATGATACTTCAAAACACACGCAAAAGGCCAAAATAATATAAAGTTGAAATTCGAAAGACCAAATAAAAATCCAACACGCCTTGCCTATATATAAACCCAACCATTCATATTCGTACCCTTCAATTAAACATCTTCATCTCCAAAAACCTTCTCTGCAACCGTCACTAAAATGCAAGCCGATCCGCCTTCATCTTCGCCGTTGAAGGATTCTATCCACGACTTCGCAGAGTCTTCTGGAAAGTTCGAACACGATTTCATTGCCAAACTCAAAATCGATGAACACAAACAAGAAGAGGAGCATAACCAAATTGAGGTAGAAGAAGAAAACGAAGACGGAGAAGAAGAGGAGGAGGAATTTAGCTTCATGCTTGTGAATTCCGACGGATCTCCGATCTCTGCTGACGACGCCTTTCACAACGGCCGGATTCGTCCGCTGTTTCCGATTTTCGACCAGGATCTTCTCTTCTCTGACGATTATGATGGCGGCGTCAGTCCGCCGATGAAGCTATTCGTCGAAGATCCAGAGGTGTCGTCTTCGACGACGGAGAAACTTGCAGCGGCTCCACCGCCTCCACTGGAGGGATCGTACTGCGAGTGGAATCCGAAGTCGGCCGTGAAGAGCAACTCGACTGGATTCTCAAAGCTGTGGAGGTTCCGTGACGTGAAGCTGCGAAGCAACAGCGACGGGAAAGACACGTTGGTTTTCTTGAACCAAGCGCCAGCGGCGGAACCGGTAGGGAAGGCAAGAAACGTGGTGGTGAAGAAAGTGGAGGGAAAGCAGGGGAAAAAAACCGCGTCGTCTGCGCATGAGAAACATTACGTGATGAACAGAGCGAGGAAAGAGAATGATAAACGAAAGTCGTATTTGCCATACAGGCCAGATCTGTTTGGGTTTTTCGCCAGTTCTCATGGGTTGAGCAGAAACATTCATCCTTATTGAGAATCATTTTTCACTCATCCAGTCAATATTTTTATTGATTTGTATGTACATAATTGTTTGAAATTCTCCAACCTAACTAGGAAATTAATTATCTCTTACTAGTATAATTAAATTCAACTAGAATTTAATGTTCTACAGTTCAAATATTTGGATGTTCTATTTTTTTTATGAGAGATAACAGGAGAATTGCATTAAGCTGTTATTATAATAAAATTAGTATTTAGTGCTGATTATTTTTTTAATGGTTAGAAGAATATGGTTTAAATTAAACATATTGTTATTATTATCCTTATATTTATCTTTTAAAAAGTTTAATTTATTTTTTTATATTTTAAAATGATCTAAAATGGTTATTTTATTGGTTTAAAATAATTTTTGTTAATTATATTTCTTCTTCATTTTTTAACTTTAGATTTTTAACATAAAATTTACAACCAAATTTGCTAGAAAAAAATAAAACAAAATCAACGTAAAAGATGCATAACTATCGACGTGTTTCTACTTCATACCGATTTTAACTGCTTCAACACATTTAACATATATACAAACATATTTACGTGTCTTTAAACTACTTAAACACCTATAAAAGAAATAAAAATTCATTTACATAATTTTAATTTGATTAGAGATAATCAGTTATGTAGATAAATATTTAATTACATAATCTAATCTAGTGTAAGAATAAATAAATAAATACATATTTTTTAAAAGATATAAAATTAGTTTGATAGTAAAGTTGGATGGAAATGTGAGATAAATAATAAGTTTGAATCTCTCTTATTAAAAATTAATATATTGATAATTAACATTTATTTATAAAGTAGAAAGACATAATTAATTAATTTTGTTTAATGATATAAGTGATAATGTCTAATTTTATATTAATATATTTTTTCATAATAATAATTAAAAGAATAATTAAATAATAAATAAATATATTAATAATAAAATTATACAATTCTCTATTTATTTTTATTATTATTTTAATCAAAATAAGGACTTCCACATTTTAATTTAGGGTATTAATTATAATGAGAGGATAAAATGTGTTTCAAAATTATTTTCTAGGTTTATATCAAAAGGAAGTTAAGTGTTTAATTAGTTGTCAATATTCTCATTTTGTTTTTTTAATTGAATATCATGTAATTTTAAAGTGATAGAAAGATCAATTTATTGAATCATTTGAAAAAAATGAAAGTTTTAAAATATAAAGAATCAAACTAAATGAAATTTAAATAAGAATTTTGTATAATTTAAACAATTATTTATAACCGTACATATATAATTCATTCGAGGATATTTGTCTGAACCACTTAAGACTGAGAGAAAGTTAATACGAAATATCTGTCCAAAGCGTCGGTGGATCCACCCTCTGCATGCCGCATAAATGTAAACCGAAGCAGCAGTGACAGTCTGAACGAGAAAAACAGAAAGTTTGACTTTCGGGTTATTTATTGCATCGAAATCTTTTCAATTTTAATTAAATAGTTTGATACATTATCATGTCATTTTTAATTATAATTCACAGATACGATGTACAAGTCTAAATTAGTTAATAATAATAATAATGTGTATGATCTAAACATATCTGGACATAGATAATATTTGTTTTAACTCAATAAAAACTATTTTAATTTAAATTAACTTTAGATGACAATTTTAAAAAAATAAATAAAGACACCTTTTTTTAAGTATATAAATTTAATTGATATTGAACGCGTTTAGAGACACACAAAACAAGACCTTAAAAAAATAAAAAAAGCAGACAAAGCAACGTATTGTGTGGTTCAGAGTCTGCCTTATTTCTTCACCGTTCATTTCTTGTATAGGAAGATGTAAAATGACAGAAAATCTCAGAAGTTTGAAAGTTTCAAATAAATGTCCTCGGTGAAGAGAAATTATTATACAAACATCTTGTTTTAGTAGGTATTAAAAATAAAAAATATTCATCAACCCCTCAAAGTTAAAAAAAAAAAAATCCCAAAAAAATTATTAACCCCATGAACTTGTTAATCAGTTTGATAAAGAAGATGATTAAGATTTTATGTTATTTTATGAAAGTGTATTAAGTACTTTAGTTGATTTATATATAGTATTACCATCCTAGAAGTTATAATATGAACTTGTGGACATGAATGTTTTGAGCATGTCTTTTCTTGTGTCTATTTTTGAAGTATAATAATCACCCCGACATAACAACCTCTTTACCTCCAAACTACTCTAGACAAAAAAAAACATATGCAGGTAACAATCAATTAATTTGTTTTATTATTGTTTAAGCGTCGCAAATGATTTTAGCCGTGTTAAGTTCAAAGCTTTAAATTATATATTGTCTGTATTTTTAAACGAGTTTTCTAACTTGTACATGAGGATATTCATTAAGAAATTAAAAGTAAAAAGCTGTTATTAAAGACACAGAAAAGAGAAAAAAAAAAAACCACGGCGAAGGGATGATGGTTACAAGGTGAACAAAATATGGAAGATAGGAAAAAATGTGTATATTTTTAATGAAATGGTGGAAAAATTGCACAAAAATGATCATACATAATAAAAAAAAAATATATATATATATATATATATATATATATAAAATCTATTATAGATACTTTTTATGTTTATTATAATCATATTAGATAATGAAAAAATAATATTAAAGATAATAAACAATAATAAATAAATTATTAATAATAAATACAATTATATTCATTTTTTACTCATTTTTTTTTTTATCTTTACCAAATCAAACATTAATTAATGTAATATTTATAAATAAAAATATTAAAAAATATATTCTTAAAGATGTTCACCCAAATTTTCATTTATGTATGACTTGAAATCTATATGCATGGTTTGATTTAGTGTCAAATACAATAAAGAAAAAAAAATTAATTTTATATTGAGTAAGAATATTATTTAATTTTTTTATTTCGTAAATGGTTCATATTTTACAATTTTATTTACTAAAAACATAAGAAAATATTAAATAAGATTGAATCAATTAAATTTGTGTACATTTAATTTTTTTAATTATATTTAAATCTAGAAGGATTACTATTTATTATGATTTTTATTTTTTTAAAACAAAGAGTGATGTAGCAAGAAGAACGGAGAATTTGATTTTGAAGAGACATGAATAAAGGAGAATGGGTGTTTGGTGCCAGTGAAGAATGCATGCAAAATCAGATGTAATAAATGCTACAGTTTTGTATTCTATTTGACCAGACTTATACTTTCCCGTTGAAGAATATAGAAACCAGTATTTTTCAAAATTTGTATTAACTGTAACCATGGTTATATAAGGTCTAATTGATTCGTTGAATGTGATACATGTACAACAATTAATGCGTATCAGCATTGTTCTTGTTATTTCATTACACTTGTATCTGTCATGTTATACAGTGAGCTGTCATCAATGTTATTTTTAGCGTAAATCAAAGATTTCAAACCTTAGATTAGTGTTTCTATACACATTCGAGCAGTGCTCATACACAGGGTTGCCATTATCTGGTTCTTTGTGTGGATGAAATCCTGTCTCCTGACAATTTTTCAGAATATTCATTCCTTCAGGTTCAGTCAGGCGAAATAATCCGCAGCTCCTGGACAAACTCAATTTGAGTTAGTTTATAGCATTTCTGGTACTTGAAAATATGCTTATATTGTGGTTTAAGAGAAACCAGCACAGTACTATACAGTAGGTTTATAATCCAAATCATATTGCAAGGAACATATATTCTGATTTTGTTCAAAGTATCTTACATTCATTCAGCTCCTTATTATCACAAATATGAAAGAAAGTTGAATGCAATTATAAATGTAAAGAATTACTTAAAAAAAAAAAATTAAAATAAGATAGAGTAGATATGCAAATTTTTTAGGTGAAAGACAACAGTTAATATATATATATATATATATATATATATATATATATATATATATATATATATATATATATATATAAGTACAAATTAACTACAAGAATTAGAGAGAATTTGAATGTATTGTAGAACAGAAAATAGTAGGTAGACCTTAAGTTATCAGTTGGTGCCAAGACAATGGCAAATGCCTCAGGAATCATCATCTGATAAAATAACACTCAACTGTGAGTCCAAACTTAGTCTAAAAAAGGAAAACAGAAGGGAACTATACTTAAATATCCATTCGATTTTTAATATCATCTACAAAACATTTTAAGTGCTTTTGAAAAAGGAAATTCTGTATAGTTGTACTTTCTTAATACACATACAATTCAACATTAGCAGAAATAATTATGTATGCATATATAACCATCCATATACAGACTAAAGTACTGTCATCTTAACACTAACCAAAATGACCCTAATTAATGGTTGTCACACAGAAAGGATGTGCTATAAAATCTAGTTGAAGAAACAAACTATTCAACGTAACCATGGTGCAAATAAAAATTATGCAACATGTATTCTTAAAGGAGATCATACTTTAAATGGCCATACAAGGGTATAATAGTTGAACAAAAAATGTTTATGCAAGAAAATTGCAGATCCACATATCCTAAGCAATAACACAAATACTTGTATCAGTCACCTGGTAGGAATATTGAGTGTGCAGATCCACAGATGACATGAAACAACTTTGAGAAGGATGTGTCTGAAAAAGATTAGAAGAGAATGGTTAGAGAAGCCAAACCAGAAGAATGTTTTCTTCTAAAAGGATTTATGATTTGAAAATAGTTTGGGTTCTAGTGATGGTATATCTTGATCAAAGTGAATAATCTCAAAGAAGGGAAAAATAATTCTTAGATCAATAAAAACTCCTAGTAAGCGTATGCTTAAACAATAATTTTGGGCAAAGTAGCTACCCTAAATTAGTAATTGCCAAGTGGTACCTTTGCAACCCCTATTAAGTTCACTTGAGAACAACCCAACCAACACTGAGTCTAATTACCCATTTCAATCCTTGCCTATGGACGAAAAATTCCGCTAGAGAGGACGGAATTTGATGAAAAATTCCTCTCTAACAACGGAGTGTGATGAAAAATCTCCCTCAGACGGTTTGATGAAAAAATCCCGTTAAGATAAGGAGGTGCAATAAAATCTCATATCAACTACAGATACTATAATATTGTAACAGTACAATCCTCATCTTTTTAAGTCATTTTTATAAGGTTAAATTAGGTATCTTATATTTGTTAATATAGTATCAGAGCTATTCGAACTATGTTGGAAAATGAAAAATCCCTCTAAAAGAATACCTATTTCTTATGCTTATGTAAAGGAAAATTTGCCTTCCTTCTAAGAAACGTGGTTTCAGACCACCCTCAACACTGAAATGTAGTCACATAGGTGTATCTCAACTAAAGATACTGCTCATTTTTGGGTTTCATCCCCAATAGGATGATGTTTTCTTCAAAACCTAATTAACCAAATATAAACCAACCAATAGTCTGATATATTTCCCCACAAACCTGTGATCCAATCAGGACAAATTTGATTTGTAAAAATTCCCTGAGCTCAATCCAAACCAACCAGCAAAAACCTCTACTCTTAATTAGAATCAGTAAAAAGATAGAAAGACATACATGGATCCATCCCACAGGATAAAGTGATCTTTCATTTAGGATTTTGAACACTTCCTCCTCATTCGTAGCTTGACACTGATTCAGTTATCAAGTTAGCAACAATTAGTAATGAAATCATGCCCTATTGAAAATATGTACTAAAATATTTTAAAGCTGTAGGTTAGAAGAATGTAAGACTGCATTCCAGGTACTAACAGAATTGGAAGCGGATTCCTGCTTTGGTATGATCAGAGTAGTCATGTAGAGGGTTCCCTTCTCCTGGAAAATTGAATGATATGATCATGTATCAATTTCAAATTTCTGTATTTGATCAAATCAGGCTCTTCATTTCTTTTCCATAAAAAAAATCTTGACAGATCTAAATCTATTAAATATCATTAACATAAAATTTAAACCATTCGTACAAAATATGATGTACTAACTAATTTTACCAGCTTCAAAAACAAAAGCAGAAAGAACCATGACAAGAGTGCGTACATATATGAGTAAGATGAGGGGGAGAGAGATTTCCGGTTATAACATAGATTAATTAAATGAGGGGAGCAATCTTGCTTATTCAAAATCTATACAAAGACCCAAAATAAGGAGTAATTTTGCTGAAGGTATGACACACTGCTCTTTGTGGAAAATTTCTGATAATAACATAATGTGATAGAGCTAGATAATCTGATGTATGGTCAATAATAAATTGAAAAAAAAGTGATTCTAGTGATTATAGTTAGCGATTTTAAATAAAAGCAGAAGGCTAATTTATGTTTGTTTACAATATTTTTCTTTTAAAAGAAGCAGCGAATTTTATGAGAAGTTTAAGTTATTAAAAATATTTTATGATTTTAATCAGATTTTATATTCTTTTAGCTTCCCATATTTGAAAAGCTGAAACCCACATCTGCAAAATGAATAAATAAGTGCTTCTTTTACAAGAAAAGTAGTAACAAACAGGCCCAATATCTCTGTACTCATAAAGCCTTTATGATGACAAGCCAAAGAGAAAAGACAGGAAAGACAATAAGTTATGGTTTTACAATGATTCTTACAAGATAGGCACCAAGTATACCACAAGTTTCCATATCCTTTTCTGTATTTTCTTTAGCAAGATCTAGAAAGTCCTCCATTAACCGCATTGACTGGAAAACATGAAATGAATACTTATTAAACATAAATAGTCTGCAATACTCATGGGTCTCTATGATGTTAACTATACAAACTTGAAAAAAGACAGTTATGATGTTCGTGTGAGATAGGTAAAAAACATGCATGAGTGGTTCTTAGTTCTTACAATGTGAACATCCCTTATGCTCTTAGACGAGGTTGACTCATTATCTGATTTTGAGGACCCATCACCTGAATTAAAAGCTGTAACGTGAGAACTTTGTGCATCTTGAGGCATTGTCTCCACAAAAGACAAGGCAGGGGAAGGCCAGGACTGAGTTACTTTATGAAGCATGATGAATCTGTTGGCTGTCTTAACAGCAGCTGGTTTACAAACCAATGAGCACCGACTCAAATTTCCTAATTGAAATGATGAAGTCCCTGACGGATCCTCATCAACAACACTCATTCTGCACTCAATCCGTATAAAACAAATTAGTATTGTATGTTAAAATATTATATTCTATGTTTCTAACTACATCTACAATCTGTGCAGGCTTCAGGAAGTTCTAGGAGACTTGGAAAAATCATTCCTTCTGTCACCCAAAAAAGATGAAGTACAAAATAGAAGATGTTGAATATTATATTTATACCTTTGAAAACTGCTTTCTGCCGCGTCACAGTTTCTAATCTGCCACAGAAAGTCCTATAAATGATTAAGATCACCAAATGTAATTAAAAAGGAAAAAGGGGGTTGGAGGATGTGCAGCTTTACCTTCTTATTACCTGCTTCATGTTCTTTATTAGACCGTTTGTACATCTGAGAGATCAATAGTTGAACAATCAAATTATGTATTTCAAAGATTCAAAACACCTAAAAAAGAGAGAATCATATATACTGATGATACCTTATCTTCTTTTTGTTACTTCAAACCCATGTATTTTTACAGATAATTCTCCTTTCTCAGTCCAAGGGTAATAATCCCTTTATGAGCAGCAGAATTTAAACCTAGGCACTAAAACTTTGCTAATTATGAGATCCAGCTTAAACCACCTTTTAACAAATAAAATAAACCTATGCAACACAATCAGAAAGAGTGATCGGGAAAACGGTTGTTCTGCACATTTTCAAGTATAAATGAATTGTGGAAACCCTCTATTTGCAAAGTTATTCAGTTTGCCAACCTCTCAAATGGTAAAGTTGATCAATATCCATATTTTTTTTCACATAGATTCCCCCTTTTTCTTGTTTTGGCTAAAAAATCTTGCTCTGACACTCTCATATATTAGATGAAATAAAGGGAAGGGATCCATATATGTTACCTTGCTACAGTGAAGTTTTCTTTAATCAACTAAGATGAATGATTCAGTTGCTTTGATGAGATGCACGTGCACCATTGAGAGAATCTGTCACTGAATCACCCAATAAAAAGATCAACTACTAATCCTTCTTAGACAAGCAAATATATATTAAAAAGTTACAATTTTCAGAAACTGACGTAATCTCAATCCTTGAACTTGTATTATTGAATAAATCTGAACTGTTTGAGTAGAAAACTGCGCAGCATATTGCTTCTTTCGAACAATAAGACAACATCTGTCAACCCAGAAGCCACGTGGAACTCAAAGTTTATTTCGATTTCTTTATCTTTTATTATTTTAAATTCTCTAAACAAAGGAAAAATAAATAATTTTAAATTCAATGTACATGTTTCTTTAAACTTAAATATATAATTTTTTTCGTAATTACGTTTATTTTTATTTTTAGTTACGATTTCCAAACACCATCAAGTCAGGTTGGAAAAATATTGACATGATGACTACGATGACGTCATGCTGACTTCATGGTTGATTTATTATTATTATTAATATGTTAATATATATATTTTTTATAAATTGATAAAAGATAAAAATAATATATATATATATATATATATATATATATATAAAAATTTCGGAACAATACTTATTTTATTCATGTAATAATATGTTTTTAAGATTTTCTTAACCCACTTTCTCTTTCTATTTTCATTGTATCACTCATCTTATTTTATATTTCACTTTCTATTTTCATCGTATCACTCATTTTATTTTATATTTCTCTTTATATATTTTAATAAATTTAGACAAGAAACTCGTGCTTTGCACAATAACAAACAAAATGGATATATACTGACAAAGTTTCCAGTGCATCAATAAAATTAAAAAAAAGGGCAGGAAAATACATCAAAACAAATTTAATACATTATACAAACAATATGTATAAAAAAAATTCCGTAAATTATATTTAGGTAAGTAACATTGTTCTTGCAGTAGAGAAAAAAAAATATTAATCTGCAAGGCCAAGACAATAAGATTTTGGCCAACATGAATAAAATAAAATGAAATTTTAAAGGGACTATACAAACATCATCCATTCATTCAAATGCATTACATGACAAAGTGACAACGGTGTCAAATCATATTCAGAGAATATTTTATGCAACAGTGAAATATAGTGACCTCTTTTTGTGAAAGGCTTGAGGACACATGCATGATGATGTAGCTAACACTTTTCTTCACTCATATTGGCTTTGAGAATTGAGATAAGAAAGTAGTGTCCATTACAACCCCAGAGCTAACATTAACTTACCTTTCGCTTTCTTTATCATCTTTTGGTGAATATATGCTTCCCTTCTAATTCATTGTTCATTCTCCTTCTCCCTTCTTTGTGGGTGGCCTTGACCTTTTCAACTTCTTCACTTTTTCTTATGCCATCCCTTGGTCCAATGCAGCATAACACCTAACAGTTTAGCCACTGAATAGAGTCCAATCACCCTAGTCAAATTATCTACCCTTTTGCTACTCTCTTTAGTTTTAACTGTCAAAGTCTGCATAATCTGAAGGTCAGAACTTCACCAATTTTTTGGTTTAATATGTACTAAATATTTGGATTTGCCTTCCAACATATTGTTCTGGATACCAATTTAGCCAACTTAAAGTATTTTTACTTTAAAGCAGTAAGCTTTTTCTCTTTATTTTGTGTTTTGAAGTTTGAGAATGTGTCAGAATTTTCAAAAATAAATCTAGAAGGATTATTGCTTCAGATACTTAAAAACATATGTTAACTCCTAACATCTAATTTTAGAGTGACTATTATGCATATAAGAAAAATCTCAAACACAAGAGTACTCAACTTCCATATAAACTTATTAAAATTTTACTGCTTTTGACCCCACAAGAAAATGTTTCTGTGTGCTTCTTGGACAGTGAATGTTTGTTGTTGTATAGTTTCTTCCATGTGCTGATAGTACAAGTTCAATTTCCAAGCACAACTTGATGTTGCTCTTTCTTGATTTTCAATTGCAATTTGCCAAGTAATAAATTGAGATGATCGATTTGTGTGTTCATGACAGGGGGAAGAGGATTCTGCAGTGCAGAAACCATGGCTGGAGCATTAAGGAAGTGCATGATGCTGTGCTGCACGAGCAAGATTGTCTCTGTACGTTTTTCATTTATTAAATCATGCTTCAATTTTCATACCTATCTTGCATTTTTTTTTTCTTGTGTTTTTGTTTTTCCTTCACGTGTATAGGAAAAATTCTTCTGCTGTTAAGTAATGATTACATGAACATTATCTATGTATTTCAGTGTTCTAGACCTTGATGTATTAGAGATCCTTTCAAATGAATATAAAGCATTAGATTTTAATTCTATCAAAGAGTTAATTTAAAAGGTTCAAATTAAATTATGTATATTAAATAAAGCAAGTAACTTACTTTTCAAATATCTTGATTTTTGTGTGTTCATAGAACCAATACATATTTAATTAACAGCTAAAAAAATTAGGTTTGTTGTTAAATTAACAACTAAAAATCATGAAAACTAAAATTAGATTCCAATAAAACACTAATTTAAAAAACTAAATCTCACAACCAAACTAAACAAACATGAATTTTTTTTAGCTGTAAAATCAAATTATCAAATTTTCTCATCTCTAATACTGAAAAAACTATATATTATTATGAATTGAGGAATATTGTTTTTATATGATTAATATTAATTTAACTTATATAATGTATGAGTAAGTTTCATATTTTATCAATATTTTAAAGAAAATTAAAATAATCAAATATATAAAAGATTGTGTACGTTAAGATTTAAAGTGTTTAAAGAATAATAAAAAATAGTTGTTTATTATAATTTAAAATAAAATAAAAAGTCATTTGAATTAATATAAGAAAAAAATAAAATTCTAATAATTCAAATATTTTCAATACTTTAATATATTTTAAATAGATAAAAGTAAGATGAACAATATTTGATAACGATAAACTTAAAAGTTTGTATTGACAAAAACTTTTTCACTAATTAATAATTTTCAGTAATTTTTTATAATTTAAAAATTAAAAGTCACCGGAAATCAAAGAGCACAAGATACAAACCAAAACTTGTTATTTTTGTTGTGAGTGAAAATTACATTCATACTATGTTTGGTTCAGGAAAAAAGTAAATGAAGAAAATAATAAAAGTAAAATGGGTTTAATAGTTGTTTAATTGGTAGGAAGGAAATAAGAAAAAAAATTATTTATAAAATAAGGATATTTTTATGTTTTAGTTATAAAGATGTTTTTTTTTTTCGATTTCTTAAATTTTAATTGTAAGATAAAATGAATGCTGGATTCCCTGAATTTGTTAATTTTCCTCTATTTTAATGGTTTTAATTAATATAAAGATTATTTTTTGTCTTGTTTTTTTTTAAATTTGATCTGAAAAGTTAAAGAGGTTGGTGGACTTATGAGAAAAATTACTTATAGATATTAAATTAATGATCTCTAAATTGAAAGAATCAGTCACAAAAATATTGAAATTAATTAACACCTTAATTATTAATTTTAGAGACTGACTTAATAACTACTTCATAAATTTATTTGATAATAATAAAACGAAGACTAATTATCTCAATTTCAAAATAATTTTTAAACTACTTTATATAATATGATTGAATATAGTTTGACTCTAGATTAGTTTTTTATAAATGAGAATGTTTTCATTTTTCTCTAATTTCATGTTTTTAAAATAATGATTATCTTTTTTGTATCTTCCATTTCAAATTTGAATTGAAGTTAACCTAACGTGGATTCAATGAATGTTTATAGGAAAAAAAATACCCGCATTTTTTTTCAACTTTGAACTGAAAGCTAAAATGATTACACGAATATTTATTTTTTCTCTACTTTTATAAAATTTCATAATGGATGATAATTCTTGTTTTTTTTTCTCTTATTCACTCATTCATTCCCAAGCTTCTCTATCATTTTAAACCAAGTCAAACTATATTACTATCATTGCAAACCAAGTCTTAAAGATAAGAGAATAAATCAATAGTGTTTCTCATGAAAATTACTTAGCAATAAAATTGTGAAATTTTCACATTAAAAATGTGTTAAAAAAAAGCTCTAATTAATTTATATATAAAAGAAAATCTCATTAAATTGATTTTTTCTTTAAAAAAAAAATACTTTCAAACATTTTAGAAAAAATTACAAGGTTTTACATTCCCAACCTTCAATTCTTTCTATATATATTTTATTTCATCCACTAAACAAACACTTGAAAAATGTTAATTGGAAACTATATATAAAAAGAGAAAGATACAAGATTACTTTCAAACTCTAACTTAGAAACTATATTTACACATAATATATGCTTTTTGAATTCTATATTCAATTTTCAACACATATGTCAATATCTTCAATTGCCTTTCATTAAATTGAAATTGAAATTTCATAGTGGTATAAGCACACGCTATCGTAAAGCTAATTAATTGCAATTTAATTATTCCATAACTCTTCTGATTTTGCATCTCAATTGAGTCAACTTTGGTAATAAAATATTAAATGGTTTTGGATTACATTTTTATTTGAATACATGTTATATAAATAATTTAAATGTACACAATACTTCTCCTAATTGATGAAATGCATGACTCATAGTTGATCATCACAACCTCTCAATTTCCACCACACTTCTATTTTGGGTGATTCCGTAACCTCACCAAACTCCATTCCATTTCCCTTGTTTTTCTAATTCCTAATGATAATAATTCAATGTTTCATGCTAACCTTTCCAATGCAGCTTTTTATGTACCTTCTTTCATTAAAACTAGAATGTTTATCATTTATGCTGATTTTTCATGTTAAATTTTATTTCAGTCATAAAGCAACACTAAAATTGTTTAGTGAACATAAAAGGAAAATGAAAGAAATATTTTTTTCTTACTTTCCAGTTATATGCCACTTTTGGACCAGTTTCAAAGGAAAAAAAAAAGTAAGACTCTTCTCATGTGAGCAAAGCCACTATAGAACAACAGAAAATATATATAAAACTTTAGAAAAAAAATATCGATATTATTATATATTATAGTCTTTTATTCTGAAAAGATAAGAAATTTGTGCCTTCGTCACCCGGTATAACAAAATATAATATTAATATTTGTTATCTTTTTTCTATTTTCGAATAAAATTAATTATTTATTTTTTATATTACTTTCTTTTATCCTTATTTATGTATTTATTTATTTTCAGCGCTTAAAGTAGTAATATTCTTAATGATTAAATCCGACTTACCATTTTTGTTGAGATTTTTTCAAACAATGATGTATTTTCGTTCACAAATAATGTGAACCAAGCTTGATTGGAACTAACCAAATAGATTATTTATTTATTTATTTATTTATGGATGAATGAAATGTAATTAATTAAGACCCGTGTTGAGTGGCACACCAAAGGTGAATCCTAATTCCTCTCCCTACACGGCCAATAAAAACTCAACAGTCATAGTCATATCTGCTATCACACACACGAACATAAATACACACTTTCTTATTATTTTCCTCCAAATCTAACCACCACCTGAAACTCAGAAACCACAGAAGGTAATACACAAGTATTCATTCTCTTCTTTTCTTCGTCCACCAGTTTCAGATCACGCAACTCGTTGTTAGATGATCATGTTATTGATTTATCGTTGAACTATGCGTAGAATTCGTATATGTATGTATATGTATATGTATATGCACACACAAGAGTTGTTGATTGGTCGATTATGATTTTACTATACATGTCGCAGATTAATTGTTAGTTGATTTTATGAAGAGATTCATGATGCGTTGTTTTGAATTTTTTTATGTTTGGATTTAACTCAATCTATTGTGTTGTTTGAGACCCAAAACAGAAGGAAGAGATGGCAGGAGAATCATACGAGGAAGCCATTGCAAGTCTGACCAAGCTTCTCAGGTAATTCAGAAAAACATTGCTGTCCTTTTTCGTCATTTCGTTAGTTCTTTTATGACACACGACCACGTAGAGATAGATAGAGCGTGCCGGTAAGAGGTGGTAGGTGGTGTGGTTTCGTTCTTTCTTCTTCTCTTGCGGGCCCCACGCCACCTCGTACGCGTTTTGGTTTCCGCGCAATGTAACGGTTTCTGTTATTTTTTACAGTGAGAAAGCCGAACTCGGCAACATCGCCACCGCAAAAATCAGGGATCTGACGGCGGAGCTTCAGGCGGCCGGTTCGTTTAACCCGGAGGAGAGGATCAAAACCGGCTTCATCAACTTTAAGAATGAGAAATTTGTGTATGTCTTTTTCCTTCCTTATCATCATCTCCCTGTTCAATTACGAACCTTCTCTATCAGAATTTGCTATATTGTGAATAGAGTTCATTATTTTAGAATAATTTATTATTATTGTTATGGAAGAAATTTGTATTTTGCCCCTTTAAAGTAAATAACAACAAAATAAATATATCTTGATAAGAAAATTAAGAATTAATATTTGATAAAATAGATAGAATAATATATCAGTCAATATAATAAATTATGATAATAATTTTTTTAAAATTATATAACATAATAATTTTTAAATTGTTGACGATATAAGATTTTTATACTCACATAATATAAAACTCTGAACATATTGGATAGTCTAAAGGGGCTTTATGCATATTGAAACTCTCATTTAATCTTTCTATAAACTTTCTATAAGGGATCTTTGAGTGTGAAAACTTTTCCTAAGTATCATCTCCTATCTCTAAATATTTTAAAATAAAAATTAGTGCTATATATTGACAATTGATTTTTTGAGAATTACTTTAAGTAAATCCAAATATTAACGTCCACATCTTCAAAATAAGCAATATACAATCTCAAATTAAATTTTTATAATTAATGTATAATTGAATAAAATCTTATAAACATTTAGAAAACCTTTATCATTATTATATTCAGTCTTACAATTTAAAAAGTCATCTGTTAGTTCTGATTTTATAAATAATTTTTATAAAAAATAATAACAAAAATAAATAAAAAAATTGAAATTGATAACTAAAAAAAAAAAAATGTTCCTCTTTTATCCCTTTTTCCACCTTTATTACCTAAAAAGAAAATGGAAAGCGTGACAAGTGGAAGTTGATGTTTACAATATGAAGTGTGGCAACGTAAGCAAATGTTCTTTCTTTCAACCATAAATAAATGGAAATCATGAGATGGCCAATGTCGAAATATGTTTTGCTTTGGTGCTAAAATGGGACTCTTTACTTTTCGTTACTAGTTTGATGATCCTTTGTCATTGCGGAAATTAAGGCGGGTATTGAACGCATGTTCTATTTTTAAATTAATTTAACTAGTAAGGGAACTATAGTTTCTGAGATTGGGTGGATTCTTTGTATTTTTACTCAGGAAAAATCCTGATCTATATGGCGAACTTGCCAAAGGTCAGAGTCCAAAGGTTAGTCATTTTATTAGTTGCATATTCACCTCTTATTTCTTTTTCTTAATTCTTTTCTGCCTTTTTTTTTAATTTGTGCTGAAATCGACAAACAAAATTAAATTTGAAGGGAACCATTGTTTTCAGATTTAAAATAAAATCTTCTGTTCCCATTTTTGTACAACAAAGACAAGTGGCAAAGTAACTACTATTAGCCAATTATATGCTAGTTATATCATATATGAAATTTTGTTAAACTTTCACAAACAAAAATATACTAATAATCTAGTATTTCGACGGAATCAATATCAATCCACTTTTAAATCATTGTTTCATATTATGTAGCTAGTTTCTTTTGTAATATATCTAATGATGCCACTAATCAATATTATACGACATCGTTATTTACAGTTTATGGTATTTGCATGCTCGGACTCGAGAGTTTGTCCATCCCATATTCTGGATTTCCAACCCGGTGAAGCCTTCATGGTCCGAAACATTGCCAACATGGTTCCACCGTATGACAAGGTTTAATGTTTGACTGTGTAGCTAAATTAAACATGCAATTTGACGAAGCAAGGGATTGCATATCATAAACAGTTAATACAATTTTTTTCACTGGCTTTGTGTTATTGTGTAGACGAGGTTTTCAGGAGCAGGGGCAGCCATTGAATATGCAGTCTTGCATTTAAAGGTATTATTTCTCACCCTATGTCAGTATGTGTTTCTCTCTTTATGTCATGCTTATCTTGTAGTATAGTTATTAGTGGTAGCTCTAGTAATGGTGGGTCATGTGGAAAGGAAGAAAGTTTGGTGGTGGATATAATTTTTTAGGTTGCATCATTATATGTTGGGATCCACACGCATCTCAAGTTGCATGACTTACTCTATTTCATCAAGACAAATTACGAAAATGGTATATGAAATGAACAGCTTAAGGAATCTTTGAATTGGTGCACATTTTGCTAAAGCCAAGAATGAACAAATCAAACGTTCAACTAACTACCACGCAGAGATATCTACTGAAATTGTGGTAGTCAAATTCATAAATCATTACTCAACCCCTATCCACCACACCTTCTCCCACCACTATGAATTATTATGAATATAATAAATATGTTCACTCGTTTACTCATTTATTTAATTCACGTACCTGCTAACAAATAGGCACAAAGAAAAGTTCCATCTAGATATAGATACTGAATTTATTATCTATTTCAGCAGAGTATTCAACATGAAGTTATTTAACTTTGAGTAAGTGTAAAAACAATGAATATGATTATTTTGTCTCCCATGATTAAGTATGAATTATGGCAGCAGCATCTCATTCAAAATTGACCAATTTTTATATCTAGTTTGCCGAAAGTGGAAACACAGGTAGTGTGGTGTTTATATAGATGAACATATATGTGTTTTTCTAAACCCGGAATATAAATTTTTGCAACTGTGTTTTTTTGACGTTTTTTTCTTTAAGGTGGAGAATATTGTAGTTATTGGACACAGTTGCTGTGGAGGTATAAAGGGGCTCATGTCTATCCCAGATGACGGGACCACTGCAAGGCAAGTCTAATACGATGTTACTAAGATGTCTTGAAACATCTTTAATGGTATACTTAAAAGTGAAGGCTTTAACTTATTGTTAATAGATCTTAAAGGAAGGAACAATTCGCTTCTATTGTTTAGATCTATTAAAAGATGGAATAAATAATTGGATAATCCTTAAATACAGTTTCACATTATGTCTTTTTCTATCAAAATTCAGTTAAGGAACAGTACCAAAACCACATAAAAAAGTGCACAAAAATCTTTGTCCTAAAACAACTTTGCCAGAAGGATGAGTAATAGCAACACATTATGAAAATTAATTTAAACTATCACGATAATTTTTCAGGACTTCCAAGTATATTCCTTTTTCACATATATACTTGTAAGAATATATAAAGTTATAGTAAAATAAATTTTGCAATAATTTTATGCATCCATTTTTTTGTTTATATATATATATATATATATTATCACCTATTTTATCAATTTTGTTTTTTCTTTTCTTCAACGCATATCTATTTCTCTCATACATTGTAATTAGAATTTGATCTTTAAATAACATTGCTCCAAATGTTTCAGTAGAATCATCATTCATATCCCAGCATTTGTAACAGTGAGTAGTATAGTATAAAGCAATGTACAACATTCTTTCCTTGTTGATTCTACCTTGTTGGAGACAACCAGAAACTTAACGAAACCAGATAAAAAAAGACTTTTAGAAATATTGCTTTGGGTATATACCAAGAACAAATTATAAGTTTTTTATCGGACACAATACAGTATTGTTCCCTGACTTTCCATGTCAAATCGCAATGTATATATTCATGGGAAAGGAGAAGAAAATTATTACATGAATGATTCCCTTGTTGAGGAATTTAAGAGTAAGTCTGCTCTAACTAGTCATTGGATTCTTGCATACAAGATTCCCCTGACGAATATATTATACTACTGCACAGTGGTTTTCCTGAACATAACTGTTCTTGATACATAATTAATCTTGGTGACATGAGAAAAATGACGCACATAACCACCTTGAAAATAATTTCCTTCCTCTGTGTTATTTCAGTGAATTTATAGAGCAATGGGTCCAAATTTGTAGACCAGCAAAGTCCAAGGTTAAAGCAGAAACAAGTGAGTTAAGTTTTGCAGAGCAGTGTACTAACTGTGAGAAAGTAAGTGAATGACCCTTTACCCCTTAATGTGTCTATGTGCAATATATGGTTACAACATAAATTTAGTGTTACTTACTGTTTACAAATTGTAATACCCTTGAATTTTAATTTCCAATGCAGGAAGCTGTGAATGTATCACTTGGGAACCTGTTAACTTATCCATTTGTTAGAGCTGGGGTTGTAAACAAAACTCTAGCTTTGAAAGGAGCACATTATGATTTCGTTAATGGCACTTTTGAGCTTTGGGATTTGAACTTCAAGCTTCTGCCCTCTGTATCTGTTTAAGATTTCTTTATTCAGCACACAATAGTAAACCTGCAGTAAAATACACTTTTGCTAAGACTTGAGGGTTCGAATGGAAAAAAATTCAGACATTCAGAAAGAATAATGGTCTGTGAGCTAGCAGTATAGTAACTAGTAAACTATGTAGTTTTTTATTTCTACCAAAGTACTATCCTTACCATCTCTTTGTTATGTACACATTATTTTCATTTTGCTGATATATCAATCACTTGATGCTCCCAACTACCAGTTATGCCTTCCTACTTTATTTTTCTTTTTGAACCTGATTCCATGAGAGGAACTCATTTCAAAAGAGATTAAATAATATAAACTATTGATCAAAAAATGAATTCTAGGCATAGTATATTATAAACGTGTTGAAATCTTAATCATTAATCTTTTTATTAATTATTGATATATTATTTGTTTTATCTTTCTTTACTTCAGAAGAATCAAATCTAGTTTTTACTAATATGATTTGTTTCGCTGTTTGGTAATGCTATGAATTAAGGAGTCTTATATTAATAGGTATAGTAGCTAAAAGATTGTAGTGATGCAATGTAATACAATTTGTAATATAATTAAAAATATAGTTAAAAATATCAAACGAGATAAAAAGGAAAAAAAAAATGTAAAGACTTATATATAAATGATAAGATAACATTTTCGAACTTGTGCAATAATTAACATATATAACATCACTAACTAATGTCTAGATAATTAATCAAGTATTAGCAATGGTTTGAAGATAAGGAAGTTTTACGGCAATAAAAAAACAAGACCAAAAATATTAAAAAAAAATAGTTAAAACTCTTTTTTTCATTTCTCAAAAACTTAGAATGCATAAATAGGTTTTTCTAACATAATAATATATATTAGGATTAAACTTACACCAAACCTTTTTTTATGCATTGCAAACAACATTCATCCACATTACACTTTAAATATTAACACCAAGCAATAAAGTTTTAGAAATTATATTGTAAAACTGAAAAAAGTTAAAAAAAAAATAACCATCAATTTTAAAATTAATATATTTAAGGATAGAAAATAACTTTCTAAATACCGTGAATGAAAAAAATAACTATTTATAAACATGTTGAAAGCTAAAATCAACGAAGATAAAATAAAAAGCTAAAAGAGAGGGCTCTCATCCACCACACAAGTTCCAAAATGATTTGTATATCAAATTAGATAGTCTACAATTCCTTTTGTTGTTAATGGAGATGTCTCTACCATCACTACTAATGAAAACCTTATAGACTACACATTTCTTAAATTTTGAACTTAGGTTTGTTATTTATGGAGGTGTTGTGCATCACTATAATAATGGTGAAACCAATTTGGTGGAATTTCAAAACTGGCAAAGATGTTATTACCAATATTAATTGTAACAAGGACAAATACGTCAGATAATGGTGAACCATAATAATACATGTGCCAAATGAGGTAAAATCTTATAAAATTTGTATTTATTTGTTTCTAAACACAATTTTGAACAAAGATGAATTTTGAGGTTGTATAGTTATGAATACAAACACATCAAAAGATGTATAATAAATAAAAATATTTTTATTTTTATCCATTTAACTTTGTCTTATTATTTTCCCTCCAGATATATGAATAATAAATAAAAATTCTTTTGTAATTTTATCCTTTTAACTATGTCTTAATATTTTCTCTCCAAATTCAGAAGAAATAATACGTGAATGGATTGCAATTATGATTCTCCATTTTATGAACTATTTTCTTCCCGAAAGTTCCAAGATATACTTCTTAGTGCAATAATTCAGAGGCTAGAACGATAAAAATTGAGACTAAACGAAGGATTACATAAAATATAAACATTCACCTGCCATATATAATATTCTGATACACATAATCCAAAATTGTCAACGGAGAGCATAACAAAAAGCATGATCTAGAAGCCAATTCTCATCTTCTTGTTGCAAATACAGTCACCATATGTTCAGTGGTTGAAGCTACAATATGTTGCAACGGTAAGAAGCAAGTGTTGGTACTACTGGCTTCTCAAATCTCTATTCCTAAACTAAGGTGAATGTGATGGCCACGCTGAGATGTCTCATAGAAAACTTGATTTGGTTTTATTCTAAATAGAAGTTCCACAATTTCTCAACAAGTTATTCCACAACAACATTCACCAATTCGTACTCAATGAGAGACAAGTTATTATCTTCCTTCACAGTGAAACTAGCAGCTTCCGTGACTTCAACACGGCCCCACTTGTCCACAGCAAGTCGCATTGATCCTTTAAACATGTCAATTTTGGCATTACGCAGGGTCACAGTAGCGCCGTCTTTCATCAAATCCACTGAAAATGTGGAACCACAACAATATGTTCAACACCTAAACAAAACTATACTAATTCATAGGCATGCCATGACACTATTATTCGCAAACCAAACATTCTAAATCATACTTGTAAAATTTCTCTACATGCCAGTCTAATTGGAAATTTCTACATAAAAATATTTTAAACTTGTTCTTCAACTACAAACATGGAATTCATTTAAACTTTCACATTAAATACAACTAGACAAGTATCACACTTTTATTATCGATCAAGAATTCCAATCTATAAGACTTCTCGGTAGAAGTCTAAACAAAACAAGTAATTAAATAAGAATGTTCGGCCAAAGGACACGAGGCCACAGTAAGGTAGCTAATGGGAATAGTAACTATGAAAACAACAGAATTTCCATGAGTGGGGAACATGTGAATTCTGTTATGATGATTAAAAGGAGAGAAAAAGTGACAGCAGGGTAGACATGAATTGGGAGGAAAAGGAATGTACTTGGGCTAGAGGTTCTGTGTATCTATACAGCTCTAAATCGATCTTAAATTTTCTGCATTTTTCTGGACTTTCAAGGAGCTAGTCTCCATTGTTTCTAGGAGAAAAAACAATTCGTATGAATAAACCCATTAAGTGCTCTATAAAACTCCAAAACACATTTTTGCTAAATTGTTTCTAACAATTGAGCATTTTTTATCCTAAGTGGGAATTACTTTTTTCTATTAGTTGCCAAGTGTATCAACTAGTATCAAAGCTCAAATATTGGAGCTGTGATTGATGCAGGATCGGTCAAGGAATTTTGAACTGTAGATAAAACTAAGGTTATTAGACTTGAGAGTTTATGTAAACTAGTGGGAGATTCGTAGACCCAACTTGTAGGCATGTAAGAGTCTACTACATGCGAAAAATAACATACCAATTAAAAAAATAATGTAAGCATTATGATACCATTGTCTAAAACATCTACTCCATGTTTTCAACCCACATTTGTCCTATTTCCTACAATATTTTTACATTTAGAAAGAGAGGATGCAGCTTCATTGGCATCAGAGAAATTTGACTGCTTTCAGACATTTTAAAATTTCAGCCTGTGTACCTGAATGGAACCAAAATAGCACAGAAAACCTTTTTCAGACCAAACAGAACCAACCAACCAACACAAGGAGGCTAGAACAAAACCAACATTAAACGATAAAAAAAAAGAAACAGAGGATTTGTGAACAAAATAGGAGAAAACGAATAGGTGGAGCTGCAAATAGAACATAAGATAGAACCAACGTGGGAGAGAATGAACATAACAGAACTTTGAGGGAGCTGGGAACAATGACAGAAACATGATCTACAAACCAAAAATGAAATGTGAGCTGAATGAAAACAAGCTGCAAATGGAGACGCCGATGGCCAGGTGTGAACAAAAACACGACAACAAGGTTGAGCAAGAGCAAAAACTATATGCGTAGAACATTCTCTTCGTTTTTGTGCCAAACATAAAAGCAACACCCAGATGACGTGTTGTTTTGTGCCAAAAAACAAGTATCACCCAGACTCAGGGACTCCTCCTAAACTTGTTCGAGTCTATGAGTTAATTCTAGAATTTGATAACCATGGACAACAAAATGGAGGGGAGATTGGAAACTATGGAGAAGGTGTTGAAAGTAAGAATCAAGATTCTGGGAGAAGTAATGAAAGTTGGAAACTATGGTGGAAGAAATGATGCAGAAGATTGTGAGTTCTTTGGAAGGATGGCCACTTAGTTGGTTCCATTGGTGGGAATCTTGAAATCCAAGATCCGCTTGGGAGGATTTCCAGAGTGGGATTTTGGACGGGTTTCACTAAGTCTCCCTTTGCAGTTTTGAGGCTGACACACCTCACCCAGCAGGTAGAACTTGTCCACACTGTTTGTGTTAAAGAAAATAGAGCATCAGAGAAGGGTAGATGTATTCAACTGTTTTATTTGACCCAGGAGATGTTGCCCATATTTTGGGGCTGCTGCAGTGGCGAGATTCAGCTTTCAAGGCCTTGTTTGGACAAGACCCACCCTGGTTGAAGGGGACAACTAATCTTCCAAAGTTGGAAGAAGAGGTCAACAGGTTAACTCAGCAACATGATGGCGTGTTAGAAGATTCAAGGTAGCATTTGTTGAAGGCCCACACGCTCTGTAGACAGAAGACTGAAGAACAGATCAAAATCTTAGTCCTCATTACTATGGCCTTTTTCAGGTTATGTAAAGAATAGGTCAAGAAGCATATAAGCTGGATTTACTGCAGGATCGCAGGATTCACCCAGTTTTTCGTGTGCCCCTCTTCAAGAAGGCAGTCAGCACACCACAGTTTGTTCAACGTCTTCCCCTGGCCTTAGCTGATGACATGGAGATCTGGTTCAACCAGAAAATGTGTTGGACCTAAGGCAGGCAGTAGTAGGTGGTTTAGAAGAGTTTATCAGGTGGCACAAACTCCCTCCTTGTGAAGATAGCTGGGAGGGAGAATCTATTCTACAGAGGCCATCAATCATCTTCACCTGGAGGAAAAGATATTTGTGTGTGTGTGTGTGGGGGGGTCTATCTTTAGGAATAAGGGGCCTATTACAAAAGTGTATTCTAGAGGTACTAACATAAGAAACCCAACTATCTGGGTAGTCATTACACAACTACAGCTTTCTTTTTCCTCTATCCTGCTCCCTCCAATAGTCATTATGTCCCTGTGTGGTGCTGTATGAATTCTTTAAATCTGGCTACCAGTTGTATCAGTTTCTCTTTTGGTTCTACACTTCTCAGGCCTCAGCCAACGGGTGAAATCAAAAGCCGGATTAAGGTATTATCAAATTTCAATCGAATCTAGCATCTGCGTCATTGCTTAATATCTGGCTCGTAAAGCATTCCCCAAACAGTAATTACAAATGCCCATGAAATTGACAAAATAAAGCACGTGATACACTGAACACAGACAAAACAAAGACAAGAGGTAACAAACATCTACACTGAAATGCAAGATGCCCAGAAAATGTACCAAACAAAACACTTAACACATGACATGTGAACACTCCATGAAAAATAACCAAAGAACACCCCTTCCTCCAGTCGAATAAAAGATCAATCCAACAAGAATGTAATATACAATAATATGATGACAATAACATCACCATAACATATAATACCTTGTTCATTTCTGGCAGTAAATATTATCATTCCAGTCTCATCGCCAACCAAACATTCCGCAATTCGCATTTGACGGGATTGAGGACCATCAGAACGACCTTTCTGCATCACCATCTTAGCACTGACCACCTTCACAGTTAAAGTATGCCCACTAGTTCCTGGGCGAAGCTGTTCGACCTTGGTGAACACAGGCTTCCTCAATCCTGGTTTAGAATCTGCCATGCTTCAAATCCTACAAAAGCCACAAAAACATCCACTAAGACAACATAAAAACAGCAGTAATGCACAGTACACCAATCTTGTAAGATCTTAACATATCGCCCAAAATCAAAGGTTTAATAAACGGTTTCTTTGTACATGGGTTTTAAATATAACATGTTCGCTTATTCAACTTCTTTTCATCCAAAATTTTCAGCTAAGGGAAAAACCTAGTTTAGCGAATGCAAACTAATACAAGCAAACTCAATTAGGAGCCTGAAAATTCAACCTAACCTAACCCCACCTTAAAGGGGTAAGAAAGTTTTGAAATTTTCAATATTTCTGAGGCAAAAATTGATAATAAAATCAGATTAGTGACAAGGAAGAGCACAAGATCCAAGCTCATACCAACTTTCTAATTCCAAACAGCATTCAAACCAAATTCATTCAGAGAAAAAAAAATACTAAATTATGACAAACCCAAAAGCAAAAGGTGAAGTTTTTTACAAAACATTCGCGATATGAAAGCAGAGAAGAAACTAGTGGATTGAAGGAAAAGGGGCACGAGAAAAGCGAAGAGATTGAATATTGGAATGTGACCTGGAAATTGGTGTGATGGAAAAGAGATCCAAAACTGAAAGTGAGAGTGAGAGTGAGAAGCAAACGAGGAGGTCGGGTTTTAAGGAGTGAAACACAAGTTGCCATTTACCATCACTCTGTGTTCAACCTTGGACAAAAACAAAATTAAGTAAATAATATTGTAGTAATTTTTATCAATTCAATATTTGTAATCTTTATCCTTTTTTTTTAATTAGTTTGATTACTTTAATTTATTTTATTTATAAGCTATTTTATATATACTAACATAAAACACAGGTACTACTGCACCCGTGTGTCTTAAATTTAATATATTATAATAAAATTATTAATTTGCATTAAAAAATTAAAACAAATATACTAACTTTACTTGTAAGATAATTTATATAAAGTAGTATTAACATAAGTACTACTTCTATTATGTTAAATTTGATATAAATTATAATAAAAATATTAATAGAGAGAGGGGGAAACCTACAACTCCAATAAATAGTAATTTTAATAATAAAATCAAATAGTAGAATCAGAAAAAAAAAACAAAATTAGTTTTGGAAACAATTCTTACTTCTATATTTTACATTTACCTTTAAATGAAAGATATGTAATGCAATTCATCAAAATTTACTTTTATGTTTTAAAATTTGTTCAAAAGTTACCGAAGGTAACAAATAAAAATAAAATAAAAATTTATTGTAAAGAAGAATAAAAGTACGAGGTAGACACTAATAAGAGGAGAAGAAAATGTTGGAGTCTAAAAATTATAGAACGAAAAATAATAACCTCTTCGTAATTTCTTAAAAGATATAAAAAAAAAATTAAAGAGTATTACAGGTATTTATTGTTAATAATGAACGTTTACAGTTACAAAATAAACAAATAAAATAAATCTTTAAAGAAAGTGTACACAAAAACTAATATATATATATATATATATATATATATATATATATATATATTAAAATTTATATTTTTAACATATTTATATTATTATTATATTGAATTCTCGTCTTTTTCTTTTTATTTGTTTTGTAACATTTTCATGTAAAAGCTAACCGATATATAATAATGTTCTCTTAATCTAAAATAAATTGATGAGATTTTTTTTCCTATTTTTACGTCACAATAAATAATCATGTTTTAATTAATTAAAATATAAGGATATGATGGATAAACAATAAATATTATTATCTCAAACCTTAAGAATGAACGGATAAAGAAAACTAAATTTGACAAATAAAAAAGTATGGAGGAGTAATAATTACATTTATTTACATATCATTATATATTTTTTTATATAATAGTTATTAAAACTAATTAGATGTTATGTGTGATAAAATATAATAATTAAATATCATATAAAATGATTTTCTATTTATTTATTATTTAACATGTTTCCTATTTTTTTTCTCATTCACGTATAGAAAAATATAAATAATTATGACTTAAAAATTGAATAAATAAACTATAAATATTAATTATTATCTTCTTTATATACTGAATAAGTTTTGTAAGAAAAAAAATAATAAAATTTTTATTTATATTTTTTCTCGGTAACCATTAATAATAATAATGGGATTTTGATATATTTTAATCAAACGTCTCGTCCAACATTTTTATAATTTTCAATTTTATTTTATTTTTCTATTTTTTCATTAAAAATGTCAATAATTTATTTTGATTTCGTTACAACGAATTTTTTTACTATTTTTGATATAATAATTTGTTTAAAATTTTTATTATTATTATATTATTTTGTTTTTAAAATATACTTATAAGTATAAAATATTATAAAAATTAATTAACAAAATAATAATAATTAAAAATAATAATGAATTAATGTCCATCTTTTACATAATCTCAACCATAGATCTTTAGAGTTGATTATGTGGGAAGTGGTCCATACCTAATTGAAAATTTAATTTTAGTCCTTTTCTAAAAAAAGTGTATATTTTTAGTTTTTTTTTCTATTTTCAAAATAATCAATTTAAGTCTTCAAACACTATTTAATTATTATTTTTCTTTATATAACTGCTTGAAAGATAATAAATAAATAAATTATTTGTATTCATTTTCATAAATTATATTTTATGTTATGATAACAAAATTATATTTTGATATAAAGACAAATTAAACTATTGTTAGTTTATTATAAAAATATTATGTTTCAAAGCACCTCATTCTTACATTTTGAGTTATAAGATAAAAATTGCATAAAGATAACAACGTTTTGATTTTTTTATTTTTTTTTCACGTGATATAATTTATTATAATGAGATTCACTTAAGGATTTTTAAATACTTATATGAAATTATATTTCCCAAGTACAAAATATTTTTACAAGAAAGGTCACACTTAAACCTAAGTCCTAAATCTCCTCCATAATTATTTTACTTTTTTTTATATATAATAATTATTTTAAAAATGAAAATTATTTTATAAATATAAATAAATTTTATTTATTTTCTTTTAAAATTTTCAGTTGTAATAAATATTATATTTATTTTTTATACAATTCTTTATTTATTATTTTTTTCTCTTTTTTTTTCTATCTTCATATATCTTTTTCAGACATTTTCATTTTCTCACTTTAATTTTTTTATTAAATATTCATATTGTCTTTTTATATTTGTATTTTTTTTATTAATTCACTTCCACAGTCTTCTTTTCTATTATTTTACCTTATAAATTTTGTTTGTAATTTTTTTTAGTTTTCAATTTTTTTTATTACATATTTATATTTTTAGAATAAAAAATATATTTTTTATTTTTTAATTTATTATATTTTTCTTCTATAGCAAAAATTAAAAAAAAAAACAAAGAAGATACTCAATATATATATATATATATATATATATATATATATATATATATATATATATATTCTAAAAGACATATTTCTATTACTAATTTAGAATTAGCTATTACATAACACCAATACTCACCAATATTTATTCGGGAATATTCATAAAAGCACAAACTATTTATGAATTATCCATTACTAATAAGACATTTTAAGTTTAATTAATTTTATAGATTGTAATTACACATTAATTATAAATTATATTATACTATTAATATAAAATGTAAACAAAATTGAATAAAATAAATAAATAATAAGATTAAAAAGTAATTAAACTTATACTAAACTTTTATTTACTTTGTCTATGCGGGGTTGAATCGAAAATAAAAGCCGTGAGCAGAGAAGTAACGAATCGTATACCCCTTTCACTTCTTAAAACCCGACCTTGCGTCTCAGTTCAGTTTCAGTTTCAATTTCGGATCTCTCTCTCTATACTCACATCAATTTTCAGGTTGCATTCCAATCCTCTGTCCCCTTTTCGCATATTTTTCTATTTACGTTCATCTTTTCCCTCAATTATTTGGTTCCTTTCCGCTCATATCTCTATTCTCATTCAAAAAAGCTCTACATTTTACTGTTGGGTTTCTCAGAATTTTTTTTTTTTTTTCTACGAATTTTATTTCAAAGTTATTAAGCATGTTTGATGGAACTCAGAATTTGGTATGAGTTTGAATCTTATGCTTTGCCCTTATTACTAGCTTGATATTCCCTGAGATATTGAAAAGTTCTAAACTTTCTTACCTGTTTAGCCTGGGGTTAGGTTAGGCTCCGCTATCATCATTGAGTTTACTTGTATTTTAGTTCACATACCAGTTTTTTCTTTGGCTGGAAATTTGGGATGAAAAAGTTAGCAAGGGAGCATTTCTTATTCAAAACATATGCACAAGGAAACCGTTCAGTAGACCTTTGATTTTGAGCTATGTATGAAGGTCTTACTAGGTAGGCATAGTATGCTTTGCGGCAGTTTTATGCTGTCTTAGTGTGGGTTCTTGTGGCTTTTGTAGGATTTGAAACATGTCAGATTCAAAACCAGGATTGAGGAAGCCAGTGTTCACCAAGGTGGATCAGCTTCGCCCTGGGACCAGTGGGCACACTTTAACTGTGAAGGTGGTCAATGCTAAGATGGTGATGCAGAAAGGTCGTTCTGATGGTCCTCAATCCCGTCAAATGCGAATTGCGGAATGTTTGGTTGGTGATGAGACTGGAATGATCATATTTACTGCCAGAAATGAGCAAGGTATATATGTTATTGCTTTCATAAAGCTGCCCCTATTCAAGTTTTTCCTCACTGCATCATGGTATTGTTATTTTCATCATCGTTTTTTTCTTTGGCTGGGCGAAAGAGCGTTCTATTGTTGTTTTGTTTGCGTGGAGCATTCACATATCACGTGTTAAGTGTTCTGTTTTGTCCATTTTGTGGACATCTGCCATTTCTACTCTGATTTCGGTTATCTCTGGACTTTCTTTTGTCCATGGACGTGAATTGGTGCTTTGTTTTGTGAATTTCATGTGCATCTTACCGTTTGTGGGATGTGTTTATTGAAGGTGAGGTGAATTGTCATGAACT